TTTCACAATAATGGGATTTAAGGTCAGACGACATCTTCCTCAAAAATATATAACTTTTCCCAATATTTTGTGATTGAAATATTGCTACTTTAAGAAGTTGCCTCACAAAAAATTGGGGTACATTGATAGGCATTTGTGCAAGATTCCGGAGGATGGTATTTCATATAAAATTATAATCCGATACTATAGATCACTTGAACTGCTGATATCACTATTTTTGGTCTTTATATTTTTCAGACATTTTGAAAAAAGTTTAGAAAAAAATATAATGATAATTATATTTTTTGGGGGTATATTACAAAGAAATTCAATGCAAAAAACAAATATTCGAGAATTCTGAACATCATAGAAAGTTTACAATTTCTTAATATTTTAGAAATTTATTAATCGCATCATTTACAACCAAAATAGTGTTTCATTTTTGTTGCCGTCACTTACGTTGTCCACCAGAAGTACTTAAGAAATATGTATTTTTGTGCCCCCGTAATTGAAGATTCGGGGTCATAAAGTTTTTGCCCTGACCGACCGTCTGTCTAGCTGTCTGTTTGTCCGCAAAAACTTTAACCTTGCCCATAACTTTTGATTGGTTGGAGCTATGGCTTTCATATTTCACATGTGTATTCCTTGTGACAATACCTTTCTTTGGGTACCACCTGCTTGACCTTGACCTTGGGGTTTGACCTAATTTTGCAAAACTTTACCCATTACTTTGGACATAACTTTTAAACAGTTGGTGTAAGGGCTTTCATACTTCACAGGTGTAATTCTTGTGCCAAAACCTTTCTTTGGATATCACCAACTTTGACCTTAACCTAAGAGTTTGACCTAGTTTAGAAAAAAACTTTAACCTTGACAATAACTTTTGAATGTTGGTGTTAGAACTTCACAGATGTAATCCTTGTGACAAAACCTTTCTTTGAATACCGACAACTTTGACCTTGACCTCCGAGTTTGACCTACTTTTGGAAAACATTAACCTTGGCCATAACTTTTTAAAAGTTGTTGAGAGGGCTTTCATACTTTACATATGTATTCCTTGTGACAAGACCTTCCTTTGCATACCAACAATTATAGCCCATTGACCTTGACCTTGGAGTTTGACCTACTTTTGGAAACTTTAACCTTGGCCATTACTTTTGAATAGTTGGTGCTAGGGCTTCATACTTCACATATGTAATCCTTGTGACAAGACATTATTTTGGATAACAACAACTTTGACCTTTGACTTTGACATGGAGTTTGACCTACTTTTGAAAAACTTTTACCTTGGCCATAACTTTTGAACTGTTGGTGCTTTGGCTTTCATATTTCAGTGATAATTTCACGTGTGTATTTTTGTGAGAAAGCCTTTCCTAGGGCACCATTAATTTTGACCAATTGGACCCTGACCTTGATGTTTGACTTACCTTGAAAAACTTTAACCTTTTCCATATCTTTTCAATGGTTGCTGCTAGGGCTTTCATATTTCACAGCTCTATTCCTCGAAACAAGAACCTTACTTTGGGTACCAACATACTTGATTTGCATTTGAGAAAGTTTAACCTTTGCTATAAGTTGCCATACGGGGGCATCAGTGTTTCACAAACACATCTTGTTTGAATTTAAAATAGACCACAAGTTAAAGATATTTTTAAAAACACAGAAAATTTTTCGGACGGAGGAATGGGTTGACAAACAGTGTGATTATTATAAGACTACCAAAAGTCCTTGCGGGGCCCTAACAATACATACACTGCATCCGATATATTAATTGATCAATGCACATTAATGTTGCATGCCAAATGATTATGTATTATAATATATTTAAAGTTGTAAACAAACAGTTTGACTTCACTTATATGTACATAACTATTTATGTAATTATTTGATAACACACTATTTTTCACAAAAATGTAACATGGTTGGTGAATCAATTAAGATAAGTAATATTTACAGAATGTGACTGGGTTCTGTTCGCGCTTTTTTTTTTTTTTTTTTTTTTTTTTTTTTTTTTTAATTTATTTATTTAAAAGAAATATTTCATATTTTAACCATGTGTTATAAAGTGGATCCTGAAGTAACATTGGCCGCACTGTATAGTTAATTTGGATTAAACTGAGAAAATGTTGCAAGATGGTTAAATCCTAATGATAATTCAAATTCCTTTTTTTATTTTGTATTCAACCTAGTCATTAAATTCTAAAATAAGCCAAAAAAGAGGTAACAAGTTTTATAAACAATTGAACAAGCAAATCAGAATCTCCTAAGACACAACTCACGTCAAAGCTGCGCGCGCATGGAATATCCTATCAACAAAGTGCCTTGTGAATGGTTTGTTACAGGAATTTAAATAAGTAATCAGCAAATAAATGGTACCTCGATACACACTAAGGATGTGTATATCATGTATATACTACATATAAGTAAAAATGGTGCTCGGATAGGAGGGGCATAAACCAGGGACATATATGTAGCAACGTTTTTCCAAAGTGAGGAATCAGCCAAAAAAATTGTGAAACAAAGAATGATGCTTGAAAAAAAACGGACAGACAAAACCAAAAATGCCCCAAAATCGAGACTACGGACATCTTCTCTTTTTTACAAAGAAACAAAACAAAACTTGGGCGGGGCTGGCCTTAAAATGAAAATTTCCACGGTATAACAATGGGCAGCAGCCCTCCCCCATGTCACCCTTGATACTACGTGCCTGTAATTTTTGAGTTTTTTATGTACCCCTCTCCAATTACTATATGGGGGGCTCTCCTGAAAACATCATAACAAAAAATTCGGAGAGGGATACATTATTGCAGCTCTTTGTGTGTGTGATTTTATGAACGATATCGATGAACAGAGAATTCAAAGTACGATTTATACCTTTCTAACCCTGTAAAGCATACTTGTAATGAGATCAAAATAATATATGACAGAAAAGTATTGATACTCATTTTTTTCTATTTCGTTTTAAAATCCTTAAAAACGAATCGCTCCGTCAGATAAATGAACGTCAAATAAAGTAACCAAAAATACAAAAAGAGGTCATTGTAATAATGTCGCCCAGTCTGCTTTTATATGTGCCACTGGGTTTTTTTTTTAAATTTTTTTTTTTTTTTTTAAAAAAGAAGAAGCATGACCGTAAGAGATATACTCGAATCCTTTTTATCGAGTCCTTTCATATTTGAATCTTTTTTTAATAAATCCGTACTATTTAAAAATGCAAATCGTCTTTATATGCATGTCCTTCTTACGCGCCAACACGTGTTCTCTGTTCACAGTTGTTTTAATCCGTTGGCCTTGACTGGTCACCGGCCGCCGAGTTCAGATCAGGAATAGGATCAATACGATAGGCTAGACATATGTTAATTAATCTGATACGAGGGCTTACAGACTTCTAATCCTTTAAATAATATTACATTCCGCAATAACATCCCCACCCTCCAAAAAAAAAAAACTAGGAAAGTCCGATCTCATTATAAATGCATGTATTTAATAAAGGTCTACAGATATTAAGTGGTCGGTGTTGTCTTACCTGAGAGGCATACGGATAAACAAGTAATTCCGATTATGCATAGAGAATTCATCGTGCCTTTTCTTGCAAGCGGTCAAAAGAGGCTATCAAATATCCTTTGATTTTTTACGCTATTTGAAAAACGCACACATACACATACACACTCTTGAATGCCGTCTGCAGGGGTTTCCTACGGGGAAAGCTGGCATTACGATGATTAATGCCAACGTCTGCAAACGTTGACTCAGAGAAGGCGGAGTTACAGTCATATTCAAGAGGGAATGCTTCAAACGAAATACTATCAATTATTTAATAGATGGTTAGAAAAAGTCAATAGGCATGCTGGTCGTTCCAGTGGTTGACATATGCAGGAAGAATTCTCTTCATGCATGTGCAACACACAATATATGGTTATCTTCATTCAAAGAACAATTTCAACACAATTTATTTTTTTTTAAAGTTCTTTTGTTTGCATCCTTACAGATCAGCTAATTTTGAAGACTGCATATTATATTCTAACATATTTACACGGTACATGATGTAAGGTCGATGTTATACGTGTTGTCACATTCAGAATAATTCCCCTCGAGCTAAGTTGCGAGGTCATAGACATCAGTGGGATCGTTTGCAGCTTATTGACGCGCTGTAGTTTTATCACGATGTATTGATGAATACGCAAAAAACGTCCAAAAAACAGAATTTTTCCAGACATGCGTTTGTAGGAGCTTCTTGCTCCACCAAGTAACGTAAATGCTCGTCGTTTCTTAAGTTTTCTTTTTCTGATGTTAGAACATTTTTTAAATACCAAGTAGGCTTTTAATACAGCTAGAGAAATGTTATGATGATCAGCCCAATTTTCCGATAATAAAACAAGAGGCTCATGGGCCACAACGCTCATCCTGATCAGCAAACAACCTAGGATATTTTGCAGATTAACATTTTCCGTTACCCTACTCTTGAAAAGATTTTCTTCTTTATCCTACGTTCACATGTTACTCTGACCCCTATTGTTGCCCCCACCTTACTCTTGGGGTTCCATGATTTGAACAAACGTAGATCTGCACAACCTGAAGATACTTGTATATTGAATAATGTCCTTGATGTTCCTACAGATTTTGATACATATTTGATCTCCTAAAGTCGAACAGACTTTGAACAGAAAAGCTCACGTAAGCCTGGACTTTGGCATAGGCTTCCCTCTAAAATAAGAATAATGACGTTTTAGTTACTTACCAATGATAAAAGATACAATGAAACACTGAATGAAAACCCTAAAAATATTCAACCACCTGACCATGACTTTGATTGATTGTCTATTATTTTACGCCAGTCCTCCGTATTTCAGCCATATTTTGGCTAGACCATGAGTTTGAAGAAGGATAATATACATGTATTTATTTATTATATTATATTATATTATATTATATTATATTATATTATATTATATTATATTATATTATATTATATTATATTATATTATATTATTTATTATAACAAAAGTATTTATGTAGTATATTGCTAAATGTCATTTCTAAATAGATGAAAATATGGCTATTTTTGCTCAATGTCCATTTTAATGTAAATGGAAAGCATTTGGGGAAATTTACTGCAACTGTAAGTTAAAATATATATTCATGTTCCTGATATCGGAGATTGCAGATATATTTTTTTAATGTTTCGGTGTGTCTGCCTGTCTGTCTATGTGTTCTTTTGTTTACAACTTTAAAACATGGAATCTGTCATTTTTAATTAGATAGTAGTTTCTAATTAGGAGCTGTGCCCTGACCTCACAGCAATGTCATTTAAAAAAGACGATCATAGTTTATAACAAAACAGTATGTAACAAGTTCACCACAAAGCGGAGCATCCCCTCGCAAAAGAGCATATCGACCCTGATATGAAATGAATTATTAAATGCTTAACTTCCGTTACACGCAGGCACTCACTCACTTACACCCCCTCTCCCAACACACACACACACACACACACACACACACACACACAAGCGCGTTACTATTTCCCTTCCAACTTCGTTGTGAGGGGGTAAACAATTTTTTTTGCAAGGGAAACACAATGTTACTTTTATGTTATTTTCCTTGGAGAATACTTTTATAATTCTACAAAGATGCAACTAGGTTTTGAATATTGAGCATGTTGAGTTTTGATATGTTCCATGTAGGTACATTGTATATAAACCGCAGTTGCATGGAGAAACAGTTACATTTTAATTTATTAATCAGTGTAAAATTTATTTGAATAGTGATCATTAATTATGAATGATTTCTGAGTTAAAAATGAATGCATATGCCATTCTTTTTAGCTATTACTGTATACATGTACCTAGAACTTCTATATCAGCCATGCTGCAGTGAACAAAAACGAAAGTAGTCTGTCATCGATCCGCAAACATCTCTGTCTGTCTTCAATGTGCGTGTTTCATAATTTTGTCTGTCGGATGCTCTGTTAATGTTTATTTTCAAAATTTTATTATTGATTACAGACAGAAAAACCAATTCTTCATGACCAGTGTATTCATTAATTTTTCTGTGCTTTAATTTAAACCATATGGCATACACTGTAAAAAGTAGTGTTCAATTTTAACATGTTCATGTGTTATTTGACCCACGGCAGTGTTAAAACTTGAACGCATCATATGTTAAAGGTGTAAAATCTTAAACGCATAGTGCATTTAAGTATTCCATGTACTCTGCTTTAACATATATGTGTTAATAACTTCTTTAGTCTTCTTGCAAGGTTATTTCAATTCATATAACTAGTTGTTTTTTTTACCTTTGATTTTATGAATATAAATTTCTAGCTTAGCTTGTGTAAATATTCTGTAACTCCCCCGACTGATATATTTTCTGAACAGATATCAATACCTTAGTATACAAATATGTATATATAATTTTAGGTGTATATCAATTTATATGCATTACATGTACACTGACATGATTAATAATATTCATTATTTGTTTGTTAACAATATCAGTAAAAATCCTTGAATTGTTTTTGTTGAAAAAAAATCACTTAAATGCAAGTAACTGACACATACTATATTGTTAAATAACACCAGTGTTAAAATTAGGAATTATTTCATTAACATATTAAGTGTATTATCTTCGTGCCTGGCCTCTCTCTAGTTGACCTACATGTAACCTTTTGTCGCCGCATCAGTAATTTCTTTGTTTCAAAGAAAGCGGTCAGCAGAAAATTCAAAGAAAGGATTGCCAACTTCGGTGTGTTCTTGTGTGAAAGGGTAAGTTGATTTTTAAGTAATTTAAACTATAATAAAAATTTATCTCAAAACATTTTAAATATATAATTATTTTTCAAAACTATTATCATATTAAGCACTTGAATTATGCATTCTTTGGTCGGTTGAGTCAAGTAAACAAAGAGTAGATATTGTACTAATTTGTAAACGTTTTCAAAAACTCGCTCATTCTTTTGATTTTTAATAGGTTATTTTATGATATTTAGCACACTTCCAAACTTAAAAGTATTTGCTTATGCATTTCCATCATTTATTTAGATCGAATGTCCAGTCAATAAAAAAATCTACCATCAAAACATCTCAAAGGATCTCGAGTCTGAAGAGGAATATCCCCCTTCCCTAGTAGCTTTCTTAAGTGATGAAGAAATTGTGATATACGTCGTTGGAGAAGGATGTAAAATATTAGAAACTATGACTGCATATTACGTATTTGACCTGGACTACCCAGTAATTTACGGACAGGTTTTGGGTATTTTGCAACTCTGGGTGGTTGGTGATATTTTTACACAAAACAAAACTACAAACTGGAACAATTTAGTGAGCAATTTGGACATGCATATGTTAAAAAATAAAATTATTCTCGTAAAATGTGTATTTATCTGTGTTTTTCCCCACAGGACAACAGAAAAAAGGAAAATAATGAGGATTTTATTTTTTTAAAAATGTGTTAACTGGTTAACATCAGCTTTGGAATTAACACGTTAAAGCGTGAATTAAGTGTTTCCAGGGGTTTTAACGTGTAATGTGTTAATTTTATGAAACATTTCTACATGTTAATAGATCAACACACACGTTAATGTATTTACACTTTAACGTGTGAATTAAGTGTTTCCAGAAAAGTGTTAATAATTGTGTTAAATTATTTACACTTCTTTTTACAGTGTAAAATACATACGAGTGAATCGGAACTGAGGCAACCCGTAATTGTCGACTTCATTCACTGTACGTAGGTAATATAAGCTACAAGTACGTAGCTAAATAGATCTATAGTGATTGTACAAGTGTTGTTGAGAAGTAAGCGTTTACATGCTTGAAAAGTACGGAGAATAATCGTGGAAACGTAAACCTGTAATTGGCACCTTCACTGTTCGTAGGTAATTCAAGCTACTTAGCTAAATATGTTGTGAATGATGTTGACAAAAAATTCGAACCCGATTGCACACAACTCAATACCGAAAAAACAAAATGCTGTATGTTATGTTTTATTATCCCCTCGTTCAATTTTATTTATGTGATTGAAATACAAGAAGATCACACAAAAGATGAATAAATAAATATGTTTATCATTCGACATCAACCCCGACGCAAATTACGTCACTTCCGTTACCCACACAAGGACAAAGTAACCCCCCACCCCCACCCACCCCACCCCCACACATATCCTCTCCGACTCTGTTGCCAGAGGATAACAAGCAAATTCAAAAAATTGTGGTCCCCCGCTTTCGGTGTCTTAGTGGATTTAAGGCATATTGTAACAGTCTTGTTTGTGTGGCCTATCTTAACTACCCATCGTACAAAAAAGATTGACATTTTTTGATTAAGGGTATAATGTCAAAAGTGATAGTTCTTTTCAAAAATAGTTGTCACAGGTTATGTACATGTCAAATATGAAAACCCTATCTTTTCTCAATCAAAAGTAATCAAAAATTTTGAAAAGTTTTCTAGGTTAAACTTTAAGGTTAAGTTCAGGAGGCCCTACCTTCTCTCATTCAAAATATAACTTATCAACAATGTTAATATATTTTTAAAGGTCAAAATGCAAGGACAATGTCACAAGGTCAAAATATCATAGTTCATTTGGAAAGGTCTTGCCACAGGTAACGCACATGTCAAATATGAATACCTCAATTTCTCTCATTCAGAAATTATCACCAATGTTAAAATTTGTTATCTGTAGGTCAAAATTCAATATCAAGTGTTAACATATAAGGTCTTTTCACAGGTTATGCACATGTCAAATATGAACACCCTATCTTTTTTCATTCAAAAGTTATCACCAATGTTAAAATTTTTGAAACGTAGGTCAAACTTCATATTCAAGGTCATGAGATCAAAAATCATTTAGAAAGATTTTGTCACAGATACATTTAATGCACATTTCAAATATGAACGCCTAATCTTCTCTCATTCAACATTTAATTATCACCAAGTCATATTTTTGGCAAGTTGGCCAAACTTTAAGGTCAAAGTCACGGGGTCAAAAATAAGTATATTTAGAAAAATGTTATCACAGGTAAACTACATAAACTACATATGTAATATGTAAGTCCTCTCTTTACTCATTCAATAGTTATGACCAAGGTAAAACATTTGTGACAGAAGACTGAAAGACAGACGAATGAGGTTTCAATGTCCTCTGGCTTTCGCCAAAGTAGTAGTAAACGATGATAACGATGATAAAGTTTATGAAATAATTAACATAATTATTTTATTTTGTCTTAGTACAAATGAAATAAACTTTTAAACTGAATTAAGGATGACATTTACTCAGGGTTTTAGTTGACAGAAACGGTCTGATAAAGCTTATAAAATCAAAAATTGTTTTAAATAAACAAAGTAACCATGTAATAAATGAATATCAATATCAAATGTTAATATTTTATAATTTGACGACCATATGCAACAACAAATGTAGAGTTTTGATAACACAGAGGAAATTCGGATTATTTTTTTTAAAATTTTATTTATCTTATTTATTTATTTATTTATTTATTTATTTATTTATTTATTTATTTATGATAATTCTTTTTAAATGTTATGCTAAAATAAAGTTTCTTGTATGTTTTTTTTTTTGGGGGGTCGCTTTTTTCATCTCTTGATTATCATGCCATGTAACGTATGTTACTACCACAGGCCTTTGGATCGCTTAAATCCGACTTTAAAAAATCGGGGTGTATAAAAAAGATAAAGGTATGGAACTCCTTTCATAGGGTACCCACTTTCTCTAATAAAATACTTTTAAATCGAATGCTCTAGAATTTTACTTTCTATTCATATCTATTCATATATAATCACTCTACATTACTACCAAAGTTCACGCCGAAATTCCATGTACTTCCCGAGATATGGTGAAATCAATTCCAAAATTGACCTACTTTTTTTTACTCGACATTAGCTTGGGCCCTGGTTATCCACATGTATACAGACGGTGTTTGAACTGTAGCGAACAGCTGCATAGTATTTGCACAATCTTTCAACATTTTAAAGTTGATTTTTTACTCCAGATCGTAAGGTTAAGTCAGTAATAATTCCTTACGCGAAAAAAAAAATTAGAAAACGTTTGCTTCAACAACTTCACAGCCATGTTGTTTATAAATGTAAAAAGAACTATGATTGAACGAAAATTTCCCGGAATGCATAATATACCTTTTGATTTTTTAAAAATTTTACGCTGAAATGATGTTGATAACTTAATAAGACCATATGATGAAATCAGATAAAATTTTGTAGAAACTGAGTGCTAAAAAACAATTATTCAGAGGGGAGTATAGAATAAATTCCGGGAAGAATTCGTCCCGTCGTTCCCGCTTTACAATTAGTGTAACTATTCAGAGGCCCAAGCTAATGTCGAGTAAAAAAATAAGGCCAATTTTGGAATATGATTTCAGCATATCTCGGGAAGTATACGGAATTTCGGAAAGGACTTTTGTAGTAACTTAGATTGTTTATATGTGAATAGTTATGAATAGAAAGTAGAGTTCTAGATCATTTGATTTAAAAGTATTTTATTGGCGAATGTGGGTACCCTATGAAAGGAGTTCCATACCTTTACTTTTTTTTAACACCTTAATTTTTTTAAAGCGATCTAAAGGCCTGTGGTTACTACGAATCAAATTTGAACCGCGTTCACACGGAGAATTATATACATACGAATATTAATTTAATTCGAATTAATTAACTGCGCATCAAATTGCTTCGCATAACTCCGTGTGAACACCAGACGAAGAGAAGCTAATTCGAATTAAATTTTGACGCATGCGTAATAGCAAAATTAAGCTATGTACATTGTATATCTGCTCTGCATTTAATGTGACGTGCAAATGACGTCATAAAAGTATTAATTTATAAAATAAAATTTTGACGCGCATTAATTTACTTCGCATAATTCGCATTAGTTTGATTCGCATTATTTTACTTCGCATTAATTTACTGCGAATTAAATATCTGATGCGCATTCGTGTAAATAAGGCATTAGTTTCCGGCCAATAAATGGATTTTAACATGATTATGCTTTGTTATATTTCACGTCGATCTCGAAGAAATTATATTTTACCTCAAACGTACGAAAATACAGTTATTACATTTTTAACAGTGAAATACTGGAATTTATTTATTGAATAAAAGTGATATTCTGACATAGTGTGAAAGGATATCAAAATGGTATTTTCTGACATAGTGTGAAAGGATATCAAAATGGTATTTTCACAGTGTGAGAATATCAGAAGTGCGGCAAAACTCTCGATTTTCATTCCCATCACGAAGAGTGTTTTTTAAAAAACTCCCTGGTCTGTTATAAGACAGAGAGAGTAAATGAACCATCCTAACAGAGACTAAAACTGCCAAAGTTTCTCCAAATATGTTTTTCAATCTCGCAATGGCTTAACCGCTCATCTATGACGTCACAGCCTATGACATCGTGTTACGAAAAGACAGAGTCAAAGGGAAAATCAAAGAAAACGCAAAAACAGCATAAATATTTAGAAAACTCTGGCATGCTCTGTGAAGAACAAGCAGGGTTTAGAAAAGGCTATAGCACAACAGATCATATATTTAATCTTAAATGTTTAATTGACTTGTATTTACATAGAGGTAGAAAATTGTATTGTGCTTTTGTTGATTATCGTAAAGCATTTGACACTGTACGAAGGGCTTATCTATAGCAAAAAATGTTGAAACATTCTATAGATGGAAATATGTTAAAAATAATACAAAATATATACAGTAATGCAAAGTCTTGTGTAAGGCAAGGCAGTTCTTGTTCCAATTTTTTATTTCAAATATTGGTGTACGTCAAGGTGAAAATTTATCACCTGTTCTGTTTGTCATTTTCCTTAATGATTTGGTTGAATTTATGTCATATGCCTATAATGGCAGCTCACTTATTAGATACTGACGAGATAACTGTTAATTTACGTTTGTATTTGTTGTTGTATGCTGATGATACATTTATTTTAGCAGAGTCAGCTGCTGAAATGCAAGCTTCTTTAAATGCGATGTACTTGTACTGTCAAACTTGGAAAATGCAAGTTAATTCTCTTAAAAAGAAAGTTGTTATTTTTTCTCGCTCTAACATAAACACCGATAATTTACATTTTACTTATAATGGTGATAGACTAGAAATTGTTAGAAATTTTCAATATCTTGGGAAAAAAATTTCTAGTAAAGGTACTTTTAGAAAATCCAGGAAATTAAATTTACCTATTGATATGCAACTGCAACTTTTTGACACCATGGTTGTACCTATTTTGTGTTTATGGTGTAGAAGTATGGGATTTTGAAAACTGCGGCATTTTAGAATCCTTTCAAATGGAATTTTCCTTTCATATGAAAAAAAAAAATCCTTTCATATGAAAAAAAAATTTTAGAGGTTAAAAAAACTACTCCTCATTGTATTGTTTATGGAGAGCTGGGTAGAATACCACCTAGTATACTAGTAAAGTCTAGAATGGCTGGTTTCTGGCAAAGGATTTTGTGTGGTAAAAATGAGAAAATTTCCTTCACATTGTACTCAATCTTGTATCAATTTAGCTCAAAAGGTTTTTACCATTCGAAATGGCTCATGGAAATTAAGAATATTTTACATGATTGTAATTTTGATCTAATGTGGAATGCTCAGTATGTTAATAAATCATGCAAAATTGGTGTGTTGGTTAAGAATACATTAAGAGATAGTTTTATCGAAGACTGGAATGTAAATGCATTTTAAAAATTGTCCAAAATGCCTTAATTATAGAATGTACAAGTGTGATTTTGGTTTTGAAAATTATCTAAACATGTTACCAAGCGATCTTAGATTATATTTATGTAAATTTCGTTGTTGTGTCAGTCATAACTTGCCAATTGAAGCTGGTAGATTTTATAGTATTGATAGATCTGAGAGACACTGTAACCTCTGCAATAACAATGAGCTTGGTGATGAGTTTCATTATTTATTTAAGTGTCCTTTTTTAAGAATGAAAGACAGAAATTTATACATATCTTTTTATGATTTGATGAATACTTCTGATATATATGAACTAATAGGTTTAGTTAACTTTTGTAAAACTGTCCTTAAATTATATTCCATGCCTGAACTTCCTACAATGTAAACATTAAACAATTTTTTTTATACAACCGTCAGACTACTGTCCATATCAAAGATCTTTTTGTAGTTCATTATGTTAACTGTTCACATGTTGATTTGTTCAATTGTTAAACTCATATTGTACTAACATACCCCATGTGGGGGCTTTAGTGAAAATAAAAGTTTCAAAGTTTCAAACGAAAAACAATGTTTTGTGGATGAATATGGAATTTATTTTACTCGTGAGACAGGATTTTTTGATATTTTCACTCGTGCTTTACACTCGTGAAAATATTAAAAAATTCTGTCCCACTTGTGAAATAAATTCCAAATTCATCTATATATAAAACATTGAATATCCTCTATTTATTGCGTTCTACTTCAGTAGAGCATTTTGTGTGGTAATTGCTATTTTGAAGAACAGAAGTATTCTTAGATATACCATTATTTTAGAATACCTTGATATGGTATTCTTTTTTATTCTTTAGTTTTTCCCAAACAATTTGCATTATACAAACTCATTGTGACTAAAAATTGTTAATGAAAGTCAAACAAAGTCTCCAACCCTGAGTATAAAAGACGTACCTGCACACTTCCTTTCAAACTCAGCTATGCTACCCTTTATGTTATTGTAAAGGTTGTTGCTATCAGCACAGCCCTTTCTTAATGGATCTACACATTGACGAAACTCTGGATACACCCTGTCAAAAAAGATGGAAAAATTTTTCTAGTCAATGGTATTGTATATATTACACAAGTGATGAAAGACTGTGTATTCTCCGTATATATTGTGACCACACCTGTATAAGGAAAGCAATGTTTATATTGTGTATAGTTGCAGCGTTCCCGCAAAAATATATATATATATATACATTAAAATACGCTCATTACAGCGAAGTTAATTTCATACCCTGTAGCTTTACAACGTAATCTATTATAAACTTATCGGATATAGCGAACTACGAAATTGCTAGTCCCCGGCACTTTGCTATAAGCTTGTGTTTTATTGTATATTCTATAAATCCAATACAACAGATGCTGAAGGGAGCAATCGAACATTTTGATACTGGACTGACAGGCTACAACGCGTTTACATCACATATAATTAGAAATCGTTAGTTTCCGGCGAGACGGAAATTCATGATCCGAAGTGAACGCATTTTATAAAAAGTTCACATTGCGATATGTCAGTTCTAAGACAGACTATATCGAAAAAAAAATCATTGTTTTACAAGTTTTATTAAACAATGTTAAATTTCTACGGAAGCCGGTTGGGGCCAGGTAGAAAAAAATATTTTATCTGGCGGCCGCCAGATCTATTCATCTGGCAGCCGCCAGATCTTTTTACCTGGCAGCCGCCAGAAAATTATTTGGCGGCCGCCAGTTATTTATGTGGCGGCCGCCAGATAAAATATTTTTTTCTACCTGGCACCTACCGGCTTCCGTAAATTTCTTTAAACCAAACTCTGTGATAAAAGTCTATGTGACTTTGCTTAAAAATAGTTTTAATATTGTGTTGCCGTCACACTCAGTCAATAACTATATTATTTTAATGTACACTGTTGAAGATATCAAACGGTTATATATATATATATATATATATATATATATATATATATATATATATATATATATATATATATATATATAGGTACATTGTACTTGTATATAAAAACAAAGTGCCTCTTGTTATTACGTTTACACTTCCATTTTTCCCCCATTCCCTACTCAAAGAAACTGTTTAAGTTGAGTACGTAAAATAAACGAATCTTTGAAAGGAAAATAGAGTAGAGCCACGGCAGTACAATACTTATTGTGTTGATGAAATAGAAATAGTACTTCATCATGAATGTAGCCTAGAGTATAAATTATACTATTACAAAGCGGTATAGTGTGGTGAATATTCCAGTTCTGTCATGCGACATATTGTATAGAATTACTGTGATCAGCCCTTGCAAAGCACAGCTTTTTATTTGTTATCACTACGAAGTAAAAAATATATTTCGCAGAAAGAAACACCTCGCAATGTATATGCAATTTATATGTAGCCATTGCAGCATCGCTTCAGACAACATGTGTTTGACGGTTCATTATATGCTCCATGAAATTAGATTTTACTTGCTCACTGTTAACCCTCACTTTGATTTTAAAGGTGCTTAGACAGAGATTTGAAGTTAATATTTTCTCAAATTTTCTGTATAATATCATGACTTATATATTGCAATAGCATTTCACACGAAAATATAATTAAAAACTTATTTTATCTGGAAATTATTGGAACTACGAATTCCTGGACGTGTTTGATTAACACATCCTTGCACTTTTAAAAATTTTATCTTTATCCTTAATATTTAAGAAAAGAAGCGATTTTGTTGTGTTTTAATGAAAAACATTACATCTATAATCCAGAAAATTCAGAGAAGTAATGTGCGAAAGCAAACCCCCTCACTAATATCGTCAGCCCGAGCTCAGTGTTGTGTACAGAGTTTAACAAATCGAATACACCCGTGAAACGTAAACTGTTTTTGTAAACAGGGTACGAGCTCTGTTATTGTTAATGTTTACGATTCACCGGGTGTGTTCAATTGTTAAACTCTGCACACACCACTGAGCACGGACTGACAATACTGTGAGTGGGTTTTGCTTTCGAACATTTCTACTCTGAATTTTCTGGATTATAGTTTAAATATTTTTCATTAATACACAACAAAAATGCCACTTTTCTTAAGTATTAGAATAAAATGAAAATTTGTGAAAGTGCAAGGATGTGTCAATCAAACGCGTCCAGAAATTTGAAGTTTCAATAACTTCGAGATGAAATAAGATTTTTATTATATTTTAGTATGAAATGCTATAGCAACATGTAAGTCATGAAATTATACAGAAAATTTGAGAAATTATTAACTTCAAATCTGTGTCCAAGCACCTTTAATATGCCGGATAAATATATGAATACATATTGACAGATAAAGCATATGTAAAGTCCTAGAATTTCAAGCCGGGAGAGACGAGCATTAGTGTCTACGGACATGTGTAACGTAATTACTTGCAAGTTTCCTCTAGGCCACTGTTTTCGTTTTGTGATGATTCTACAACATCCATGCACTTCTGAAGACCCATGACGTCACAGGAATCACCGGTAGATCCTGTATAATGAAACATAGATTAACGGGTATTACCAAATATCCTTTTATAATGTCAAGGAAAATAAATATCAAACATTATAAAGATTTTTTAATTAAAAATCTTTCTTTTTTTTTTGGGATAAGCAACAGAAACCAATATTTTTTTGTTAAAGTCAACTAATATTGATATATCTTCTATAAAACAAGATAAGTTTTCATACTGTCTTATTGTACAGTATTGCACTATGACAAATAAAACTAAACAGAAATATGTTTAAGTAACGAATAGCAAAATAAACAAGATGAAACCTTATGGTATTTTTATGTATATACATGGTATCATACAACAGTGAAATAATTGTTAATGGTAGAAGCTAATTGCGGTGCTTGGAAAATCTTTCTTAAAGTAATAAGGACAGTTCAAAAAATAATTTAAAAATCAGTTTTGAAATACGCTTATAGTGTATTAATGCATTACTTTATCTAATGATTGTACCAGTGGGTATAATTTTTATGCCCCCGTATCGAAGATTCGGGGGTATATAGTTTTTGCCCTGTCCGTCCGTCTGTCTGTCTGTCTGTTTGTCTGTTTATCTGTTTGTCTGTTTGTCCGCAAAAACTTTAACATTGCCCATAACTTTTGATTGGTTGGAGCTATGGCTTTCATATTTCACGTGTATTCCTTGTGAGAAGACCTTTCTTTAGGTACCACCATATTTGACATTTTGACCTTGACCTTGGAGTTTGACCTAGTTTTACAAAATTTTAACCAACTTTAACCTTGGTCATAACTTTTGAACAGTTGGAGTTAGGGCTTTCATACTTCACATGTGTAATCCTTTTGACAAGAACTTTCTTTGGATTCCAACAACTTTGACCTTGACCTTCGAGTTTGACCTACTTTTGAAAAACTTTAACACTGGCCATTACGTTTGAACGGTTGGTGCTAAGGCTTTCATACTTCACATGTGTAATCCTTTTGACAAGACCTTTCTTTGGATACCAACAACTTTGACCTTGACCTCCGAGTTTGACCTCTTTTTGAAAAACTTTAACACTGGCCATTACGTTTGAACAGTTGGTGCTAAGGCTTTCATACTTCACATGTGTAATCCTTTTGACAAGACCTTTCTTTGGATACCAACAACTTTGACCTTGACCTTCGAGTTTGACCTACTTTTGAAAAACTTTAACACTGGCCATAACTTTTGAACGTTTGGTGCTAGGGCTTTCATACTTCACATATGTAATCCTTGTGACAAGACCTTTGGATACCAACAATTGTAATCCATTGACCTTGACCTTGGAGTTTGATGTACTTTTGGAAAACTTAAACCTTGGTAATAACTTTTGAAAGATTGGTGCTTCAGCTTTCATATTTCACCAGTATATTTCTTGTGAGAAGGTCTTTCCTTAGGAACCATTATTTTTTACCATTTGACCTTGATGTTTGATTTACTTTTGAAAAACTTTAACCTATTCCATATCTTTTAAATGGTTGCTGCTATGGCTTTCATATTTCACAGGTATATTCCTTGACACAAGACCTTACTTTGGGTACCAACATATTTGATTTGCCTTTGAGAAAGTTTAACATTTTGCTATAAGTTGTCATACGGGGGCATCAGTGTTTCAAAAACACAACTTGTTTATATTATTTCTATATTACAGGTTGACAATCATTTACACTTGTACGCTGCTCTAAATACTAATGAAACATGTTTTGGGGCGCTGAGAAAATTGTATCATATAATGATATAACGGTGTATATATTAAGATTATCTAGTTCTTTTTGCCTTATTTCTCTATGAAAAATGTTCAAAGACAATGAGGTATTCGTAAACAGATGTCATTGTTGTTTACTTACACTGAGAAAATACATACTTGGTCTATTACCATTATAATGTTTAAATAGTTCGATCTATTTCCAATTGTGTCATTTACTGTAGATTTCCATTCATTCCATTCTATATCAAAGGGCAGATTACTCTAAAACTACCATTGAATTAGAACTGTTCATTGAGCAGTGTTAAGAGCTTCCTTGAAATGAAATAAAAGATACTACAGAGTCAGACACATCTGTTTCATATTTGGATATTTTACTAGAAAAAGACATTAATGGTAACCTAAGAACAAAGCTTTATGATAAAGGTGATGACTTCAAATTTTCCATCGTCAGCTTCCCTTACTTTTGTAGCACCTGTATATGGGGTTTATGTCTCCAAGTTGATTCAATACGCAAGAGCATGCTCTGCGTATGAACAATTTCCAAAACGAGGCAAGCTATTGACAAACAAGTTGATAAAACAAGGATTTCAAAAGTCTCGTTTGAAGTCATCATTTCGCAAGATTTATGGTCGATACATTGACTTATCAGCAAATACAGCCTATCATTAAGTCAAATGTTGACTGACGTTTTTAATACAAATTGTTAGGCCATTATTTACACACTGAATTGTCTACGGATTTTCCGTTTTTACCGATTATGAAACGGCGGATGTGACCGGTCGGCAGGGGATGCTCACACCTCCATAGCACCTGATCCCACCCCTGGTGTTTTTGGAGGTCCTTATTTTGCTCTGCTCCCAATTTGTATTGATTTAATGGATTCTGAGCTTGAATACTGTTCGTTATCTCAGTTTTCATACTTATGTTATTGGTGTGATATTCTGAAAATAATGCGCTTACCCCCACAATTTGATTTTAATAAGTTCATACTGTTGTAAAAGCTGACATAAGTTGGATTCTCAGTGCATTCGTCCGAAAAGGGTGAGACACATTCTTCAAACTTCTTCCATTCCCTGTAAATATAGTATTCTAAACTGAAAATTTTCAAAGCAAACAAATACGCGACTGCAGTTAACATATTTTTTTTTTTAGGTCCAAAAAAAAGCTAACAATTCTTTGTCCTAAATAGGGACAAACTTTGAAAACAAGAATGCCAATTTTGAATTGGCAATGGATGGCGCTATTTTAAACCATTTTGACAGAAATGATACACAAAAGTAACAAAAAGGCGATAAATTAAAGAATTTTGAAATTTCTTCAGTTTCTTAAGTTTTGATGAATACTCGTGAATTTTTTAGATAAGCCTAGTAAACACAGAGCATAAGTAAGCTTGTGTTTGATTTTCAATGAATCTGGTACATTATTACTGGTACGTTAAATAGAAAGACTAGCGTAACACCTTATGTTTTATCAGTTTTAAGGTTTCTGTATCAATTGGTATACGTGTTCTTTAAACTCATTACAAATTGTGGATGGTCAGATATAAAACAAGTTCATCTTTGTATGTGGCATTACTAGAGATCAATCTTTAATTTGGAACAAGCATTATAAGAGATATTGTTTACAAAGTGTTTCATTTTTCCTAGTATCACCCAAAACGGAAGGCCAAAGGGCCTTTTGCGTTCCTCATTCTTTTGAAATCTGTTTTTGCATTGCCATTAATATTCTAATGAATAGCAAATAAATGGTCAAAAATCATAGATATCAAATACCCGGAACTTACAAACATGATTTCTGAGGATCGCTCAGAGTAGAAAGGTCAGTACTCTGCGCACACTGGGTAACTCCTTGAACATTGCACAGAATCACATCTACAAGAAAACACAATTGTTTTAATAAAAAAATCTTTAAATAAGTCCCTATGGAGAATTGTGTTTGGTAAATCTTTATTAGATGTGTTTTATTTATAATATGCTATATTATTTTTCATGCAAAAAAAATCATGTTTGTAAATCAGATGCTATCCAAAAAATATACATTTTCTTTATTGCACAATTAAACCAGAATTTCGAAATCAACAGGGAATTTTAAAAAAAAATTAATACGTACATCGTTGGCTAAAACGTGTAACTGGTAAAACGTACACTGAGAAAAACATAACAGAATTCATTAATTTTTGGCTCACCTGAGCTCAGACTATGTATACACAAATTTATATCGATATTTGCCTATTGTCTCTCCAAACCCTTTTTAGTCACCGGAGTCACTTAGGTGAGCTATTGCTCTCTGTTTTTGTCCGTCGTCGTGAGACGTGCGTAGTGCGTCGGACGTAAACTTTTGAACATTTTCAGCTTCTCTTGAGCCACTGAACCGATTTCAACCAATTTTGGCATATAGCATCAATGAGTAAAGGGGTACAAAATTTGTGAATTTCATGGTCCCTGCACCCCCCTCCCTCCCGGGCCCTTAGAGGTGGGCTAAAATCATCAAAATTAGCGCTGTGTTTAAAATTCTTAATTAACTCCGGGTCATCAAGCAGTTAAAGTGTTGGCATGATAGTAATAAGCATTGAGCCCTACCGAAATTGTGAAATTAATGGTCCCAGGGTCAGGAGTTCTGGATTTAGGGTGGGGATGTAATGATCATATAGTGAAAATCCATAACTTCTTTAAAAATCATCTCTCCCCCTGTATATAAAGCAGATAAACTAGCATCGTCGCAAGCCACGGGTTTTGTGTTCATTCTATTTCCACAAACCCGTGGCTGTCTCCTACAAATTTCTCTCGTTCTCATGAATATTAATAACATACATTCAACCAATGGAATAACATCTGACGCTTCAAGTCAGAACCAATGAAAATGATCAGTCTATCTTGTATTTGGATGTAACCATAACCACGAGCTGTACATCAACTTCGGTACGAATTTCCTTTCTTTACGAGTAACGCTATTCAGCGTTCTCACACAAATGTAGAAACCCTTTATTTTAATGTAAAACCTTGTAAGTATTTTAGAATATACGTTACTCACCTCTGTTCTTCAGGATCTATCGTATTTTTGGATCTATCGTATTTTTTTTTTTCAATAAATCTGCCACGCATAGCAAACATGATTTCATTATGGGCGCCGCCATTTAAGCGTACCAAAAATGTTACAGAGTGATTTCATTGGTCAAGTTAAATCTGGCGTCACTTAATAAATATTCAATGATTCAGTCGCGAGAACGAGAGAAATTTGTAGGAAACAGCCACAGGTTTGTGGAAATAGAATGGACACAAAACCCGTGGCTTGCGAAGATGATAAACTAGGTACATGGTTATATTGATCAAGGGTGCCTCTTCCAAATTTGTGAACTTTATGGCCCCAGGGTGAGGGGTTTCTTGCAGGAGAGGGGAGAAGCTATATTGATTATATAGTGAGAGTGCATTACTTCTTTGAAAATCTTCTTCTCTGCTCCTGATTACTTAACAAACAAATCAAGTGCATTGTTATGATGAGCAAAGGTGCTTCATCCAAAACTGAATTTCATGGCCTCTGGGTCAGGAGCTCCCGTGTAAAGACGGGGCTCTAGCTATTGCTTAAATAGTGAAAATGCATTTTTTTTTTTGAAAATCTCATTCTCTGCTCCGGGGTTCTTAGCAGATAAACTAATGGTTATGATAAATAAGGATGTTTTTTCCCAATATTGTGAAATTTGTGGTCCCAAGGTTAGGGGTTCAAAAGGGGAGGGGGGGGTTCTGTTGAATATATAGTGAATATGCAATATCTTCGTGACTTCTTCTCTGCCCCTGGGTATTTAACAGACAAACTAATTGCATGATTATGATGAGCAAAGGTGCCTTTTCAAAGAGATAGAAATCCATAACCACTGGGTCAGGGATTTTGGTGTTAGGGTAGGGCTCTTTAACATATATAGTAATAATGCATTATTTCTTTGAATATCTTCTCTGGCCCTTGGCATTTATCAAACATACTTAGTACATGGTTATGATAAGCAAGGGTTTCTCTTCCAAATTTGTGGATTTCTTGGCCCCTGGTTCAGGGGCCCTGGTGCTAGGGTGGGGCTTTGTTGAATCTATAATGAAAATGCATTATTTCTTTGAAAAATCATCTTCTCTGCTCCTGGGCATCTAGCAGGCAAAAAGAGTATACAAAGTTGTAATAAGCAAGGGTATTTTACCAAATTTTTGAAATTCTGCACCATTTGGTCTATTTATCAATTTCTATTCTACTGAAAAAAGTTATTCCCCTTTGGTTTTCACCCATGATAATTACCTGTAAATAGGTGTGAAATAAACAATGGGGCCATCATCATCTTTATAAACATTTCAATTCGCCTGACCGATCTATTCTTTCAATGAGGGTTGGAAATAAAAATATCATCCAACTAATAGTCCTGCTTTAAGTACTCCATTCCGTAGATAACGAGAAGAATACTGGATCAGGAGACTAGACATGGCCTTTCTATATCTTTGCAACGACCACATAAAAAAAAATGTAAAGAATCCCTCAAGCCCACAGTGTGATGGGACTTTTTAACAATACACCTGGACGTAGGCGTAGTCATGAACATCGATCATACAATAGACCAAATATACATGGTGTCTCTTTGATTAACTATTGCCTTACGTCAATAAACAATTTGGCCTTCATTACATTTGCACTAAACTCTACTCCGTTTCCTTCAAATTTTTGAAACGACTATTTAAAGAAGCTCAAGCAAGTCCATACATAGATTCTTCAACTGCAGAATACAAACTAGTGTTTGCGATTCTGGATGTATACCCAGCACAGGCTCTTTAAGCCACCACGTGTGTCGGAAGGTAATTCTGACTCCGTCTGTTCAATTTGCCAACAAAGGAATAGATGCTGTATGTGAACATTTGTAACATTCTTAATCTTAAACAAGAGGCCCATGGGCCACAGCGCTCACCTGAGTAACTTTGGCCTTGCTGTTTTTCATCTGATTTCTCTCCCCCTCCCCTGTAGTACTTATTGTGGCCCCGCCCTATCCCCAGGGGTCATGATTTGAACAATTGGAATCTACACTACTCCAGGATGCTTCCAAGTAAGTTTCAGCTTATCTGGCCCAGTGGTTCTTGAGAAGAAGATTTTTATAGATTTTTCCTATATATTTCAATGTAAAACTTGGATTCCCTATTGTGGCCCCGTCCTACCCCCGGGGGTCATAATTTGAACAATTTAGAATCTTCACTACCCCAGCATGCTTCCATATAAGTTTCAGCTTTTCTGGCCCAGTGGTTCTTGAGAAGAAGATTTTTAAAGAATTTTCCTATATATTTCAATGTAAAACTTGGATTCCCTATTGTGGCCCCGCCCTACCCCCGGGGGTCATGATTTGTACAATTTAGAATCTACACTACCCCAGCATGCCTCCACATAAGTTTCATCTTTTCTGGCCCAGTGGTTCTTGAGAAGAAGATTTTTAAAGATTTTTCCTATATATTTCAATGTAAAACTTGGATTCCCTATTGTGGCCCCGCCCTACCCCCAGGGGTCATGATTTGAACAATTTAGAATCTACACTACCCCAGCATGCTTCCACATAAGTTTCAGCTTTTCAGGCCCAGTGGTTCTTGAGAAGAAGATATTTAAAGATTTTTCCTATATATTTCAATGTAAAACTTGGATTCCCTATTATGGCCCCGCCCTACCCCCGGGGGTCATGATTTGAACAATTGAAAATCTACACTACCCCAGGATGCTTCCACATAAGTTTCAGCTTTTCTGGCCAAGTGGTTCTTGAGAAGAAGAATTTTAAAAGATTTTTCTTATTAATTTCAATGTACAACTTGGACTCCCTCTTGTGGCCCTGCCCTACCCCCGGGGGTCATGATTTGAACAATTTTAAATCTACACTACCCCAGGATGCTTCCACATAAGTTTCAGCTTTTCTGGCCCAGTGGTTCTTGAGAAGAAGATTTTTAAAGATTTTTCCTATATATTTCTATGTAAAACATTGATTCCACATTGTGGCCCCGCCCTACCCCCGGGGGTCATGATTTGAACAATTTAGAATCTACACTACCCCAGGATGCTTCCATATAAGTTTCAGCTTTACTGGCCCTGTGGTTCTTGAGAAGAAGATTTTTTAATGACCCCACCCTATTTTTGTCTTCTCTTGATTATCTCCCCTTGTGAGGGGACTTGGCCCTTCATTTTAACAATTTAAATTCCCCTTCACCCAAGGATGCTTTGTACCAAGTTTGGTCAAAATTGGCCCAGTGGTTCTTGAGAAGAAGTCAAAAATGTGAAAAGTTTACAGACGGACGGACAGACAGACAGACGGACGGACGGACGACGGACAAAATGTGATCAGAAAAGCTCACTTGAGCCTTCGGCTCAGGTGAGCTAAAAACTTCAGTTGCATTACACCATATTTCAAGTTGAAGTCAACACCCTGCATTTCCTACAGATATTCCCAAACTGTTGCTTCCAAACTTTTCAATTATAAACAAACCTTACGGTGCCTAGATATTGAACATATCTAAAATAATACGCTCTTAAGTGTTTCTGCTCTTCTTCTTTCAACTACAGTACCGCTGGACCCGTCATTACTGGTGATGTCAATAGAGTTGAAAATGAAGAACTAAAAGCAATCATCCTTAAAGGTCCTAAATACATGGAGACCCTGACAAAGATTATGTCAGACGTTGGGTTCAATATGAAAAGGAAAATCTGAACACTTTGACAGAATGAATTAAGTGTTTTAGAAATACATTAAAGAATCGATTAATAAATTTAAAAGACAATATGCAGACCATTTACCCTTCCGTTTTCACTAAATCGGAGGTGATAAAAGAATTAGAAAGACTACATGAGCAATATGTTATGGTTCCAGCCGACAAGCTTTGTAATAACATCGTCTTTGTTTGTAAGGCTCATTATTATAACTTTAATTAGAAGAACTTGGTTTTAATTCAACATCTGGAAATCCAACTTATAGATGCAGTTCACTTTCTAAATATGGAATTCTTCAATACCATATTTCAGTGTTTAATACTTTTAACATTCCAGGCATCCAAGATGAGTTCGAGCTACCCTACCTATACGGGATTCCTAAACTTCATAAAAATCCTTACAGAGATAAATGTATATTGCCGGGTCCAGCAAATGCTCTACCAAGCCCCTGTCTCTACTCCTTGCAAAAATGTGAACTGCTGTAAAGGAGAAACTTCAGATGTATTGTGCTACAGCATATTCTAGAGATGGTGTATATCAGATATGGATTCTCAAAAAATCCAAAGAACTTTAAAAAATCTAAAATTGCCAAATTTTCAAAAGTCAATAACATCAAAAGAAAAGGGCTTTATACAACCATTCCTCACAATATATTAAAAAAAACTAGGCTTTTGATATCATAGAGAACTGATTCTTCAATAAAAATTGGAAGTTGGAAATTTTCGTATCTTGTGATTGGTCATCAACAAAATTACTTTGTTAAAAATCACTGTGATTTTTCACACAAGTACTTTGAAGTTGATATTAAAAGGAGGCTGGAGTTCCTCATAGACAACATTTATGTAGTCTTCGGAGACCAAGTTTTCCAACAAACAGTTCGAATTTCGACTGGCACTACTAGTAATTGTGCTCCTTTATTAGCCGACATGTTTTTATATACCTATGAAGCAGAATTTATTCAAAACTTCTACATGAGAACAAGAAAACACTTACTGTGGCCTTCAACTCGACATTTAGATATATCGACGACGTATTATAAATAATTATAATTACTTCCATTCATAAGTCAACTCGATATACCCAAGTGAACTTGAAATAAAAGACACACACAGATTCTGCCCACCTGTTTCACATTTGGATGTTTTACTATGGATGATAAGGGTCAACTAACGACTAAATTGTATGACAAACGAGATGATTTCAGCTTTTCCATTGTTAACTTGCCTTTTTTATGTAGTAATACCCTGCTATCACCTGCATATGGTGTTTACATCTCCCAGCTTATCCGATACTAAAGAGCATGCCCCAAGTACGATCAATTTTTTAAGCCGAGGCAGGGGGAGAGGGTAATTTGAAAGTAATTAAGGTGTTATAAATTTTGAATTTACCAGGCGGTAGTAAATTCAAACTGTATGCACAATTTACGATATGACAAATTTTGTATATTTAATATTAAGAAAAACCAATGCTTATTTTAAGGTTCTTTTTGCTCTGAAGTTCAAGGTCACATATCCTCAACATTACCAGCAATTTTTTCCATGCCTTTGACCTTGACCCACTTTTGAAGTCAAAGGTCAAGAGTTCCAACGCAGGTGCTTCATTGCTTTTACGAGTGTTTGTGTAGAAGTTTTAAATTTTAACGAAAAAAGCTGAAGAAGTTAAGACTCATCCCTCAGTCAGAGCTACTGTCATTACTTGTCTCCCATGGCTCTTAAGGGAATATCAATGATTACCGTTAATTACGCTTCTATTGAGTTCAAACCAAATATAGACCGGACGGAATTTCTTGGCATGAGACGCATTCCAGTTCCTGTCGCCATCAAATTCTCGCTCCCTCATGTAATCTTGTTCTCTCATGTTGTCGCCTTTCCAGTCTATCCCTAGCTGACGTTTTTGTTTTTTCGCTTTGAGGAGGGAATGATTGACCCTCTGAGGAGTCTATTAAAATCCTTTGAAACTCAAATGTTCTTCAACCATGCTACATATCAGGGAAAAGGAACATTACATTGTAAACTTTCAAAGATCTACCGACAAACTAGGACCCAAATATACACAGAAACTAAGGTGTTTAACATGTCAAAGGTGGGGGGACACAATTTACTTAATTATAGCCGTAGGGTTCGGGATGATGACAATTTCCTGAATTAATTTACTTTTATTATAGATGACTCTCCTTACCGTTCTTAAAGGGGGGAGGGGGTTCCAAGGTCATTTTTTCGTTACCTTTACATAGAAATTTAATAACTCAAAATTCCAGGATTGGGGTCTACCCCAACCTCCACCTTCTAGATCTGCCCATGACTTTTTTCCTTTGAGTAAATTCCTAGTCAAAACCTATAAAGAAACAAGATTATTAAAAGAACGCGTCTTTTTTGTTGATCCCTCAGGTTTGAACACATGCAAGTATTCTAAAGCTGACAGTTCTGTTATCCTTAAAGCGCGCGTTTCTTTTAAATTCTTTACATGCTTTTGGCACAGTGTAATGAATTAATGTTTCCGATTATAGCTATTAGAATTTACTTGCATCTTCCGTTACTATTTTCTACAAGAGGACAAAAGGCGCTTAATTTTCAAAGACAATTAAAACAAACACAGTTTCCATGCATGTCTTAAATCCGATCAGTATGTGATACTAAACATCTTCATTCAATTTTTGCCACCACTTAATACTTTCTTAATAGACACCCTAAATAAATTGAAAACTTTGGAATGCAATCATCACGGATTCAATGCACGCCAGAAATTGTTTGAATTATATCAATAAAAGCTCATTGCCCACAACAATCTTATGTGTGTAATTCTGTCTGATATTCTTGTAATTTGATGATAAATTACATAGTTTATATAAGACTTCATGCATAGCGATTTTTTTTTTTTTTTTTTTTTTTTTGAAATCCAGTTGCCAACATTTTGACAAAGCTCTCGTAGCAGTCTGTGTAAAAAAGCTGTGAAATATTGTTTGAACATCAGAATCACATCGCAGCTGATTAACATCAAATTGTAGCAGCTGGAATGATCACACGATGTCGCCCCACAGAAGTGCAAACGGCACGGCGTGGTAACGCATCAAGAATATGGTTAGTCTCTATTGCTCAACAGAATATAAGATAAGGAATACCATCTCTGTTGGACGCCTGGTGTGTTATAGGAGGCATCACAGCGGTGACCAGTATGAGAAACGAGATGAACTCGAGATCTGTTGCTCTATGTCAAAGGACTGGTATTTTACGCACACATTTTACTATGAACGCAAAAGATGTCTGTGCTGTTAATTTTGAATTAATCTTAATGCGCACACTCTGAATAAACAAAGCTCGCGGACTTCTGTAGGTTAATTAACGACATTTGATATCTGGATTCTAGATAAATCCTCAGATGCCAGGCTGCTTGTGAAAAAAAATTGAAGAATTCTATAAAAAGACTCAATTAAGATATTTTTCAGTAATATTCTAATTGAAAAAAATAAAGGTTTTGTACTTTATGTATACATTGTTTTTGTGGCTCTCCAGTATAAGAGCAGAAGGGTGAGATGTGAAGAGATGGGGTGAAAAGAAGTTCAACAGGCGGTACTTGCTCAAGATCTCTCTTACCTCTTACCATTAACGCCAGCACCATAGATAATCCAAAGACATAATCCATGATGACGAAATGGTAAACAAATCACGCAAACTCCTCACAAAAATTAATACTTAGGGTTGTGAAGGTATTTTCTTAAAGCTATTTTGGCTCACCACTGCACACCAGTCTCACGAGTATATTTTAGTCTGGTTCCACCAAGTGTTTGTTATCTTGAAGGAATTCCATGGTGATCACTTTTTGATAGGGTCAGCTGACCTGATTTCAAAACTAGGTACGCGAACATGTTCCCAAAATTTAGTCCTTTGCTGCAACCTGATGTCACAAACCGATGATATTCCTTATTCTTATTTTGTTTTTTTTTTAGTTTATTATTTTATTTTATTTCATTTATCTATTTATTATTATTTTTTGGTTGTTATTGTTTGTTTTGTTTTTGTATTTTGTTTTGTTTTGTTTTTTGGTTTTTTTTTTTATTTGTTTGTTTGTCAGTATATATGTTGGTAAATTTGTTTGTTTTCTATTTTTCTTTTGCTCATAGCAAAATATAAAATGCATGTAATGTGAAAGTTGCTGATATAGGGAATTTCTAGGTACCCAAGTTTTCATGCAGTTCTTTACAATTAATAGAGATTCTTTATATTTATAAAGAAGTGAATTTATAAGTACTTGTAGAACTGCTGAGGACATCGACGGTATTATAACAGTATAATTCCATCAGTTCTGTAATATATAAGGAAGTACTAAATATTTTATTATTACCATCAGACTATTACGGAGTCTCATCTTTTATAATGAGGAAGTGAATGTCTACTAATGTTGAATAACGGTAACTTTTGTAGTATAAAAATTTAGTCGAGACTGGGATGGATTCCGCGATTCAAGATATGTGTCCGAGAACTTATTTTATCTTCATCAAAGTATAAATTTAAATCTGAAATTATAATAATTGGTTATATTCAAGATTCTGGAAATTCTTAACTCATATGTATCCTTGAAATATCGCATATTTTAAATAGATTTGTAAATCTACTTCTTTAATAAGCATTGTAATACAAGGAAGAAGTATAGTATCCAATCCTTCTGTCCTGTATGTATATAATACAATAAAATAACGGTATTCAAATCGAAAGTATTCTTGATCCATAAATTCTGCTTAATAGAAATCGTATTACGTTTTAACATACTAAATTTATATATGCACATGTACACAATCAGCGTGAAAGGTTTATACACTAGAATCAATTGACTAACAGATAAAACCAGCATCTCCTTCTGCAAAGATTGCTTTATGTTCTTCTTTATGATGTTAACTGTTTCTCTGAGAAAATGGAAAAGTCTTGTCATTATTTAGATAATTTTAATTATTTAGATAATTTTAATTATTTAGATAATTTTAATTATTTGGATAATTTTCAGATATTTCCTTTTCTCTGCTTTATAGGTAAAACTCATTTAACAATTGAACACATCTTTTCATTGAGAGCGCTTCTTAATTGTTCCTTTATATGATACGATTTTCCATATAGGAACCAAAAAAAAAACACCAAGAGCCATGTGGATTATAATGTTCTCCCGGATCACCTTACTATTTATTTAAAATTAAATCTGAAATGATGTTCCTAGAAAGTTCATATACGATATTCACTTTTAAAATATTGCCATGATCGAAATATATGCAAAATATAGAAAATGTTCTTTTTCTGCATTGCTTTTTGAAGGACATTGGATACACAAAAAATTATGGTATAGAAATTTGTATTTTTATAAGGCATTTTCATTTAAACTCATTATTATTTTGTCACAAAGATTTTTTTTTTGAAACCATCCTTTTTCTATGTATAAAAATATATACATGTATAGATGCCTGAAGCATTTTATGATGTGGAACTTTTTCAGTGAATACACTGGTTTTCCTGTACTCTATGTAATCACATGTCAATGTGCTGTAATCATACACATTTGTCATTCTTGTCCAATATTCTTCGGCCGGTCTCTTTTCGCTTCTTCACATACTTAGAAAAACCGCTTCTGTCCAATCGCATCTTCTCGTGCCTTTACAGCAAGCCGGGAAAAATACTTCGAATATATTAACATCACCGGATGTTAAAAAAATTATACAAAATGGAGCAAAATGGAGTCACTTCCTATTTACATGTACACCTCCCTTCTGTATAGGTAATATCGTTACATTCAAGTTAAGCTTCATAAGAGCCCCCCCCCCCTCCTCTACATTTATTACAAAGTTTAGGAGAAAGGGGGTCGTAATGAATGCCTATGTAATATATTCCGCTTGTCGGAAAGGCCCCAGAAGTTGTGATTGCGCCTCTGTCATTTTTCACTGAGAACCGGAAATTATTTTTTTATGTGTACCAGAGTTTATGACTTAGGCGATTCTTTTGGAAAAATTGCACAGCGCCGCTTGTGTCAACAGAGATTTCAGTCAGATATTTCAGACCGGTGCATAGAAAGCGTTAAAAAATTCATATTAAGTAAAGCATGTACAACAAAATTATTAATATACAATATTAAGAATATTTATTTCTATTCCCGAAATTGTGAGCTATAAATACTTTTTCGAATGATTCTAAATATCATATATACCTATTTTTTTTAATTTTGGGGTAATGCGCCGCCTTCTTGTACCAGATACTGATATTTTTTTTTTCTAAACAATGTTCATCTATACTATTGTACTCAATATTTGTCAATAAATCTATTTTTACTTGTTGAATCAATTTATAACTTTTAATTAATCTATGAAACAGGATTCCTAATAAATTATCGTTTGTCTGGATTTTGAATTCTGGGACAAATAATCCTCGTACATCAATTTCCAGAAAAGCCAATTAGATCTAAAATAAACCAGATATCTCTACTGGTCTTTACTTAACAAAAGTCGAGGAAAGTGGCACTTGGAATTGAAAGTATTGCATCAGCAATAAAGAAAATAATGATCATTGCTTTAGTCTCTTCATTTATTGTAATTGGACAAAAAATAATAGTAGGAGTAGCCTTTTGAAAGAATTTCACAGAAACTTCTCTGTTTAATAACCTTGGCAACACCATTTGTTAAAATCAAAATCCGATGAACAAGATTATGTATCTTCGTGAAGTCTACTTGTGTACCAAGTATTACATGTATTGTAATCAGACCAAAACTGTAGGAGGGGTAGCATGCAAATTATCTTTCTTTTATTCTATTTTTAATAATTATGGCATTCATCGAAATCAAAAACTAATATACAGAGCTAAATGTCGAGTATAGTCTAATCGTGTAAAATGTTTTATTGGAATCAGATCAAAACTGCAGGAAAAGTAGCTTTATGAAAAAAAAAAATCACAGAAATTTCTTCTTTTGTAACCATGGGAAGGCGGATAATCAAATTCAAAAACCGATACATAGAATTATGTATCTTAATGTAGTCTAAATGTGTGTCAAGTTATATTGAAATTGCACCAAACCTGTAGGAGGAGTATCTTTTTGAAAGAATTTCTCAGAAATTTCTATTATTAGTAGCCTTGGCAACCCCCATTCACCAAAATCCAAAACCGATATACAGGATTATGCAGCTTAGTGTGTTCTAATTGTGTACCAAGTTATATTGATATTGGACCAAAAGTGTAGAAGTAGCACTTTGTAAGAATTTCACAGAAATTTCTATTTTTAGTTACTTGGGCAAACACAGTTCATTGGAATCAAAAAGTAATGTATAGAATCATGTTTCTTAGTGTAGTCTTATTATGTACAAAGTTATATTGATATTGGACCAAAAATGTAGGAGGAGTGGCATTTTGTTAGAATTTCACAGAAATTTCTATTTTTAGTAACCATGGCAACCCCTGTCATCGACGTCAAAAATTGATAAACATAATTATGTATCTTAGTGTAGTCTAATTGTGTACCAAGGTATATTAAGAATGGACCAAAAGTGTAGGAGGAGTAGCATTTTGAAAAACTGTTTACAGAGAAACAGACAGACGGACGGATACGGACACCTTACTATCGCATAAGCTCTTTTGGTCTATGACCAGTACAGCTAAAAATGATCACGGTTTTGTCATAATGATAATTTGGATCGCATACCAAAGCCTATAAGGGAGGTTTGGATAGCTACATGTGTAAGCACATTGTGGCCACACAAATATTATTAATACACATTTACAATAGTTTTTTTTATCTGTCAAGATGGACGGAATGGAAAATCATGTTAAATGCAGGCTATGAACGAGGACAAAGCATCCATTTTTGTCTGGTAAATAGAAATTGATCTTGGTACTGATAATCAAGAATTAAGCATTTCTATAATGCATCCCTGTTGACTAGGATTACATGGAGTTCCATGGTCCTAGCAGACTTCAGCATCGATTTGGACTATGCATGTGAATGTGTATATACAGCAAATTTCCTAGCGACTCCATGGTGTTGTTAACTTGTTAATTTATCCTAGTAAAAGATTTTTTCACCATTTAAAGGAGGAAGCAAAAAATAAAAGAAATAGGGCGATTATAACGATTTTTTCTTGAACGATTGAGATAGAAATGACAAATCATGTTGATATGCATTTAATTGAGATCATAATTCTCCGCCAAGAGGCAGTTCCAATATAATACCATGCCTACAAAATTTTAGGTTTTATACATATACCTTTAATCTTATTGACAAACTTTGGGTTATAAAAAAAAATACTCCCTTTGTCAGTCGAATAAAAGCGAAATAAAGGCCTGTGAATTTATATATAATACATGTAATATTTACATTTCCAATTGTTGTCTTTTTTTAAGATTCTTTACAAATTAGAAAAAAGTTCATTTTCTAATGAACTGCCATGAGCATGAATATCACTATTGTTACTTCAAAATACCCTACTTGTCGTCAAAACTATAACAGAAACTGTTTTAGTGACAGTTGCATGGCATAATGATAGATAATGTAAATATAAGAAATGAATTTAATTTTGGAAAATTTGTGAGGTACATGAACTACACTTCATGAAATATATCGCCGAGAAGCATCATAAATTCATGTCCTCGTGAATTTTCAAAAATTATATTCGTTTCTTAATTAAAAAGTGAATATAGCGAATTGTGAATATATAGTAATTATGTTATATTATGGGTGTTCATATTCAGTGAAAAAACTAGGCATCTCCGGAGAAACACGGGAGGAGCCTCCATCTATTGCGAAATCGCCGTGCTGCACACACGTGTGGTGTAACACCAAAACACTAAAGATAATGAATACGTAATGATTTCATAAAGTTTCACAAACATCAAATTTTTCGTCTTTATGATATATCACAATCATAATTATCTCAGTATACAAACCAAAACTTCTCTGGATTCCTTTAGATAATCAATTTACATGCGAAAATTCACAGCAATATATAATTTCAAGAAAACTCTCTACCCTATTTGGGGCCCTATATTGCGGAGAAAAAATATAGCTGAAGTGGGTCACAAATAAAATAAATGAACACTTCATTATTTTTATAAAAATAGTTGTCAGACAATCTTCATTACTTGTATATCTCTCGTGCCTACTCCCGTAAGGTACAAAGTCCTGTGTCAAACAATTTTACAGTGAAAATAAATGTTTATTCTCTGAATTTGTAACAATTCTCTTTTAAGGATTAAATACTATTAGATTTGTTGAGAAAAATTATTATTTCTGTTTTAAAAATTAAGCCAAAATGGAAAACTTCCAAACCATTGTATACAGAAACTTTCAGAAAAAACGAAATTCAGATTAATTGATATATCGTTCATATACATAACCAGTGAGAAAATCTAGACCTGGTTAGGAGCACCAAGGATCCCACAAACGTATACAGTAAACTGCTGTTTCACATTTCTGTATAAATAGTTCTTTTTTATAAGCATGGATGTACTCGATTAAGCTCTGATGATTGTTCCTCAGATATCGTCTTTTGTACATCTTTGTAATATATGCATGCCTAAAATATTTTATAATTAATAATACATGTATTTTAAAACAGGTTTCGCAGACCAATGTACGTGTACTTGTGCGTGTACAGTACGTGAGAATTACAGGTTCGCCTTTAGAATTTTTTAACTTGTACATGTACTTGTATAATTATTATAACCGCAATTGAAGAGCTTTCCAGTAGGATTATGTATTGTTATATTGTCATATATCATGTTTGTTCTATCATTTGGATCCTCCTCTCTCTCTCTCTCTCTCTCTCTCTCTCTCTCTCTCTCTCTCTCTCCTCCGGTGTCCCAAAATGGACTAAATAAAATTTTGTATCTTGTATTAATATAAGGAATACTATCCTCTGGAATCTTGCACGAATACCTGGTAATGTACCTAAATATTCTAATTATTCTGCGAGGAAACTTGTTAAAGTAGAAATTTTAGTAGTACTTGAATGACCAATTTTGGGGAAAATTATATTTTATTGAGGAATGTGTCGTCTGACCTTAAACAGCTGTTTATGAGTTAATAATTGAAATATTAAGATTATAACATTACAAGTGTATTTAAATATACCTGTCACATACGTGGATAAAACGATAATGGATATCTTTTATTTCAATTTAATCCGTGCAAGGACAAAGAAACTATGATAAGTGATGGGATTTATTTTTTTTACACTAGTCAAAATGTTTCAAGGAAATGACATAAAAAGCAAGAAAGTGTTGTATAATTTTTTGCAATTGTGAATACTTGTCATTAAATAAGTATCCAATTTTATACAAGGGAAAGTAAATAATTTTAAAGATAGTACTGAAGGAACCACTAGATATTAGACAAAAGTGCCACTAGACAAAACTGCTTGCATTGTAAATGCGTAGTATCACTTTTCACGAAACTGTGTACAGTGAAGGCCACATTCTACACAATGTTACCACACATCAGGTCGTACAAATAAATAAACAATTTCATGTCGATAACCGTAGATTATCACAAACAGGTAGATAAATTCATTAAAGTAGTAGTCCCATCTTTAATTTGAAACACATACCGGACAATAAAATCTGGAGATAACGCAATATAGAACTTGTCGACTGAAGTCCCCCTACTCTTGTCTTATGGTAATCAAAGGTCCCTTGTTATCAAAAGTACCCCCTATAACTGCTGATCACTGCTAAAACACCTTGCTATAACCTGTCCTGTCACGAGAGGTTCTCCTCAGTCACTCCCCCTGTAAGTTTCAAGAATGAAGGGGGCATTGGTGTTCCTCGCATTCCTCGGTCTTCATCTGACAACTGCCCAGGAACCAGGGAGATGCATTGTACCATCTCAATTCCAGGTAATTCATTTCTATCATGAAGGAAAGCCTTCCAAATCTAGAAATTTAGACCAAATTATTATAAATGAAGTGTAAAACTTCAATTAATATTTGTTTTTTAAATACAAGTAGTTTGCATTAGAGATTTAGCTTTTCAAAGAAGGATAACTCGAAAATGTGAATATAAGTACTTCGAGCAATGTCGTGAATGTGGTGGGTGAACGGAAGCAGAGACTCTTTGGTTGACGGTTTGGTTTAATGATATTGATGCACAAACTCCGTGTATCCTTGCACAAGTTCAGCAGTAGGCAAATGAATTGGAATCTTTCGTGGAGCGCCATTACTGCAGTTAAAATTGCCTCTTGCGATCAGTCTGCTGTAAAAATTAATGATTTTGATTACCTTAATAAAATGTGGTGGCCTTACTATAATTTACTTCTTCTATCCAATAGGCTAGGGTTGCCCAATTAAACTATGCAGAGGACAGAATTAACAGGTTTATGTTCGTCTACGATGCCGTCAACAAACGGGAGGCGATCTTTGAAGAGCTGAGCGAGTTTACCCCTGGAAGAAGGTATTGTAACTAACTGCTCATTCATATAATGGCATTTGAATTATGAAAAATATTCGGCAAAGATACATGTATGGGAACCTTAAGAATTTAATATGATTATCTTTCCTTAGGTTCTATGAGTACCTTATTCTTGACAAAGAAAGAGTTGAATATAAAATAGATCTAAGAACTAGGAACTGCACAAAAGCCCCAGCCAGGGCCTGGAGGGATATAGGCATCCCCCCGAATGCCACCTTCGTGAACGAGTACAATATAGGTGGACCAGGAGAGAGTATAACGCTACAGGAATGGTCGGATGCTGTCCCTTTACGACACAGTAAGTATTGCTATAGTATATGGGATGAAGCTTAAACTCTTTACAACTTTCTGAATGCCCTCTATTCATCTCGGAATGATTCCAAGTACGCAAAATCCCAATAAAATCAGATTTGGCTGATAGTAAAATCGTATGTATATTGAAATATTTTACCCAGACAGTCATGACTCCTTGAAATACACTTAATTTTCTTTTTCTTGTTTTTTTTTCCAAATGATAAAGTTTTCCTCTCCTGCATTTTTTTCAGATGCCCGTCTCTATATGTCGTTTACACTTAATAACTGCATCATTGTAAACGAAGATATCCTGGGAGGCGGCGCCAATATAACGGATTCCGTTTCCAACAGATTCTTTGACTTTGTGGAAGGTATCGAGAATCCGAACGTCTTTGTCGTCCCACCGTCATGTCAACAGACAAAGTATCGGCAGGCGGAGCCATTCACTCTATGGCCTTGAGGAGCTGAATTGAAGATGGTCCTGATAAATAGTAATAGAACGACTCAGTAGTTTTAGAATCATAAGAAAGTTTTAGATAATTAGAGTTTAAGGTCGCGGAGACCAATAGAATTCAAGTAATAAAAGAATTACATATCAGAGATTATGATGTAGTTATTATATGAATTTTGAATTATTCTTGTGAAAACAATTTCATTAAGAATACACTCGTGTTTAAAAGGGTAAATGTTTGTATATATATATATATAAATATATTTATCAAGTCTATATTCAACTATTTATATATGTGATGCTATACATGTAATGGGAAGCATCAGACTGGACTGGGTTTAGTGCAATATAAAAATTTCCTATGGGAGTGTGGGGAAGCTCATTCAAGCTAACTTACATGTGATATGTGCGTGGGGTGCCAAAGGTGTGTGTGTGTTTTTTAAATATATGTATGGTCTGTATGTGAGGGTAATTTGTCTCAATCTTGTATGTATTGTTGTTTGATCAGAGTAAGTAGGTATGAGAGATTGGGGGTTGACTCCTCCAAAAAACTTCATATTCCCTGTCTTCAGTTGTACCTGCAAATACTCAAATAAATCACATTTGTAAATCTCTGCACAAAAACTGCATTTGTTTTACTTTTAACACCGATGTTGGAGCATTTTACAATAAAGTGCCATTTTGATGTAAACATGATATTCTCGAATGGCAGAAGAGTCAAGGAAATCAAGCCTATATGTAAGAAAAGAGTTACAGTTTACATTCCGGGTTACATTCAAGGAAATCAAGCCTATATATAAGAAAAGAGTTACAGTTTACATTCCGGGTTACATATTCAAGGAAATCAAGCCTAAATATAAGACGTTACAGTTTACATTCCAGGTTACATTCAAGGAAATCAAGCCTATATGTAAGAAAAGAGTTACAGTTTACATTCACCTTCTTCAATGGTTGATATCACATTTCCAATTTAATACTTGGTGATATCACCCATTCGAGAAGTTATATTTTGTTTTCGAATAAGTGATATCACTGTTTCCTCTGGGTGCAGAAAAGGATTTTTTTTGTTTTTGTTTGTTTGTTTGTTTGTTTGTTTTTTTTTTTTGGGGGGGGGGGGGGGGGGTTCAGCCTATATCTTAAAATTATTTGATCATGGAGAGGATGTGGCTCGGATTAAGTTCAACAAGTCCCGAGAGTCGATCTCTTTCATCATCATTTTGTAGATTAAAAAAGTCACGTCTATTTTTAAGCATTGTCATATAAGAGTGCTTTTTAAAATTTCGTATACTTTTAATTGACGGACGCTATATATTTCTTTTTCAACAAGATTGTCTTGAAGGAGGGGTCTTTCATGATTTAATGTAATAAGAAATACAAATAGATATCATTCATTCGAATTCGACTAGTTAATTTCACCAATTCAAAACACAATTCGAACAGGCATGTTGTATTACCCAATTGATAGGTGATGTCACCAAATCATTTCATTATATGCAAGGTTTCGTTTCATATCACAGTATTTTGTAAGTTTTCAATCGGTATAAAAATGAAAAAAAAGGCACTTTACTTGATTTATAGAGGAAATAGACTGAAAAACTGTGTTGATAAAGTATTGTTGGAAAAAAATCCACACATCAGGTCCGATAAGATCATGAAACAGCTTAAACTTAAGTCAAAATCTCTATGTTATCCTGGAACGGTATAGAAATCAAGGAGTCAAAATTAAGTATTTTACAGATGTATATTTGAAATTTTGATATGTCTAAATTTCTTTCCTTATCCCGGGGCCAGAAAAAAAGAGTATCTTATTTTTGGGAGACAACCCCCATTCCTAAAGGCCTGGGATGAGATGGGAGAATGTAAACAATATGCTTGTAGTGAACATATCAATTAGAAGAATTACGTAGTGTTTTAGTGATTTTCGTACATTTTCATGAAAACCGAAAGAACAAGCATGGCCGTAGGATATATAGAACACTATAGAAAACATAGCTATTATATGCTTGTGCCCCCTCAATCAAAACGTCTGATGACCTTTTTTTTTTCTTTTGCTTGTCAAGAAATTTTGGTACTTGATAGTGCCCCCCAACTGAAAATGTATGGTTGTGCCCCCTCAAAGTGAAATTGCTTCCTACGGGCCTGACAAGCATTAATTAATTACCCAGTGTATATGGCAAATGAAAAAGTTGAGATGCAAACAATTTTAACCTAAACTGCAAAGGATTGGAGTCAATAAAAAAAATATCCATATCTCGAAACCAACGTGCAGTTGATTCATGTGTTTCATATATGAACCATCTTTGATTTTCTGGATACTCTCCTTTATCAGAGAAAAGTCTTGCCAAAGAAGAAACATCAAATCTGTTCGAACAAACATGTAATTCGCTAAATTATACAAGTAAATACATGTATCCAGTTCGTCCGAACAATTCCGAAAATATTTAAATCTATACTTTCTACTAGCCATAAAAATACATGATTAAGAAAGAATGTATTTATCCACACAAATATTTTGTTCGTCTGAATGAAGAATTAACCAGTACTAGTCAGAACTATTTTCTTCTTGTCGGAACAAATGTCCGAACAATTGTAATTCTTTTCTCAGGGCTTTAACGGCACCATACTATTGCATTTCGATTTAGACAAGTTATTGCTTTCATGGATTTTTTTTTGTTGTAAATTTGTTGAAGTTATCAAGATTCTAAGATTACAAAATGTATTTACTAACAAGGTCATAACAATGAACCGGGAACTTTAGAAATGCTTACATTCTGAAAAGTTTCATTAAGTTTGTCCAAGACATCTCAAAGAAAATGCTCGGACAAAATAATAGGTCTAGAGATAACAATATGGTGTCCTGATCGACATATATACATGTACGTTCCTGACGACATAATAACAGATTTAACCAAAAGCCACCGTGGCGTATCTATTGTGCAATTTTAATTTTGTGCTGAGATCACAATACATGTAGGTCTAACTAGAGTGTTCCAAGGAACGCATGTCGCCTGCTTTGTAGCTTCGTTAAGTGTGGTCAACTATTTGTATTTATACTTATATTTACTACTAGCATGATAGTTCGATCGTGCATTTGCCTGCAAAGAAATAAAGCATCCAAGACTGCGTTATAATCTTATAATCAAAGAATATATGGTTCCCCAACCCTCACATGAATGATTAATAATTATTGGAAATGATTATTTATCATTTTATTAATACACGTTTCCAACAATCCCGATGTATTTTAATAGTACAAGTTTGTGTGGTAACTGAATATCATACAGTTTCAATGTACAGTATCGTGCTCATAAAAATGTATAAAAGCTAATTATCAAAACCCAAAAAAAATCAAATGTCATAAGTTAAACTAAACTTTATTATTATTAATTATGAAATTAATTCCGCGGGGTATTTTTCGCAAAGTAAGTCAAAGGTCAAGGTCGAGTGGACTGTCACGCTGTCATTATTCATAATGTTTAATGACAAATGGTGCAAATGCTGAACATTATAGACTTACCTCTTGAATGTCAAAAATATGCTGAATATCGGCACTACGAACTATTTTGAAAAGTGGCTCAAAGGTCAAGGGTCACAAGATCGGTAGCCATGGCAATTTACAAAGCCATAGTGATAAGCAATATATATGTGCTAAATGTCAAATCAATACCTCTTACAGTTCTCGAGATATAAGGTGTGACAGACGGACAGACAGACAGACGCCGAGTAAAGTGATCCATGAGTGTCGCTCTGCAGGCGACACAACAAAAAGAAACGCATGTAATGCTGTTAAATACTTTTAAAAGTGCGTGTTCGTCCAGTGTTAATCCAAAAAAAAAAAACGCAAGAAGATCAATTTCTTATAGGTTGCACATGTAGAAAACAGTTGACCCCTAGGTCTCTTTTTCTACAAAAAAATACATTTTTCTATGGATAGGGGGTCATTTTTCGATGACCCCCGGTCATTTTTCCAAGGGGGTCATAATCGTCTTTACCGGATAGAACATTTATTATTGAAGTAAATTGATGAAATGTTTCACTTAATTGTTGAACCTAATAATGATGTGAAAATTATAGTAATCAAAATGTTTTTAATGCAATTTATTGAATTTATAGCAATAACTTTCAATTGTGTCATGGTCATTTGCATAGTCACTCCTTCAGCACCAAACTGCACGCGACATTACGTCATAGGCCTAGGTCCATCGTAAGTGTACAGGGTGTTCAAACAAAGCAGAAAGTATGAAAGAGATGGTTGTATCGAAAAAACGAGTGTGCAATTGCATTTGATGGATTAATTTAAGCAGTATGAGTATTTCAAAAACCATAACAAATACAGGCACAATACTGGAAACCTGGATCCGCCCGCACTTTGACCCGCTACATTACTGTTACTAGGGATACGCTTGCATGTCGCGAGGAAATCCGAGTCAAGCACTGTAGCCACAGGTATCAAAATTATGGAATGTAGTGTGAAATAGTCCAGATACAATTATATACGAACATGTATCAGTTTGCATGTAACTCAAAGAACTCAGAAAACAGTTGCTTTTAAGGGAATCATCGAACTGCGCGTTTTCAATATTGTTAGATTTCAGTTATCTGTTTTAATTTGAATACATGTATTTCAAGAAAGTCTGTGTATTTTTAAAATATTTGTTTAAATTAGTTAACTAATGAGTTTACATGTAATCCTCATGAAAATGGTTTTCACGTATGCATTTTCAGATCGAAAGGGGGGGGGGTGAATTTTGTGGGGTTTCTCATTTTTCCTCTGGATAGGTTATATATGCTTACAGAAATTGAAGAAAAAAAATTTCAGAAGTATTGAGTTCCTTTGGAAGTTATTGTACAGTATATTGGAAGTTATTGCACGGCTAAGCTCCGCCCCCTAGAAGTTATAGTACGTTGGAATTCAGCCAAAGGTTTTCTATCTGATTTAAAGTATGGCTAACATCAAAAGGAAAAGTACCGCACCATGACACAAGACATTTACAGACACTTTCTTTCGTTTGTAAGGGATTTATTGTACAGAGAGGCGTGACAGTCTCGTCGCTGCGCGACTCGACTGCCACGCCTCTCTGTACAATAAATCCCTTACAAACGAAAGAAAGTACTGTAAATATAACGTTTAGTGCATTAGTATATCGATGGATAAAAAATATATACATGCATGTATATATTAAATCATATTAAAATTATATATTCAGTAATAATTTGCCGATTTTTATGGTCTCTGATTCCCTTGGGCCCGATAGGAGTGGACATGAGTGAATGATGTTTTTTAAAGAATCATGGTAGATAGATGATGATGGAATCATCTATCTGTGGAATTCACCTGGATTCATGTTTTCGGGTGTTATGGTGGTCATAGTTGGTTATATATTGAAATTTATTTCGTGATGGGCATTAACAAGCAAACTTCACTTAGCCCTCTGAAAAATGTTAGCCTCTGGTTCAGAGGGTGGAACTAAATTGGTCATCAATTGAAAATGCATTATTTACAGTTGAAAAATCTTCTTTAGTTGTGTACATCTATAAAGCAACTTTGCACATTTAAACTTTTTCCAAAACTGTAAAATTCATGGTTCATGGTCCTCGCATTTGGACCAGTCTGAGGTCATTGGTCACTGATTAAAACGAGCATTAATATTAAGCTCATTTCCTACAATTTTAAAATCTAGGTCACATGTAGGCAGTGTTCAGGCTCCAGGGTGGGCTAAGTTGGTCATGTAGTGAAATTTATTATACACTGTGCCTGGACTTCTAGGAGACAAGATGCATAAAAATGATTATACATACAATTCCCTCAAAACTCATGGTCGTAGGAATGGGGGGGGGGGGGGCTTGCCCCCCTTCCAATGATTTTGCCGAAATATAGAGTAAGTACTATTATAGAAAACATAGACCTCTACTATATGCTTGTGCGGCACTGCCTCCTCAATAATGATGACCTTTTTTTGCTTGCCAAGGAATTTTGGTAATTGATAGTGCCTCCCCCACCCCCAACTGAAATTGTATGGGTGTGCCCCATCAAAGTGAAATCAGTGACGTATACGTCACTGGTGAAATATTGCTTCCTACGGGCCTGAAAAATATTCCTCTCTCTGAATGCCCTTCCCCCTATTCACACTGATTCATTTTCATTATTTTCGACAGCTGTTTGACTGTTGTTTAACGCAAATTAAGCGCAAGTGACTCATAATATAAAATAGATATGACATTTTAGGCGAAATCGTAATTTGCCGCGTCCAAATACTACAACCACGTGGATCGGATGGATAATCCTAAAGATGTTCCGAATGCATAATTCGATGCGACGCCATATTTGAAATATTGCGTGTTTGAGCTGAAGAACTATGAGAAAAGGAAGTAAATAAGAGACGACTGGTGGTTATTCCCGGTGTATCAACTTTCGTTTTAGTTTCAGCGAATAGGTCAGTGGTGTGATGTACGTTTGTTATTGTAAGGGCATGAGCAGCTTAGGTCTCTTTGTAGTTATGGAAATAAAAATGTTTCTTGTGATTTTTTAATGGAAATTTGACCTGTTGACATCAGTTTATTTCAAGAAATCGTAGAAACAAAAGGCATACTGGAAAATGTTACAAATCACAATAAAGAAATAAAGTAAACAAATAAATAATGAAGATTAAGAGGTTACAATATTGGAGGCTTGGTTGTAAAGTGTAGGGTCATCGACCACCACATGCAGGCCTATGCCAAGGCCTGGCAAAGGTCAAAATGGCATGTGCTGACAAGGCCTTCGTGTATTTTAACTTTTCAATGATAGTAATAAATTTGTTAATAAATTTCTTAAAATGATGTATATTAATAATTAATAACCTTGTTATTATGTCCAATTGCTCAAATAAATTATTATTTGATTAAACATAATGACATGATTTTTTGCCAACATGTTACTTGGAGAATGGATTCTACCAGGAAGTGGGGAATATTCAATCTTATCTTTGTAAAACCATTGCCCCTGATTCTTGATTTGAAAAGAAAATGAATAGATCTAATCAAATATTTTAAGTCTGTAAGGTTAAATATCTAGCAATTAAAACATTCTTTTCCTTCATGTTTGTGCATGCCAAGGTATATTGAATCCTTTACTCAAGACGGAATGTTGCTATCTTCTGCTATCAATAAATAAATGCATTTACAATATTTTTTATCACAGTTTGGTGGTGGTGGGGGGGGGGGGGTCCTTTTTTATGTGGATTTTTTTTAAAATTTTGGTTTATTTTGTTTCTTTGGGTTTTTATTGTTTTGTTTTGCTCCCTTTAAAAGAAACATGATCAGCAATATGTGTGAAGATTTGTTTAAGTTATCAGTATAATCACTCTCTGAGGTTGAGTAAAATGTCCCATTTATTGAATAAATCTTTTGACATGTTTATACAAAAGACTTCTTGATTTAAAGTTCCAAGCGAAACAAAATTTCATAATAAAAGCATATTAATAGCTAGTGTTTATTTTAATAACAAATATTTATTTTTGGGTGATCTTTATTTAGCCACATTTATGATTATTGTATTTGCACATATGAATTATGAATTGTTGTCAGTATAAGGTTGGGAAGTTTTCTTCAGAACAAGGAAAAAAATTCTCATATGAGCGATATTCCTACGATACTTTGTGCTGTGGCTATTTATAGGTTTGGGGATTTTTAGATTGATAAACATATCAAATATATGTATGTCTGTAATAAGTGACCCCAAGGAAGAGATATTTTGTGAGAAATATTCAAAATAGTAAGTTGATTTCTTAAAAAAATTAAAAATCACTAGTAAGAGAATATTGATGACCCTTGGATTGCATGTACAGAACACTTCATTGCACACTGATGTTGCATGGTAACAAGTACAGAGTCATGTCTGGTGTGTTTTTTTATAATGCTTGGTATTGAAAACTTTCAGAGTGAAGTTGAATATGAAAAATAAAGACAAATGAAAAATTAATTCAGACTTCATTATATGTACAATTGTCCTTTAAGGCTTGTCTGTAATTATTACATTAAAAATAGGTTTGATCTTGGATCATGTTTTATGTTTTCATTACTTTTCATCCAAATATGTTATAATTTTATGGCCGTAGATTTACTGTTTATTTGTTAAATAGTCTTTTATCACATGATTACAAGTGTAGTTTGTTCTTTTAAGATCTGAAGAGAGAGGTTTCAAAATAAAATGTGAAGTTAGGACAGAAATCATTCCATATTACTTTTATTAAAAATTAATGTTTTTGGATTTTTATTACATGTATGATCGATATAAATACACTACATGGAAATTTGTATCTTTCATCCTACATTACCCGTTGGCAGTAGAGTGTTGTTTAGAATCATTGATTCTTTCACTTTACGGTGATAATTGGAGGAAAAATAGACTTCGCTAAAATTGTTACTAGGCAACAATTACAGCTTTTTGCCGATAGTAAACTTATTTCTTTAACAATGTTTTTTTTTATATATTGATTTTTTTTTTCAATACATTGTATTCAGATGTTACTCCTTATTTCTACTTGTTTGACCTGCTGTTTCATGTTTTGGTTTGGTTTCATTTGATAATGTGACATTTAAATTACGGGGGAGAAAAATAAAAAGGCTGAGTAAGGTAAATTCATATCATATGACAGTACTTCTTCTTAAATGAAGGCAGGGATAAAAGTATATACATGTGTCAGAGAATAAAATTTCACCTCACAGTTGTTCATGGGACTAATTACGACAATTGACAAAAATGCAGTTAAGTTTTCGTATAAGAAGTATGTTGATGACCATATACATGCATATATACCATAAATTCTCCTCAAAACTGTTTTATTTGTGCATGGTGCAGTATCCTTTTTATTTTTCCATATAACAGAATTGACTTTAGTAAAGTGTAACATTAAGTTATAGTAGTGTGGTTTTATTGCATACACTGGCATGTAGTACATCTCTCAGCTGAGTAACTATTCAACATGTGTTTGTACTTTGTCATGAAATGTTCTAATAATAGCTGTTTCAGCCTTCTGTATTATCATATTAATGCCAACAATTTAGTGAAGTTGGAAGTGTGTGATATGAAGAAGAGTTTTCTTCCCTAGAAACGTAATTAAATTGAATGGACAAAACAGATAGGGAATTTATGACTTTTAAAGTGGTAACCTAATACAACTTTTGATTTTTTTTCCCTAAAGTTCTTTGCCTTTGGAAACTTGTACAGTTACTTTGGAATAAATTAGTTTGGGGAAAATCATGACTCTGAAAGTCCCTAGAATATTTCTGAATATTTATTTATATATATTATACTATACAATATACTAAATTTTTTTTTTTTTCTTGAAGTGTGTGTTTTCTTAGGCTTCTTGGCACCTTTTTGATCCCTATAACTAAATACTTGACTGCATGGTTCAATACATTAGGAAGATTGTATAATAAAGAATATCTCTTATAACAGTTCTTTTCCTGAATAGAAGGTACATGTGTATATGAAACAACTTTAAGGATAATTAAAGTTGTTTTTAGAATGTTATCATAAAATAGAGATATGAAAGAACTTTTAGGATAATTTAAGTTGTTAAGAGAATGTTCTAATAAAATAGAGACCAATAGAAAACCAGTTCATCTCCATCATACTAGAGTTAGGTGCATGACTGATCGACCAATACATGAAGTAGATTTTAAGTACCTGTAGCTACATGTGAATTCTTTTGTGTTCTAGTTAGTAGCTGCAGCAAACATAGTTAACAGGTTAATGATAATGCATTCTTTGCCAGTATGTATACCTTTTAAATTGAATAGATAAATTATAGTACCATGTAGTTTTGAATTTTCCAGTTCTTTTTTATTTACAAAACTTCATTTAAATTTCATAAACCCTCGACTCACTCATATAAAATGTTTCTTTGACTCTTATGATTTTCCAAAAGAAATATATGCAAACAATTATAGCATAGCTTGTGGGGCAAAACTGGACAAAAAAGACACTTCAACTTGACAAATTTATAAAGGAATAATAGACATTTATGTTATTTTAAGTTATCTCTCTTATCAGGGTATCAATGAACCTTAAAAAAAGATATTAGAAGGAATATTGAAAGCCATTAAATAGCTCAGTTCCTGACAAGTTAAATTTTGACAGAATTTTTTAATGAAAAAGGAAGATTTTTGCAATTGTGAATATACTTGATAAGCATTTGACCCTGTGTAGAGTTAATCATAATGACCTTAAAAATTAGCTCCTTTCTTTGATTGTATATTTACATGAAACATGGCCCTGCATTGCCTTATCTCCAAAGTAACTTAGGTCCACCTATGTACATGTAAGTAAATATTCATTCCCTGTTTCAGTGAAAGAATTATATATAGACACCTCAGACAATATCATGTCAGACTCCGATAGTGAAGGTGTGCCGGACTTGGTCGAGTCATCAGATGAGGACATCACAAAAACAAGTCTACCCACTAAACCTGCAAGTAAGTCAAATTATATGTCCATGTAACAATTCACGTAAAAATGCAGTTTTTGCAAGTTCTCACGTCAGAATACTTCAACAAATCCACAAGAAGTACATGTATGCATTTAATTTTGAAAATTTCTAGCTTCAAACAAATTCACTGTCCTTTTAAGTAACACTTGAAATTGCCCATTTGAAAGTTATAATTAGATTTTTTTTATATCAGGTGAGTATTTAGAGATCTGGATGAAGAAAAGTGACCGTTTTCTGGACCGACAGGACAGCCAAGTTCACGTCCTATCTCTGGGACCTTTCCTGCTGGGTCTTAATAACTTTGTCCAAAAGCCATGGATTCAGGCACTTAAGGATGTTAAACTCCTAGAAGGAAATAGGTTGGTACATGTAAATAAAGCAGTAAATAAAGCACTTAGTAATTGTGTCCCTTGCAAACAAAGTGGGGGGGGGGGGGGGCATGGGAATCACCATGTCCATCTGTATACCTACCTACCTGTCCTGTTCTGTCCCACTTTATGTGCGGGCAATAACTTTTCAGTTGAGTAGCATGAGAGCTCAAAGGTGACAGAAAGGTTGCTAAGATCAAAGGGTAAATTTTGCCCCCCCCCCCCCCAAATTCTTATAAGGCCATCTGTAACTTGCAGAAGTCTTGACACAGAGGATTTTTCTTGAACCATGGTCGAGCTCAATTCCTCAGGTTAAAGTTAAAGGAACTTATTATAAGATTGTAGTGTATTAACCTATAAATTATATTGTAGAGGTAATACAGGGTCCTACTTGACATAGAGGTTGATTATGTCAGAGAGTGTATCGATCATAAGTTCCTGATCGGAGATTGTTTGGACAAGTTCAAGGTCACAGGGATCAGGATCATAAAATTCTTGTCTGGAGCATTACTCTACAATACAGAGACTGTAGAATCTCATTAGTGTGGTTTATGACATTAAGTTATGTTTTCTGAGAGCCTAGATCAAGACCATTTAAAAAAAATTTGAAATTTTTGTCTGTACTAGAGGTTTGTAATCATGGTAATGTGTAAACTGTAGAGGCACATATTTTGCAAAGTTGACAAGAGATATTAATTAATATAACCTTAAATCAATTGTAGATGGTCAACATCAAGTTAACACATGGATAATATAATTATTTTTTAAAAATAACTGGTTTTATGCAGTTTTTCCCTTCAGGGTATGAGTCCAGCATGGACTACCATATTCTCATTAAAGAATTAATTTGAAGAAATTTTTATCAGAAGTTTAAATCATGTAGGTAATCTTATCATAGTCTTGCTATTATTTTTTGTTTGAATACTTCATGGTTTTAAAATTTGTATTATTATTCTTATTACAGAGAAAGTGAGATATCGGCATTGTCTTGGACAGAATGGGAATCTGTAGATTTGGTGGAACAGGTTTTCTTAGTGATGCAAAGAAAACTGGTAAGTTTTTAATACCTACTGAGTCAGGCAGTATATGTGTTATATCGGATACACTGTATGTCATGTTCTTGATCGGATACACTGTATGTCATGTTCTTGTTCAGGTTTACGTGGTTTAGAAGAATAATGTTTCATTGTTTGATTTGGATAGTATTTTGGTGTAATTATGACACTTATTGATGAGTTTTCTTTGTCTGACAAGATTTCTGCATACTAACAGGATGCAAGTAAAAGATTATATTAGTCCTTAAGTTATCAGTTCCTGTACAGATGTTCATGCTACTAAAGTTATCAATTCAACTTATTCAATTTGTTAAAAGACTGGAATTCAGCTTATTATGAAAAAGTCAAAGACCAACATCAGAGTACAGTTACAGGTCTTGTTAAGTTAGAGTATGTGGTTTTTCCCTTATCATTATGTAGAAAATATATCTGCTACTTTAAATTCTGAAACAAATTCATGTTATTTCAGAGGAAACAGTCTTACTTAATCTCATGCCTTGATCTGGTGGACAAAGTAGAGGGAAGTATGAAGGAAAAAATCCATCTGGAGGGTTGTATTAAACTGGCAGAAGATGTGGAAAACATCATGAAAATGTGGTACGTAAAGGCAAAACCAGCTGATAAATGGGAATGCCAGATTTTTGACTGTCGTGTTCACAGCTTGAATGGCACTTGATAAACACCTTATAAACACATTATTCCTTTAGAATTTTTATTTCAGGAAAGGAAGATAGATAAAAAGGATTTCCTGTTAATTTCCCTAGATACTCTACTTTCATTGTTGACTTTTAGTTTACAACATTATGTGTAAAAGTGCATGGAATTGCAGGTCTGCCTTCATTTATTGATGGGCTAATGATCATGGATGATTTTTTTTCTTGTAGGAATAAAATGAACAAGTCCTCCTTGTGTAAAAAGAATGAGAAGCAAACCAAATTTGCAATCATTTATGTAGCGAAAGTTTGTAAGTAGTACTGGAAAGTTGTGCACATGTTATCCACATTACAAGGACACGAATGTTAACTACTTTGTGATTTTAAAGTTCATCTGTTAATTGCATTATGAAGCTATGAAGTTTTCATCAGTAGTTTTTTTTTTTTCCGGATTGAACTTAGATCTTAGTCTTTTGAATTTAAACATATTTATTGAAGATATCCTTAGTATTTATAAACATGCAATATTAATGAGGTTGAAAACCTTGTGATACCATCCTGCGCACAGTTAGATATACATGTTATATCTCCTTTACAGATCATATTTTGATCCTGGGAGTCGGTAGAGATTCTAAGGACATGGGAGAGGAGTTCCGAAGGAATCAACGAAAGGTAAGATAAAAACCTAAACATTTTAAAGATTTTTAGATTAGTCTCGTATATTGGAAGTAGTATAGTGTTTCTCGCTCAACAAATGGACACATATGTTCTATACAGTTGAGGAGGGAAGAATGTTGTTCAAGATAAATTGTTTTTTGTCATCGTCTATGACCTTGAGGGAATTCCAAAGGGAGACATATTCTTTATTGTACTTTAGTTGAACATGTTACAACTCTTGCAACTTTAACGCATATATCACACAAATACATGTATGCCAAAGAGGGCTGGATGTACTATGAAATGACACTAAATATCTGCTTTTTGTAGAGTCATTCAGTTGATCCATCTAAATACAAGGACACTGGGAATGAACAGTATCAGCGTGGTAAATTTGAAACAGCAGCTGACTACTACACCAAGGCAGCCAAGGCAGAGTAGGAATCTTAATTATAATCAAAATTTGTGACTGTAGGACTGGAACAAAATTTTATCATTTTACAAGTTACTTTGTAAATTATTTCAAAGTTAACTTGCTCATTTTGTTATTGAAACATATATTGAAATTCATGTGCCTGTATGTGCAATTTATTATCTCATTGCAGCCCATTTAACCACATTTACTTTGGAAATCGGGCGCAGACTTACACAAAGTTGAAAAGACATGAGGATGCATTGGCTGATGGACGCAGGGCTGTCACACTGAAACCAGACTACTGCAAAGTATGTAGGATACAGAGCTGTTTACAATTACGGAAATTCTGTATCCATCAGTGATTTTTCTACAATTTTTAAAAGGGGCCTGGGCCTTTATAATTGGGAAAAATCATCGACATTTGTGTCAAATTGGGAAAACCAATAAAATTTTAATTAACCTTAATTGAAAGGTAAAATGAAATATGTAAGTAAATGTTACATCATTTATTCAATTTATTTGCCACAAAATAACAAATTAGGCACAGTTCTACATTTTAAACTTTTTTTTAATTTTTGAAAGTTTTCAATACCGTAAATGTGACCGTCCTATATTTCAAATTTTTTTTTTTGCCATAATAGTAGATATAAGAGAAAATCCCTGAAATAGCCATTGAATTTAGGATAACCTGACATGATTTATTACAAATAATTTATTTTTCTAACAAATTATCAAAGCTTTATAAATTACCCTAATCACATTCCCGCAATTTCTCTGCAATGCTAGTTGCATCTGCCGGATGTAGAAACAGTTTGATTTTCGTGGAATCAGGGATGTATGTTGTAGAACTACTAGTAGTTTGATTTACAAATAAAGCTATGTTTCGTCAGTTCACATGCATCTTAGGATGTATTTACACAAAAATTTTATTTCTGTCTTGTAAATGCACAAAATATTCTGCTATTCCTCACCATTAATTTAAGAGTTTGAATGACAGAGAACGATAGCGTTCCATTTTAGATAAGTCGTACATAAAAATCTCAATATATTAAAAAACAACAGTGTTATTTATTTTGGGAAAAAAGCAACTGAAAAATTGGGGGAAAATCTGTAATTTTTGAGAGGGGAAAGGGCCGATATTCGGACCTAAATTGGGTGTAGAAAAGTCACTGTCCATCCAGGATTTTGATTTTAAAATATGGATTAAGGATTGACCTCAGAATATTACATTTCTGGGCTTTGTTCCCATTTCTGATTTTTCCTATGTCATATTAATCCTTTAGCAATGATAAAGATTCATTTTAAGACTTTGAAGACACTGTTTTTAATTCAGATTTTATTAATATATGATTCATGCTGATAAAACAGATAATAACATAATAATAAAAAAAATTACTCATATCTTACATTAGTTACCAAAGGTACATTAAGAAATTAAGCCAAGGTATTACCATCGTAAAAATTACTGGTAAGAAGCTAAAATTGCAGACAAAAATCATTTACATTACTGAAAACTGGAGGATGGGGTTAACACCTCTGAGGATATTTAAAGCTTCCTATATTAATTTTTTGTTACCACATATAACCTCTGACAATTGTTTATTATATAATATTTAGTAATATGTACATATATGCATGTACAGTAGAGTTGAATTTTACCTAATTTTACAGCCACAATAAGTAAAAACATACTGCTGTAATATTTATATGTAAATCTTAGTCAATGCACAAATGTATGGATTTGTAATTCTGCCATAAATTTCTTCTTCCAGGGACATTATAGATATGCTCAAGCCTTTGCTGATCTGGATAAACTGGATTATGCCTTAGCTGTAAACAAGAAAGGCTACATTCTGTGTAAGAAGTCACGCAACAAGAATATCAGTGAAACCAATCTAAATGAATTAGAACAACAAGGGAAGCGACTTCATATGGAGAGAGAATTAAAGATAAGAGAGGAGCGGGTTCGAATGGTTTTGGAGGATAAGGAATTTGCTGATAATTATATTGATGAAGAATTGCCTGCAGAGCTGAGAAATCTTCCTGGAAGGAAACGAGTGATAAAGCTGAGTGATGCCATTAAGGTCCTCAAGTAAGAACGTGGGTCTCTTGCTGTTAGACAAACTCTGTAACTTATTGTTTCAATTGATTCTATAAGTCATTGACACAGGACTATTAGAGTTACTTTGTTGTATCCAGAGTTTTCTTAAAGCCTATTATATTGAGATAAATAATAATGATATCATTATAAGCAGATCTACTCTGCAATCATATATACTTTCTTTATACATTTCTTTGCATATTACATAAGAAATTGCTCCTTTTTTTAAAGTCAAAGCACTAAATCCAGCATAGAAATCCCTGATGTTCCCACCAGTGATTCTTCAGCAGATGAAGAGGTAAATGTCATTATGACTGATTAAAAGGTTAATGTCATTATGACATGATGAAGAGGTTCATGTCATTATGACTGATGAAGAGGTTCATGTCATTATGACTGATGAAGAGGTTCATGTCATTATGACAGATGAAGAGGTTAATGTCATTATGACTGATGAAGAGGTAAATGTCATTATGACTGATGAAGAGGTAAATGTCATTATGACAATCAGATTAGGCTCTGTAAGTTAAAGTTTTAGCAATTGTTGCTTAAAATTCAAGGTTTTAAGATAAACTTCTGGAGAGTAGACAGTGCTAGGCTTATTCATGTTCTTTAATATTTTTAGGAACCTGTCAAGAAAGAACCTGTCAAGAAATTGCCAGAAAAGAAGGTACTTATTCTCAGTCTACTCAGATGTTGATTATATTTGGCAAACTCTATTGGAAACAAGTCAATCACATGTTCATTGTACATAGTTTTTCTAGCCATTATTTAAATTTTGTTTGCATGAATTTTTTTTCTTTATGAAATTAGGAAAAGAATAAAGTTCAACCAGAGCGTGTAGCTACAATTGAGCCAGACCTAACTAAGGAGCTTAAGAGTTTTACTGATGAGTTTGAACAGAAGAAGAGAGATCTGTGTATGAGTATAGAGGTCCTAGAGAAGGAGCAAGAGTTGAGGAACCTAGAAAAAGAACAAGAAATGAGAAGTCTAGTGGACGAGTTTCAGAAAGGAATCGAGGACAGGAAAGCTAACCTGGCAAGAATTGGCTTCATGGTAGATGACAATGAGGCAGGTGATGATGCTGATGATGATGATGATGAAGACGGGGAAGGAAATAGTAATAACAATGCACAGGTAATAATTGATAGAATTACATCTATAACACAGCACAGGTAATAATTGATAGAATCACATCTACAACACTGCACAGGTGATATTTACATGTAATATGGAATCAAATCTGATGTGATTCCATCAAGTGTAACCTGTGCTGTTTTGTCAATAACAATGGACAGTTACAGGTTATGAATGAAATCACAACATTAATAATGCACAGGTTACATTTGACAGAATGAAATCAATACCAATACAGGTAGATATTATTGGACTCACATCATAACGATGTATTTATATTTCTTGTGAATCACTTTGCGTACCAATAATGTACAAGTAAAAATTGATGATCATGAAATAAAGCGTTGTTTAGATTATTTCATTAAGATTTTTTTCATTTCATTTATAGTGGTTTCTCCTTGGAGCTAATATCAAAGTCAGGCCATCATTCCCATGTGACAAATTCTCACTGCTTTTCAATCAACAAATTTCATATTCACTTTATTACTAGAGAAAAGTTTACAGAAATCTTTATAGATAGGGGAGAATTTAAATGAGACAATCATAATATTGATACATGTATATCTTTATTTTGATTCGAAGAATATATCAGACATTTCAATCAGCAATTACAAATTCACTGGGAAAAACAAGGGTAAGCCCAGTGATTCAAGGTTTGGGGGGGGGGGGGGGGGGGGTGTTAAGATGGTAGCAGCTACATAGATCTATGATTTTCTAGTTATAGAGAAAATTTATGTATCAAAATACTGAAAATTTTAATGTCTAAAAAATTAAATTGTTTTCATACTTACTTTTAGACTAAGAAAGAGAAGAAAAGAAAAGGGGATAAAAAGAGACAAGAAGAGAGTCCCAATCCAGTTTTAAAGCAAGTATGTGTTCATCTTCTATCTTTATAAATATTTGTCAAGTTGTACTCTTTGGAGCCTCAAAAATTGGTTGAAGTAGTGGTTGCAAACTGTTTGTGTTTTATTTGATGTTCCAGCTTCCAGTCTGAAATACTCTAGTGGGATGTTGCCACATTACCATGTGTTGATAATGTTTTGTTTGATTTATCATGAATCTGTGAGAAGGGCTAGAGGACTTAGTCATCCACTTTGTCTATGGACAAATACACTGACAAAAATGGTGTCTGACTCTGCAGTTCTTTGCAGAATATTAATAAATCTGTTCCCTTTTTTTTTTTTTAGATGTTGTTGATGTTCTAGTGTCACATTAATTTGTTTTATTTGAACATCTAGCATAAGAGAGAGAAAGGTCCAGAAGAGAACAAAGAATCTACAGAACTGAAGAAATACCTAGGAGATGGATATGAGAAGTACTCCAAGGGCGACAAACAAAATGCAGTAACTGAATATGGCAAAGCTCTTAAAATGATTAACAAGCACACTCTCAAGGTAAGAAATCACAAATTTACATAGGAAAAATCTATAAAAAATCTTCTTCGCAAGAACAGCAAAGCCATGATTGGTCATATCTATATGCAAGCATCCTCAGGTAGTGTAGATTCAAGTTTGTTCAAATCATGACCCCTGGGGGTAGGGTGGGGCCACAATGGGTGATCAATGTTTTAGATAGGAATACATAGGAAAAAATCTTTAAACATCTTCTTCTCAAGAACAGCAAAGTCATGATTTGTCATATTTATATGCAAGCATACTCAGGTAGTGCATATTCAAGTTTGTTCAAATCATGACCCCTGGGGGTAGGGTGGGGCCACAATAGGCGATCAAAGTTTTTATATACAGTAGAACAGGGTTCGAAATTCACTATATACAACTCGCAAAACGCGAGTTAGAATTCCCAAATTGCGAGTTAAAAATTAGGTAACTCGCAAAAACTTGCGAGTTAATTTTTTTGCATTGAAACTGTAACAAAATTACATAGTATGACAGAACGCAATGCTTTTGATTTAAATCAGTAATTTAACTAAAAGTCACACTGTAGTTGTATTTTGTGTATTGTACAATAGTTACTTTTTCCTTAAGTTACATGTACAGCATGTATTTAATTTATATATAATTTAACTTTATATGAAAATTGCGAGTAGGCTTATAAAATTGCGAGTTCACTTTCTTGGTACTCGCAATTATTTGCGAGTTGTAATTTTAGGGAGTTTCTAACCCTGGTAGAAATACATAGGAAATAAAAATCTTCTCAAGAACAGCAAAGCCATGATTAGTCACATTTAAATGGAAGCATCGTTAGGTAGTGTAAATTCAAGTTTGTTCAAATCATGACCCCTAGGGGTAGGGTGGGGCCACAATGGGGGAATCAAAGTTTTACATAGGAATACGTAGGAAAAATCAGCAACAGCCATTTTGTGTCATATTAACTCAAAAGCATCCTTTTTAAATATTTTTTAGCAATTGCTTATTGAGAAAGTGAATGTGGTGGCCACTAAATACGCCTATGGAATCTCTGCAGTATCAACAGGAATCTATAAGGTACTTTATTCAGATCATCACAAAATAACAACTGTTATAGAAAATTAACTTCTGAAAAGGTTTTCAATGGGAACTTATTTTCTTGAAGATGATCATGGAAGGTATTGAGAAGTTTAACGACATTCGATCAAAGCATTCTGATGTTAGATTTCCTCTGGCATATTACGGACTAGGGAAGGCATATACATTTCTCAACAGGTATACATGTAGATGTTTTGTATTCTTATTTGCATGACTTATGATTTTTAATTCATTTAATGTACTTGTCTACATACATGTATCATTTCATTGGAAATTTATGTTAATGATCATTTATAAACTGCTTCTTCATCTCCCAATAGATTACTTTCCTATCTTTGAGATATATTTTGACAGTAAATGGAATATTATATCAATCACACTTTCAACAATATACATGTATCAGTCTAACATATCAGTTCACTAACAATGAATGGAAGCAATTCTCTATTTTTATACGCCCGTCTTTAGACGGGACGTATTATGTTATGGCGTTCATGTCCGTCCGTCTGTCTGTCTGTTAGCTTTTCTCGTGTCCGGCTCGTAACTTTAATACTATTAGGCCTAGGATTATCAAACTTTGTCAGCTGATACTTCTTGGGTAGACGGTGTGTCGCGCACAAAAAGTAGGTCGTTCTGACCTTTAATTAAGATGCTATGGCCAAATATGGAAAAATCCTGTCCGGCTCATAACTAGAAAACTATTAGACTTAGAATCATCAAACTTGGCCAGTTTATGCATCTTAGGTAGAAGGTGTGTCGCAACCTATTTCAAGGTTATTGTGACCTTTAATTTAAGTGAAATTTTAAAAAAAAAACTGTCTTTTTACTATTATATTACACAATTCCAAAAAATGTAAAAGTGTTGCAGTATCCTTATTAAAAAAATGTTAAAATCAAGAAAATACTTATTTTTTTCATTATATACTTTACAGCAATCTATAACAAATATAATGTTACAAGAGAAATTCCACCTCTCCCATGGGTGTAATTATCAAGCACTGGTCAAGGAGAATTTTGATAACAGAAAATTGCATGTCAAATTAGAGAGAAATTAATGAGTTTAGTGTGAGGAGCTAACTGGTAGAGCATCTCTGATCAAGCAGGTGTTATCTGTATCTCTTGGGAATTGGGCAGAGGAATCAGCCATGTTGGATTACATAGTTTTTGTGGGCTAGCCTAACTTTTAAAATGAATTTGGTGAAAAGTAATTAAAACTAATTTGATATTGTATTATATGTATTATTTAAACTAATTTGATATCTTATATTAATCTAATTAATTAAAACTAATTATACTCGGAAGGGGGGGGGGGGGTGATATTGGAAATAGCATGCCGGTTCTCCATATGAATTGCAGCTTAAAACCAGTCTGACATTGAGTCTAAAAAAAATCAAGTATTTAAAAAAAAAGTTTTAATTATGGTAGATAGTCCCTACAAATGTAAGAGTCAAGCAGAAACCTTATTAAAAATGTTGCATCAAGATTACATTTTTTTTCTTTTTATAAATCTTTGTAACAAATTGAAAAAAAGATCTTTGTTTTCAAATTTAATTTCAGTATGACATAAATATGCATTTTAATTGCACTACAAAGCAGATAGCGCAGATCCATTCATCCCTTGGGAGTAATGAGTGGACATGCATCCAGTTAAAGATTAATTAATGAGTTCAGTGTAGGAAGGCTAGCTGTCTCAATCATTTCTGTTAGAGCATATCTGATCAAGCACTTCTTATCTGTATCCTTTGGGAATTAAACAGAAGAACTGCTGGTCAGTTTATAGCATATTTCATTTGATGGCCAGTCCTTTATTTTAAAATTAATTTGGTATAGATTAAGTTGTTAAGATAAATTCATATTGAATAATATGATATTTTTATTTAATTTTTTGAAAATATCAACTAACAAATTTCAGAGCATCATGTCTCACAAATATAAAAAGGGGGGGGGGGGGGGGGGGGGCTGCAAATGGGCATTTGTCAAGCTCTAACCAGTTGAGGATCTATAATGTAATATTTGTTATAATTCATGCCTACACCACAGGAAATGTATAAACAAATATTATAAGGAATGGAAAAATCATGGAAATGCGTGTATCAAGGTTGACTTGATTTTCTTGCACTCTAAAATGTTTGTGATAATTGAACAATATTTGACGGGCGTATCATGCTGTGGCGGGGCACTTTATTATAAATGTTGATATTTTTTGTAGGTATGGACAAGCAATAGATTTTATTAAACATGGCCTTCACATGGTAAACAATGTGAAGTGCATCACCTTCTATTGGCCAGGAACAACCATAGTCATTGAGGAAAGTGTGCCTGATAAACTGCTTGTGAGTGTTTAAATACATGAAAAGTAGCAAATTTCATATGAAAGTATCATATTTTAGACCAAGTGCCAGATTTGTGGCTTACCTAAGTTATTGCAGTAAAACAGCAATGCTATGTGACTAATCTAAAACATTAACTTTTTACAGGCATTGCTGACAGATTTATTACATTTGGCCCTGAATCCCCCTCCACCCGATGCTACATGTCGAATACACTGTGACAGTGATGATGATAGAATTGTTATCTACCAGTCAGACCATGATTATAAAGTAAGATCCATTTTACTATACTGTTTGTGGTGTTGGGAAACTTTCAAGTATCTGGAAGATTTATGTTAAAATATCTTTGACAGAGTCTAATTACTTGTGTGTTATTTTTATCTAAGCATATAGACTGAATTTTTAAACTTCTACCTTGAATTTGGAAAAAAAAGGTGGTTGATGATTAAGTTCACCTTTTAAGTTTGGAAATTTGAATCCCACAAAAAGTATTATAAAATTTTATTTCAAAAGCAATAATGTAAGATTTCCTTTGTGTGACTGCTCCGAAGGAGGAAAATAAAACTAGTTCTTAATGGGTTATTCCACTCTTTGCCTTGGTCAAATGTCATTATTTTTTGCAGTGATAATTACCTTCATGTGCTTATGAATATTGAGTATTTATGATTTTATGATCCTTGAAATCTCTTAATACATGTACCTTTATAATTATTCTGATCAAGCTGTTGGCATTTGTAGGTCACCTGAGTGACTCTGGTGACCTATTGCTCTGTTTTCTTCCATTATCTTGTGTGGATGGTAAACTTTTGAATACTGTCAGTTTCTTCTCTGGAACTGCTCAACCAATTCAAACCAATATAGGTATGTATCATGTATGGGTAACAAGGAACACAAACTTTAAATTTCTTGTCCATAGTCTGTGTGGGTCTGCCGGGTTGGACAATGTGTGTGCACTCATGGCGCAGGGTGGAAACAAGTTTGTCTTATTATATTGAACATGCATATTAAATATAACAGCTAGCCAGTTAACATGATTATTATGAAGACTTGTCCCTCAGCCCAAAGTATGAAATTTGTTCAGTCCCCAGGCTAGGGCTAAGTTGGTCATATATGAAAGTACATTACAACTCTGAAAACATACTGTTGTTTCATTAATAATCATGGGCATCAATTTTCATTGATTTAGTAAAAATCTTAGTTTTGAGGATGCGTAAATTCAAGGATAATGGTCCTACCACTACCTTTTCATTTTTTCTCTCACTTTATGCTTCTGTGGGAACATTCACGCCATTTACAATTTTAAGAGTTTATAATATATTTAAAAACGAGTACAAGCAGTATATTTATTTTTTGCTCGTGTGTATTTTTAAAAGTGGGAACATTCAAGCATTTAGAGACTTATTTTCACAAGCACAGCATGTTGTTTCTATACTTGACAGTGACATTGAGACCTCCTTGTTTGTAGAACAAACTGTTAACACATCCACACTTGCTGGATACTTCACGCTTAAACATGCAAAATGGACAACAAACAAGCCTTGAAGGGTCGCAGGACTTCCGCAACATACCTGGGTACATACCCATTATCTCGTTTTTAACAAAAAAAAATGTTTTTAAATAAAAGTCAAATTAGCATTAAATTGTGTTTACAATTTGTATGATTTTAACCTATTATGAACAGAGAGGTATGAATTATTTCTACTGGAATATTTATTTAACGATAATTTGTGTTTTCATTGAGCAGGTGATAATTGGGATTTGACCATTAGATTGTTTGAGAATAATACATTTACACCTGATTATCATCCTTGGGGGTAATACCACTGATTGGTATATGCACCTTGTTGACAGATCTACATTATCTTTGTTTATCTTTTTGCAAATATTAAAACATTTTGACTCAAAATTGCCAGATAATTATCAAATAGTATTTTTTCTTAAAAAAAAATTCTAAACATGATAAAATATGTTTAAAAAGTCTGCCTGTTGGGAAAAATTGGAGGAGGGTATTTGCATATAGTAATAAAAATTGGAATAGGCTTTTTGAAGGTTTATCATAAATCAAAATGGAGGCACCAAACGTAAATGAACATTTTATTTCTTGGATCAACTCAACAATGAAATCCAAGAAAATTGGTGTTCCATGAATAATGATGAAACTACAGTACTTCGTTTCTCATGGGCACATAGTAGGCAAATTGTTTGCATGATTATAATGGGCAGCTAGCCCTCTGCAAAAATAATAGAATTCATGTTCCCAGGTTCCAGGGATCAGGCACAAGGGTGTGCTTAAGTTAGTCATTTATTGAAATAATTATACAGTGTACCTTATCTTTTTACTCCTGGACTTCTAGGAGACAATTTGTATAAAAGAAAACCATATTATTTTGTCTCATGAGACCGGAGTTCTAGTTCCAGGAGAAGCTAAAGTAGTTATACCCTGAGAAACTCATAATACTCAGGTAACTGTCAAGGCCTATGGGCCTCTTGTTTTGATTATCCTATAATGTTTAACTCTGGATATTTTTTTCAGCAAGTTGTATGACATATTTTGATACAAATCTTGTCAGCAGAGTAAGGACTTTGTTGGTAGAGTAGATTTCTAACTTTGTAAGAAAGAATAGATAGGGAAAGATATCTGAAAGTATTCCAGATCTACTGTAGTAGTAAATAATGACAGCCAAAATGAGTCTCGTTGTTTGAGGATTTGATTGTGATGTCACAATGCCGCTCACTGACCCTCCGGTGAATACGGCTTCAAATCCAATGAATATGTAGTGTTATGAACCGTTTGCATTTGTATAGATTATATAGGGACTATAAAAAGACTATATAATAATCTGTCATATTCATTCTCAACTGTGAAGGGTATGTCCATTTTCTAGTAAGAGTGTAAACTTTGACTGTTTTACTTAGTTAGCATTCTTGTGTTTCAGGGATTTGTCAGAGTTATCTGTCAAGCCAAATGTAAAATAGAATTCCATTATAACTGTTGGAGAGTCTACAAATCCAAACAGGGAGAAAAAATTGGGGATAAGGTAGGAATTCATGGCATGTTTTAAATGCATCTGTAATGTATGGTTCAATAAATGATTCCCTTGCATTTAGAGGAGCATTTTACCTTTTATTTATTTTGTTCCATAATTATACAGTTGAACTTCGGTATCTTGAACATCAATATTTCAAATACAGAGGATATGTCGAAGTGATTTGGAAGTCCCAAGCACTTTTTCTTTAAGTATTTTCCCTCAATATCTTGAATTTCCAGATATCTCAGATGTTTTTTCTCAGTCTTATCTAGTTTGAGATAACAAGGTTTGACTGTATATTACATCTGATACCTGTGGACAACCCCATTAGTCAAAGCTTTGTTGTCTGTTATTAAAATATGAGCCCTTTGAGATGGGGACCATGTTAATGAATTATTTCATAATAGTAGTGAACAGAATTGTATTGTCTTTTAGGATATGTTGGAAAAACCATGTCCTACCCCTAACTGTGGTACAGTCATCGTAAAAATATCAATATTCAGACCAGATACTAATGAGAAAATTGTAAGTATTGTAAAAGGTGTGAATTAGCATTAATTACATCAGGAAATGTTAAGTTTGAAAGACTGAATCACAGAGAAAAATGACTCATCCTAGAATTTTCTTTTTCCAGTTTGAATCAGAGAAAGCAGAAACAAATAAAAAGCAGGAGAAGAAGAAAAAGCCAGTATTGAAGATGCCTCCATCGAGTCAAGATAAAATTCAGAAAAAGATGGAGAAAAAGGAACAGAAAATGAAAAAGAAGATGGAGAATAAAGAAGAGAAATCTGATCTTGTGGAAGACGTGGAACAGATGCTTCAGGATAAACCTGAGAGTCAAAGGCCTGGGGTGGCAACAGGTAGGTTATATATTGGTAGATATTCTTCTTCACTGAACTTCAATTCAGCTTTATGGAATTCAAAGTGTCTGCTTTCTAACACTAGACTTTCATTAGAACTTTTTGTTTCATGACACTAATCATAAAGGTATATTTATTGTAAGAAGCCGTATTGTTTTCAAAACTCCAGCATTAGTTAAAACAGTGTTTGTGTTTCATCATTCATCTTTTCCTGTATCGTGTATTATCAGAGTGTAAATGTATTCTACTCTGTGAGGATTCTTGTGATATTTCAGGGGGAGAGGCAGGGAAAGGGGAAGTTAAACTCCCTGATCACACAAAGCCAGTTTCTGTTCTTCGCAAAGATGACGAGGATGTGAAACTCAGCAAGTACAAGGTAAGAAGATTTGTGCCTTAAAGTTAGACAACTTCCTCTAAGTGGCAAAATTACTTGTTACCATTTCTAAAAGTGTTCATGTAAGGTAAGAAGATTTGTGCCTAAAAATTAGACAACTTCCACTTAGTGGCAAAATTACTTGTTACCATTTCTAAAAGTGTTCATGTAAGGTAAGAAGGCCTGGAATTTGACATATTACAGAGCTGCCAACCTTTACAATTTTGGTGTAAGGCTTACGATTTGAGCGTCTAAAATGCGCCTTAAGATTTATCTATTTATCCTTACGATCTCTGTTTCTCTCCGTCAAACATTTAAAATACTGGTATTTTCATAGCTGTCCACCTTCAGTTTTCACTATTATAATACAAAAGTCATAATCCTTACAGCACTTGCATGTATTTTCATTGTCATTGTCCGTTTTTATGCTAACTTGTGTTCTAAATCATTTTAAGGTCAAGATCTAGTAAATGATTTTAGACTGTCTTTTTAGTGCTAGATCCATTATGACGTCATAATTGATTTAAGTTTATTTTTTCCCGTACTTTACAGCTGTAATAGAATTATGTGGGAAATGAAGCATTTTGATTTTATTCAATTTGAAATCATGTCAAAAGTAACCCCGATATCTATATTCAATTTAATATCATTTTGAAGTAGAGGTTAAGAAGAAACGAAAAACCGTTTTCTGAGAAACTGTAGGCAATATTGCTACATTTCTTTTATCTGAGATGGAAAAATCTCGGAAATTTATACCTGACTTTCTTCGGTTTTCATTAAAAATTACAGTTTGAAATATGTTTTTTCGTCTAGTTTATCAAAAAATTATGTCCCGAAACACCTTATTTTACCAAGCTATATTTGTAAAGGGTCATTAAAAGAACTCATTTCTCAAATTTGAAAAATCTGTAGGCACCTTTCATTTACTAGATCTTGACCTTAAGGTATATTTAGCTGGGGGCCTAAGGGGCCTATGGCCTTCCTCCTTACGATTTTTCATTTGATGATGTTGGCAGTTCTAATATTACCTGGCACTGAAACAGTGAATATGTTTCCCTCATGAGAACAAATATCAGAGCAACTGTTTAAGTGATACATTTCTAATTAGTATAAAAGTTAATACAGTGCCATTAAATTGCAAAAAATACTGTTTATTTCAGGGAACTAAAAAACAGAAGAACAAGAAAAAGAAAGAGAAGGCTGTAAAACAGACCATCCCTGTGGAAGTGAACTTTACAGATGAAAAGGAGAAGACTTTGCTGAATGAGCACTCCATTCCAGACTCTCCAACTAAGTAAAAATGAAAAAGACTATGCATGAATGATTGAATGAATGAATTAATTGATAATGAAAATCTGCATAACAAGTTATTTGAGATATTTAAGTTGAGATTTAGGTTTACACTAAGTTAGGACCATTACTGCTAATTTATACATATCTCTGTTATTTGACATACTGTTGTTCAAGATGTGGAAGTTGAAAATGTATTCTGTTCATATCTTAGCCATGATAATATGAAATGGATGAAATTCACCTTTATTGGTCTCTGCATATAAGGACTTGTATTTTATTTTACTTCATTATTTATTCTTTGTAGAGACTTTTCCGTACCAACAAACATTCATGAGAAGGTTCAGGCTTTTGAAAGCTCATACGAATCCAAAATAGGGAAGACTTTGTATGATGAAATTACAGAAAATCTTTTCTCGTAAGTACATTAACACCACAGGCTTGAATTCTTCTCTTTGTATTAAGCCAAAGTGCTTGAAATTTCTTCACATACATGTATGTTCACTTCATATGTTTCTGGTAGTTCAGGCTAATATGAAGAGAATACAAGGTATAGTGTATATTTTAAAGTATTTGCTTGACAAAGAAATTTTATTTTTATTCAAATGGGAAAATTTTCATCAAATACATGTATCTTTCAGATATATGTAGTACCGGAGATATACATGTAAGTGATTATATCTACAAAGGTCAATAATGGATTTTCTTTTGTAGATTTTTTGAGGATCTTCTTAAAGCACATGGACCACTTCATATAGAGGATGGTAAGCTTACCTCCATGATTGAAGATTTCCCAAAGGATGCTAAGGAAAAAATAGAACAAGTGGGAGGACTTAGCAATTTTCTTAAACAGTCACTGAAATTTGCAATGATAGATGACATTGTGTGTTTGTTAAAGGATTCAGTGAAAGCTAGGGAAATATCACTGGCTCGTGGCCAGGCTAGACAGACGTTAATCATGAGTAACTCAAATAATGTGTGGAAAACAGTAGGAAAACATTCAAACTCTGCTAGAAGTGATAATCAAAGTGATATATTTTCTCCTTCAACTTCTTTCAATTCATCTGCAAGTTGTGTGACAAGTGAAGAAAAAATCAAAACATTCCCCAGTCCCTACCCTGTGATTGCATCAGGTGTGGATTCATTGGACGACTTTGGTAGTGTAATAAAAAAAGGATCCATCGCAAGTTTGGACGATGATTTTGACTTGGGGCCAACAAGATCAGGCTCCAAAATGGACAGCATTGATGACATTCATTTGATATCACCAACAAAAAAGAAGAAAAATAAGAACAAGATAAGTCCGAAGGATCTAGATGCTATAGATTCTCTGTCTTCATCCTCTGATAGTGACAGTGATTCAGCAAGTGATGATGAGACAGAGAGCCTGAATTCAGATTTTTCTAGCACAAGATCAGGCAGAGCCTCCTCCAGTGTCAAGCTTCAGACTGAAAATGGAAGAGTAGGTGACTTAAAACAAAACCTGGATGTATCCAGTCGGAGTAGTTCCAAGTCGGATCTGAGTGAAAGATCCGGAAGTGATTTGTCGTATGATCTTATGGCAAAGGCCTATAGGAGTTCTCCTGTGGCATCCACATTTGTGAAGGACAAATCTTTTTTCATGTCTAGTTCCCCTACAGTGTCTGAGAATGGACGTGCTTCAGATAAAACTTGGCAAGGACTTGCAGTGCCACAGCCTCTAAAAATCCCTTCTCAGTTCTCTCAGATGCCCCCTGTTATGTCACTTCAGTCAGAGGCTAGTATTGCTGCAGAAAAGGAAATCAATAGAATAGACACTGAGATGGTTAAGGAGATTGCAGATGATGTGGTTGAAAGACTCTTCTTGGGGAAGAATGTTTCCCCTGCAGAACGTCAAGAGACATATAACCGTGTTACACAAGATATATGGAAAGACTTCAAGAAAAAGCAAAGTTCAGTTTCTTCAGTTTGGCCATTAGACAACAAGTCTCTGTACTCACAAATGTCTATGAGCTCTTTGGATAAAAGACAGAAGAAAAATTATGCTGAACATTTCATGAAAAGTCATTATCAGAAAAATTTGACGGACCCTTTGCAACAAACACCAAGCTGTCATCCACCCTCAACTTCCACTTTCCCTTATTCTAGCAAACCTCCTATATCCACAGTTGACAACAGTTTTCCAGCTTTACACACAATGGAGAGAATTCCCCCTCCCCTTTCTTTACCCATTTCTTTGTCAACGGTCAACAGTTACAATTCAAACGCACCACTTTCTACAGTGAACCCAAGTATCTGGTCAAGTACTTCAGAGACTAGTGTCAGTGAGGGTATTTCTTGTATTCCAAATGTTTCAAATTTTTCTACTCCCCCACCCCCTTTAAATCTTCCGTCTTTTGCATCCGGACCATTTAGTAGTATATCTATAGGGACGTCAGTGACTGAATCATCTGTTTCGTCTACTCTGTCCACTGTTTTTGGGAGTCATGCTGATAAAGGCAGTCAAATCTGTGTGGAAAAACGAGACAGTGAGATGAACACTGATCCGTATGAGCCATACAGGATAGAATATTTACGTAGTCAAGAGGATTGTGAACAAATGAAGAACAATATGGCCAGATTGCAGTCTCAAGTCCAGGAACGAGATGCGATGCTAAGGGAATGGACCATTAAAGCACAGGTATGATAATGTTGGATGTTGTCACTTGGGCATGTATAATATTCTTATTTTTTGTGAATTTGTCACATCCTAAAACTCTTGTAGTAGACATGGTAGAGGTAGCAAATAACAAGGCATCATGTAAATATATTACAGAAGTCCATTTAGGACCTATCAAAAAAGATTTTTGAATTCAAACATGTCAAAAGAACAAATTGTCAGATCTGTTAAAATGAAAATTTAATATTTAATTCCGTATATCAGTTTTAATTTGGTATTACACATTCATTTCAACAAAACGTCAAGAGTAATTAAATGAAATCATAATTAGCTCTTCTGAGCCAAAGGTCACTTCAAAGTTGACCAAAAATTACATTTTATTAAAATGTTGATATTTTGCTTACTATAAGGACTAGGATCATCAAATCTTGTCAGTTGGTGCATCTAAGGACCTCATATCATGTTGACTCAAAAGTAGGTCACGGTGACCTACTTTTTAAATTTTGCGGCCATTCTTTTTCAAAATGATTTAGAGGCATATTTTGAACAATTTAAGGCCTATGATCATCAAACTTTGTCAGTTGATGCATCTTGGGTCCTCAAAGTACGTCAACTAAAATGTAGGTCACCTTGACCTACTTTTTGAATTTTATGGCTAATCTTTTTTAAAACAATTAAGGTCATTAATTCGAATACGGGGAGGCTTAGAATCATTAAATCTTGTAAGATGATGCATCATGGGGCCATAAAACATATTTATTAAAAAGTAGGTCACAGTGACCTACTTTTTGAACTTTGCAGGCATTCGATTTCAAAGCGTTTTAGAGGCATAATTTGGACATTTTAAGTCCTATGATCATAAAACTTTGTAAGTTGATGCATCTTGGGTCCTCAAAAAAGGTCAACTGAAAAGTAGGTCACCGTGACCTACTTTTCAATTTATATGACTATAATTAAATATTTCAGATACTAATTGGCTTAGAATCATTAAACTTTGTCAGTTGATGCATCTTGGGTCTTCGGAGTAGGTCGACTAAAAAGTAGGTCACAGTGACCTACTTTTGAAAATTTATGGTGTTAATTAAATATTTCGGGTACTAATTGGCTTAGAATCATCAAACTTTGTCAGTTGATGCATCTTGGGTCTTCAGAGTAGGTCGACTAAAAAGTAGGTCACCATGACCTACTTTTGAAAATTTATGGCTTTAATTAAATATTTCGGGTACTAATTGGCTTAGAATCATAAACTTTGTCAGTTTATGCGTCATGGGTCCTCGGAGTACAACAACTGAAAAGTAGGTCACGTCGACCTACTTTTGAAAATTTATGGCTTTAATCAAATATTTCGGGTACTAATTGGCTTAGAATCATTAAACTTTGTTGATGTGTCTTGGGTCCTCGGAGTACAACAACTGAAAAGTAGGTCACTGTGACCTACTTTTGAAATTTTATGGCTGTATTTAATATTTTCAGGAATTATTTGGCTTAGAAACGTCAAAATTTGTCAGTTGATGCATCTTTGGTCCTCGGAGTAGGTTGACTGAAAAGTAGGTCACCGTGACCTACTTTTGAAAATTTATGGCTGTAATTAAATATTTTGGGTACTTATTGGCTAGAATCATCAAACTTTGTCAGTCGATGTATCTTTGGTCCTCGGAGTACAGCAACTGAAAAGTAGGTCACGGTGACCTACTTTTGAAAATTTATGGCTTTAATTAAATATTACAGGTACTAATTGGCTTAGAGTCATCAAACTTTGTCAGTTGATGCATCTTGGGTCCTTGGAGTAAAACAATGGAAAAGTAGGTCACTTTGACCTACTTATAAAATTTTATGGCTATAATTTTAAAAAATATTTTAGGTATTAATTGGCTTAGAATCATCAAACTTAGTTGATGGGTCCTCAGAGAATGACAAGTGATAAGTAGGTCACCATGACCAACTCTCAGGTACTAATTGGCTTAGAATCATCTTGGGTTCTCAGAGTGTGAATTGGAATTTCAAGGGTTTATCTAAATATACAGGATACTTCGAGGCTTCAAATAGAAGTGATAGGTTGTACAGTTTATCAGAAGAGCGATTCAAGGCCCATGGGCCTCTTGTTTTCATAATGATCATGAACTTTAACTTAACCATTGTTTACATTTTTTTCTCATTTTGCTCTAACCTCATTTTATTGCATTCTATACTTAACACAACTTCAAAATTGTTTTTACCACAAATCTCACTTGAAAGTATACACTAAGATTGAAATAGCAATTTATTGAATGAAGACACAATTGGATATTACAGTTGAACAATTTGAATTATGGGTTACATTCTATAAAATGTGTTTTAATTGGTTGATTGGTACACGCCCACTCTCATGTGGTATCCTATGCGTGAATAAAGTTGGAAAGCGTCTACTGGTCAAACCATGTTAGATAGTTTTAAACTATTATCAACTTTTTGAATTAAAAAACAAACCAAAAAACCCCATAAAATCATATTTCAGCATGTGACATTATAGACATGTTAAAGGTAGATATTTACTAAATAGATCTAGAATTATTAGTTTAATTTGAAATAACCCTAGGAATATCATGGTTTTTACTTCATGTTAAAAATCTTGATGTGAGCCCATTGCATAGGTGTCAGAGAGAAATGAATGACAACTCTGCAATGTAGATTGTAGTTTGCAACCTTCTTTTACTCAGGAATATTTCTCGTTGTGAACCATTCATTCTATTTAGTACTTATGTACAGTGTTTCCTCAGTCGCAAAATATAATTGTTGCAGATGGATTTCAGACTGATGAATTCGGTATATCAGCGGGGGCATTTGTATCACCAACACAAGTAGTTCTGCTATGTTATGAAGTAATGGTTTTCTTTCAGCTTTATTTAATATTCATTGTAAATTTATGATTTTATTTATTATTTTCATGGCTTTAGTCCTCTTTGATAAAAAAGCAGTTATATGACTGTTACAGTAGTGATTTTTGGATGTATTTAGTATATTTGTCTACTTTTGTTTTGGAAGCAATTTGTAAGTGTAAATTTGGTATAATGTTATTTCAACACATATTTTCTCATTTCACATATTTCAGTACAGTTGGTTCTGTATTTCATCTGGAAAAGGAATGGTGGTTATATATTAATTTTTAACATTTTTTGAAGAAAATTAAACAGAGTTTGCCCTAAATTTTTGCTTTGACAAATTAGGAGTACCCCCATAGAATATTTCATATTTACTGCTACAGTTCTGAGCAATATTTTATCTGTCACTTTAAAATAAATTAACACCTCTGCATGCAAGTAATGCAAGGGACTTGTTAATCAAGAAATCAATATACACAAATACATGATTCTTTAGTACATAGATTGGGAAATATTAGCACAGTTGTTTAAATTTCTTCATGAAACTCGAAGTGAATCAGGTTATCAGATCAAATAATATATAGTTGAACTTCGTATCTTGAACACTGATATCTCAAATACCATGGAGATGTCAAGAAAGTGATTTTGAAGTCCCAACCCCTTATTCCTTAAGTATTTTCACCCCCAGATATCTTGAATCCTTGGATATCTCAAATTTTATTCATGGTCACATGGAGATCAAGATAACGAGGTTTGACTGTACTGTGTTAAAAGACACACACCTTACATGTGAAATGAAAACCATTACAAATAACTCTGAAATTTTAGCAGTGTGAAATAAAACAACTTGGAGTATACATATCTTAACTACATCACTGATTTTAAGACACAGAACTCAAGGGTGCATGTACAGTGTACTGTTGATTGTGGAATCCTGAAAACATTTAATACTAAACTAATAATTAAATTTATCAACTGAGCAGGAAGAATCAAGAAAATATGAAGTTGAATTCTTACACAATAGTGAGGATCATAATTTTGTAGTTATATGGGTTCTGTCTTCAATTATATCATGTTTATTGTATAAAACATACTTTTCAAATTTAATAATCATGGTACTTTATAAGCTAGACCTTTATTTTCATTTAATTATGTGAGACAGTCTGCTCACAAAAATTTCGTCCTCACACATTTTTTTATTAGTGTAGATTATATACAGCTATATTAAGAATTCATGAAAAATTTGTCTAGCTTATAAATACCAAATATGAATCTCATAAAAATAAGGTGTCACAAAAATTTGGTGATCTACAGTGTATACTATTGTGGTCAGATGTCAGATATTATGTAAACAATGTCTTATTCTTGAGCTTTACCTTATTCAGTCCTTGGAAACAGACTTCAAAGGGAGATCACTACAACTGGAGATGGAGAAAAGAAAATTAGAAGATAAAGTTAGGATATACGAACAAGAAATTTCCCATCTTAAAACGGAGCTTACCAACCAGTCCTCTGTTATTCTAGAGTAAGCCATCAATTTACAGGATTTTACGTATTTTTTTGTCCAGTTGATATATTAAATTGTTATACTTGTCAGAGATCTTAACATACTAAGTCGTGTTGATTGTAGCTTACGGGAGAAGAAAAATCAAACAGACCAGAGATATCTTGATCTTCAAAAACAACAACATGATGAGAGGTAGGTACAAGTGATGTGCCAAAACCAGGTAGACTTTTTTTTAGAACCACCCACCCCAAAATAAATAGTAACCTACTACATTTTACGGAATCTTGAGAATTTTAGAAAGTTATAATTATGTAATTGGTTTTGATTGAAACATTATCCTGTTCCAGTGTACAAGTTCTAGGTTATAAGCACCGTTATGCTTTGTTATTAAAAGATGTTTATTTTATTTTCAATCAAGATATCGAACATCACAACTAGATCTAGAGAAATTGGAGGCTGTAAGAAACAGAGAGGAACTACGAAAGCTCAGAGAAGAAGAAAGTGAACGGGCAATCAGAGCAGAGGTAAATCTAATATCAAGATTTCAAATTGTTCCCTTGTTTCAAGGAGAGTCAAATAGTATTTCTGATATTTTACATTGATGGAGAGGTACATCTTATTTTGTAGGTTGAATTGCTGCAAGTCAAGAAAAATTTTACATTACAAATGCTGGAGAGATCAAAAATGGAATACATGGTGTATAAGAATAAAGTCTCTGTGATTGTCAAAAGGCAAGCAATACAGATTGTATAACATTTACAAGTATAGACAACTTCTTTGTTAATTAGTAACTTGTGTACACTTTTATGACTATATTTGTTTTCTAGGCGGGAGGATGAGGGTAGGACTTTACCTATAGGCCTTAAGCAACACCTAGATCAGTACGAAGGAATTATACAGAAATGTGAGGAAACCATTAGTAGGCTGAAGGTAATGGCACTTAAAAACACTTTTTATAACATCATCAAAATCTAGATTTCAAAGCAAAATCTCTGACCACTTCATTATTCTCTAACTTAACACATATTTTTTTTTTTTTTCAAATGCTACAATGGGAGTTGACATTGGCCTTAACCAAGCTGTAAATGAATGGAGAGAAAAAAATACTCTGAATTGACTAATTTTCATGGGGGTTTGATTTTCATTGTTTTGTGTAATAAGAAACCCACAAAGTCTGGTTCTTCACAAAATGTTAATGTTTCATAACCACTCTTTTTATGCTTTGACTTGAAAGTTTAGATGAGCTTTATGCTATACCCCCGGTGTTTGTGTTGGCGTTTTCAGAGCAGGTCCATTCCATAGTAATATAAGCCCTGTTTGACCAAACTTGGATGGGTGATCCATCTAGGGATATAAACTATCAGACATGCTTCAGATGCTTAATTTGACATACCTGGATGATCAAATCTTCATCTCCCAGGTGTCAGATTGAAACAAAGATTTTTAGCAGGCCCATACCAAGATAAATCCTACCAAGACTAAATTTTCATGGATGTGCATCTAGGAATGCACATTAGTAAAACATTCATTTGGTTTGAGACTTTGCCTTCCTTTATAGAGAACATTAGTTGAGGTGAGCTTTGTAATCTTTAAATTATCTTATGTTTTAACAACTCAATCCAATCCAAGTAACTTTTTTTCCTCAATCCACAAAGCTTTGAACCCATGAAAATAAATGATTTTACAGTATCTGATGCAGATTACTAGTTGATTCTCAATTTTAACTTCCAAGATAGATGAATGGTATAAATATGCCACCAGACTTGCATTTGATCTTGACCTTGACACAAATAGGAAATGTTAAATGAAGGTAGCCTAATATGATTACCTTATGTTACTTTACACAGAAGTAAAAGATGAAATGTTTTCAATACATGTACATATACCAAGAGTTGGAAAAAATATATAAAATAGAGGTACATAAACCACCTCTTTAGTTTACCTTGGCCTCGAAATTTGACCTTATCATTGATAAGTTAAAAACTTTGATTTCTGTTGTTGTATTTCTGATTCTGATCATCATCTCTTAATTCAGATTGACTTTGATGAGCATATACGTCAGATCCAAGGAGGGAAGCGGATGAGTGAGCTGCCCCAGATTTTCATTCCTCCTCCTCCCCCGCCACCACAGATGCCCAATTTGGACTTGGTAATTCTTACTTTGACTAAACATAATGAAATTTGAGGGAAAAGTTTCAAATGTTTAATTTAATGCTATAAAATCAGATTTTTATATCATGGATAACTCTCAATTGTTCAGTATGACAACTGCTCCTTTTATAACATTGAACAATCATTATAAACAGTTCACTATTGAACCATTCTATCTGTTGCATTACAGCTAACAGGACAGACTATGACAAGCACTGCCAGTGCTCCTTCATTACTAGCCTTAGCCAGTGGTTCTCTTTCTGGTGGTTCCATGCCAAAATCATCACCATCCCCACCTCTGAGTTCCTCCCAGTCATCAGCCTCCAATATTCTACCTCCCTCTATCCCCAGCGTACAGGCAGTTCCGCAGCCCAAGCCTCTTGGATTACCCACAGGTACAATGATAATACCACTAAAACAGAGCTTACCTACAGGTACAATGATAATACCACTAAAACAGAGCTTACCTACAGGTACAATGATAATACCACTAAAACAGAGCTTACCCACATGTACAATGACAATACCACTAAAACAAAGCTTACCCACAGGTACAATGATAATACCACTAGAATAGAGCTTACCCACGGGTACAATGATAATGCCACTAAAACAGAGCTTACCCACAGGTACAATGATAATACCACTAGAATAGAGCTTACCCACAGGTACAATGATAATACCACCAAAACAGCTTACCGATTGGTACAATGATAATACCACTAAAACAGAGCTTACCCACGGGTACAATGATGATACCACTAAAACAGAGCTTACCCACAGGTACAATGATAATACCACTAGAATAGAGCTTACCCACAGGTACAATGATAATACCACTAAAACAGAGCTTACCCATAGGTACAATGATAATAGGTTACCCATTGGTACAATGATAATACCACTAAATCGGAACTTACCCACAGGTACAATGATAATACTACTAGAATAAAGCTCACCCATAGGTACAATGATAATACCACTAAAACGGAGCTTACCCCTTAGGTACAATGATAATACCACTATAACAAAGCTTATCCACGGGTACAATGATAATACCATTAGAATAGAGCTTACCCATAGGTACAATGATAATACCACTAAAACGGAGCTTACCCCTTAGGTACAATGATAATACCACTATAACAAAGCTTATCCACGGGTACAATGATAATACCATTAGAATAGAGCTTACCCATAGGTACAATGATAATACCACTAAAACAGAGCTTACCCACAGGTACAATGATAATACCACTATAACAAAGCTTATCCACGGGTACAATGATAATACCACTAGAATAGAGCTTACCAATAGGTACATTGATAATACCACTAAAACAGAGCTTACCCACGGGTACAATGATAATACCACTAAAACAGAGCTTACCCACATGTACAATGATAATACCACTAAAACAGAGCTTACCCACAGGTACAATGATAATACCACTAAAACAGAGCTTACCCACAGGTACAATGATAATACCACTAGAATAGAGCTTACCCATAGGTACAATGATAATGCCACTAAAACAGAGCTTACCCACAGGTACAATGATAATACCACTAGAATAGAGCTTACCCACAGGTACAATGATAATACCACCAAAACAGCTTACCCATAGATACAATGATAATACCACTAAAACAGAGTTTACCCACGGGTACAATGATAATACCACTAAAACAGAGCTTACCCACAGGTACAATGATAATACCACTAGAATAGAGCTTACCCACAGGTACAATGATAATACCACTAAAACAGAGCTTACCCATAGGTACAATGATAATAGGTTACCCATTGGTACAATGATAATACCACTAAATCGGAACTTTTCCACAGGTACAATGATAATACTACTAGAATAGAGCTCACCCATAGGTACAATGATAATACCACGAAAACAGAGTTTACCCCTTAGGTACAATGATAATACCACTAGAATAGAGCTTACCCACAGGTACAATGATAATACCACTAAAAACAGAGCTTACCCATGGGTACAATGATAATACCACTAAAACAGAGCTTACCCCATAGATACAATGATAATACCACTAGAATAGAGCTTACCCACAGGTACAATGATAATACCACCAAAACAGCTTACCCATAGATACAATGATAATACCACTAAAACAGAGTTTACCCATGGGTACAATGATAATACCACTAAAACAGAGCTTACCCACAGGTACAATGATAATACCACTAGAATAGAGCTTACCCACAGGTACAATGATAATACCACTAAAACAGAGCTTACCCATAGGTACAATGATAATAGGTTACCCATTGGTACAATGATAATACCACTAAATCGGAACTTACCCACAGGTACAATGATAATACTACTAGAATAGAGCTCACCCATAGGTACAATGATAATACCACTAAAACGGAGCTTACCCCTTAGGTACAATGATAATACCACTATAACAAAGCTTATCCACGGGTACAATGAGAATACCATTAGAATAGAGCTTACCCATAGGTACAATGATAATACCACTAAAACAGAGCTTACCCACAGGTACAACGATAATACCACTATAACAAAGCTTATCCACGGGTACAATGATAATACCACTAAAACAGAGCTTACCCACATGTACAATGATAATACCACTAAAACAGAGCTTACCCACAGGTACAATGATAATACCACTAAAACAGAGCTTACCCACAGGTACAATGATAATACCACTAGAATAGAGCTTACCCATAGGTACAATGATAATGCCACTAAAACAGAGCTTACCCACAGGTACAATGATAATACCACTAGAATAGAGCTTACCCACAGGTACAATGATAATACCACCAAAACAGCTTACCCATAGATACAATGATAATACCACTAAAACAGAGTTTACCCACGGGTACAATGATAATACCACTAAAACAGAGCTTACCCACAGGTACAATGATAATACCACTAGAATAGAGCTTACCCACAGGTACAATGATAATACCACTAAAACAGAGCTTACCCATAGGTACAATGATAATAGGTTACCCATTGGTACAATGATAATACCACTAAATCGGAACTTTTCCACAGGTACAATGATAATACTACTAGAATAGAGCTCACCCATAGGTACAATGATAATACCACGAAAACAGAGTTTACCCCTTAGGTACAATGATAATACCACTAGAATAGAGCTTACCCACAGGTACAATGATAATACCACTAAAAACAGAGCTTACCCATGGGTACAATGATAATACCACTAAAACAGAGCTTACCCCATAGATACAATGATAATACCACTAGAATAGAGCTTACCCACAGGTACAATGATAATACCACCAAAACAGCTTACCCATAGATACAATGATAATACCACTAAAACAGAGTTTACCCATGGGTACAATGATAATACCACTAAAACAGAGCTTACCCACAGGTACAATGATAATACCACTAGAATAGAGCTTACCCACAGGTACAATGATAATACCACTAAAACAGAGCTTACCCATAGGTACAATGATAATAGATTACCCATTGGTACAATGATAATACCACTAAATCGGAACTTACCCACAGGTACAATGATAATACTACTAGAATAGAGCTCACCCATAGGTACAATGATAATACCACTAAAACGGAGCTTACCCCTTAGGTACAATGATAATACCACTATAACAAAGCTTATCCACGGGTACAATGATAATACCATTAGAATAGAGCTTACCCATAGGTACAATGATAATACCACTAAAACAGAGCTTACCCACAGGTACAACGATAATACCACTATAACAAAGCTTATCCACGGGTACAATGATAATACCACTAGAATAGAGCTTACCAATAGGTACATTGATAATACCACTAAAACAGAGCTTACCCACGGGTACAATGATAATACCACTAAAACAGAGCTTACCCACATGTACAATGATAATACCACTAAAACAGAGCTTACCCACAGGTACAATGATAATACCACTAAAACAGAGCTTACCCACAGGTACAATGATAATACCACTAGAATAGAGCTTACCCATAGGTACAATGATAATGCCACTAAAACAGAGCTTACCCACAGGTACAATGATAATACCACTAGAATAGAGCTTACCCACAGGTACAATGATAATACCACCAAAACAGCTTACCCATAGATACAATGATAATACCACTAAAACAGAGTTTACCCACGGGTACAATGATAATACCACTAAAACAGAGCTTACCCACAGGTACAATGATAATACCACTAGAATAGAGCTTATCCACAGGTACAATGATAATACCACTAAAACAGAGCTTACCCATAGGTACAATGATAATAGGTTACCCATTGGTACAATGATAATACCACTAAATCGGAACTTTTCCACAGGTACAATGATAATACTACTAGAATAGAGCTCACCCATAGGTACAATGATAATACCACGAAAACAGAGCTTACCCATAGGTACAATGATAATACCACTAGAATAGAACTTACCCACAGGTACAATGATAATACCACTAAAAACAGAGCTTACCCATGGGTACAATGATAATACCACTAAAACAGAGCTTACCCCATAGGTACAATGATAATACTACTATAACAAAGCGTACCCACAGGTACAATTTTAATACTTGTACTACTAAAACAGCATAAACCTTCTGGGTTACCCATGGGTATAATTACATTGTATAATACCACTAAAGCAGAGCTTACCCACAGGTACAATTATATTACATGTACCACTAAAACATAGCACAAGCCTTCTGGGTTATCCATAATTGCAATGAAAACACTCTTGAAATGAATATAGATCAGAGGCTATACTATAGCTTCAGCTGTACTAGTAATTCTGTCATATTTTTATTAAAACCAGTGGACATAGAGATTCAGCCACAAATTAAATATGAATGAAAATAAATTATTATCAACAATATTCAAATCTACATCAAAAGTTAGTGTGAAAATGTAAACACGTGGTTAAAAAAAAAAATCTGTGTTGACGTTCACCGTCACTTTGCAACGTCACATCTTTATGACATTATTTCTCTGTTTTAGTAAAAATGCCATAAGCACCCTTTTCTCATGGGTGCAATCAATTATCAGTACTATCTCAAATTTTCTTTAAAAGGCGTAATAAGAAATATCTTATCACATATCTCAGGGAGTCTCTTAATATAGTCACTTTACAAAGTAAATAAGATTACCAGTAGGTAAGATTATATATAAACATGGTTGCATGTGGAAGAGAGTCCCAGAATATGTAGGTTCGCTCGACATAACAAGTAATAATAATGCACTTGTAACTATTTACTGCAGGTGTTGCAGGATTGTCTCAGCGCCCCCTTGTTACCCCACCTATCAGCTCTATGGTACCTTCCATGTCACAGGGGGCAGGGCCCCAAACACAGCACAAGACCAGTAATTTTGACAAACTGATCATAAAACTGCAGATGGCTTTTCCTAAATACAACAGGTGTGTCTTATTTCAGCATTGTTCTGGATTGATGGTTTGTGAAACTTGTATATGTGATTTGTCACAGAAGAATACAATAAAATTATTTGAAATATTGTTTCATCTTAACATACATGTGTATATGTTTATTTTAAAATGCTCCGGTATGTAAGAGTAGTCAGTTTTTATCATTACAATAATGACATACAGTGTCTTTTTCTTGATAACTTGAGTATGACAATTATTTTTTTAAACTTGCATATACATGTATATAGATATACATATAGATATCTGTGATGATTGTTCAGTCTGGGCATCTCTTTATTTTGTTTCCAACTTCAATATTATAGCTATATATCAAATGTGCCTCCCTTTGTAGAGCTGTTTTCACACAGCTGATACAGGAGCTGCGGACAAACAGAGGGGGGTCTCTCTCTGGTATGACTCTGGACGAGATTGTGTCCCAGATAACGGACCTTATACATCACCACGAGAGACAGCAGGGCAAGAAGCCTTCTGTAGTAGCCACGCAACAGGTCAGTGTTGTTATTGTGTAAACATTCTGTAGTAGCCACACAATGGGTCAATCTTCTATCTTCTACTGTGTTAGTCAATATTCTTTAGTAGCCACACAACGGGACAGTTTTGTTACTATGTAAATAATTCCTTGGTTTTGGCTCCAAAGCTTGTATAGACAAATAAAAACTGGATCCTCTGAGGAAAGTGCAGGCTAGTTATATGTATTTAGCATTAACATTGAACAGAATATGTTGCTAAATATATACAGCTTGTAAAATGTAAAATGGTTTGATTGCTTACATTTTCCACCTATGCATGTGCATACTTTTTTCAGATAGAAATTAGATGTACAATATTTCAATGCATGTCAAAATTCCAAAAGTCTCTTTAGATCATTGTTTTTCTACAGGATACAGTATCTCAAGGATATCCTGATGACCGTAATAGATCCCCTGCACCTCCTGGCCTCCCAGCCTCGTGGGGACTCCCTGTGACTGACCTGTCAAGTCTGGGGATCACCAGTGAAGTATTTGAGGAGGAGGAGGACCCTTGTGTGATCTGCCATGAGGAGATGACCATCGACACAACAGTCATGCTGGAGTGTAAACACAGATTTCATGATGAGGTACAAGGGGTTTAGAAAGTATAACTCAAATATATGAGCAGGAATAGTTTTTAAAAAAAATAAGCTATTTTATGTATTGAAAGAGGCTGACTGTTGCTTAGTAGATAATTGCACCATGGTAATAGTTTCCTATGTTTATTAACACAGAAGTCAGTCTATAGTGTGCATTGTTGAGATTAATTGATGTATTAAAGAAAAAAAATTTAGCAATTGCATTATGCTATAAATTTTAAAGCAATATGCAGTATCAAAATTCTGGTAACCAATAATGGTCAATGTACACTTTAATACTGAGGAAAAAAAGACATGAAATAAGGAAAATTATTACCAAATCATAATGGACATCAAAACAGAAAACTAATTCAAGTCAATTACGTGTACTAGGTCTTAAACTAGAAGGGAACATGTCTGTACATTGTGTTCATCTCTTTACAGTGTATCAGGAAATGGCTGAGAGAACAGAGCACCTGTCCTAACTGTCGTATCTATGCCCTTCTACCAGATGAGTTCCCAAGTCTTAGATGAACACCAGAAACAGTGGAAAAATTAACTTTTTTAATAACTTTTTTTTGTGGTGTCAGTGTTTGGACTTCCCAAGTTTTATTATGATGATAATATTAATAAGTATTTTTTTATGTTTTTTTTCCCATTTTCTTACCTGATAGAGTTTGGTAATATTTACTTGTGAACAAAAATTGTTTACTTGAGTGAAGAGTACAAGTAATATAACAGAGAACTCAGAATGTTAATGATTAGTAAATAATAAAAATGATAACATATTTATATGAACAGAACTTCAATTTATTTTCTCATCGATGTGATTATACATTTTTATGAAAAAGATTCTGTTTGTACCAATACTTTTGTCCTCCTTATTAAAAAAAATTAACGAACGCATTTAGTCTAGTTTACTTTTTTTACCTATAGATCACAGAGTCAATTGGGTGACCTTTTGCTGTCTGTTCTTTTCTATCATCTGCAGTCTTGAACATTTCAAGCATCTCTGAAATATCTGAGTTAGTTTCAACCAATTTTGGACTGTAGATGAAGAGAATATCAGGCCTGTAGTATGGGGGGGGGGGGGGGCACTTTTAATCTAAACATAAATTTTTACTGTTGAAAATGTTCATTGAAAGGCTGGTTGGCCCCACTTTTTGTTGAGGTATAGTGGTATTGTTAAATGAAGGTAATGTGTGCTAATGTAATCTGATCCCCCTTCAAAAATGATATGTGTGCATATTGTTAACTGTTTAAAAGATCTAACAATAAGGGGTGTTCATTTGGTTTGTATTCGAAGTTTCTTAAACATGTACAGGCCAGGAATAGACCTAACCCAAAAGGGGGGTAGGAGGTTCAAAGAATCTCTTAACTTCATGACTGTAAATTCTTCATATAAATTGCTAATTCATAGCATAATGAGCCAGTCGCACTTACAATGAACATTTTCAACAGTAAAAGGTTACGTTTGGAAAAGGGGGATGGGCAGCCCCCTCCCCATACTACGTGCCTGCGAGGTAGGGCAACTGAAATATTGAAATACTTTTTGAAAAGGATAGTGATTTCGCATTTTTGAAAAATTAAGTTCAACTTAAAGGCTGTTTAAAGTTTACTTCTTAGGTATTTTAGAAAAAATTCTTTATAATTTCATTATATGGCACAAAAATATACTTTTTTAAGTCAGGCATGGGGGTATGTGAAGGCTTGCGGGCAAGTAGCTGCCTACATGTATATGCAAGTATACGCAAAACAGTCAGTTTGTATAAAAACGTGACCAAATAAGAATTGTTTACGTCGCTATAACAAATTTACCGTTCTAACATCAAATTATTCAAAAGATTGATTTCAACTCTTAAACTCAGCATGCATACGTGGTTCCGAATATAATGGTATTTAACCATAAATGCATCTGAGTTTTAGTTTGAACATCATAAAATGTTTTAAAAACACAGTCTACTGTTAGTCTTTATATCGCTTCACTCATTGACAACACATTCAGAATTTATTGAAAACAAAGCAAAGGCATGGATCCTGTATCATACAAAATTATACCATATCGCAGAAAGTAAGTTTACTTAGTTAACTTCCGTGACATTTTTGTCTTAAATTGCAAGCCACCGATATAGATCTGACAATGGGCTGGGATTTACGTAAAAAGACATCGGAACCTAATGTGATCGATTTTAGTTGCGAGTCAGTTAATACTATTATTTTCTTCAATATTATAAAAATGAATTAGACGAGAAAAAGAATCTCCTTTAAGAAATTTTACATTAATCTATTTTTTGTTTAAACAATACTTTATTGGCAAATTTACAAATACACCAATAGCAAGTACATATTGGTAGAGATTTGGAACGATATTAATCCCGTGATTAAGTGAGAGTATCTTTATAAAAATTACTATATAATACACTCAGAACGAAGATGTTTAATTCATATATACTGTGTACAGTTTAATTGGAATCTCCAAGATTTTTTTTTTCCAAGGTAAAGCAATTTTTTAAAGGAGGATTTTAATGTGTAAATTATTTTTAGTTTGGGGGGGGGGGGACGAATTACTTAATATATACGATTGATTCAAATCTTTAAACAAACAATTATATCAATTGCCATACAAGAATTGAAAGTTAAATTCCGGAAAATAACTTCCATTCCGATTAACTTCCGTAACAATTTTCCCCTCGAAATGTTAACTCGTTGCCAGATTTGTGCCAGATGTCAAAAATCATGTTTTACCGTTTTATATTCAGCTTCAGAAAAATTATTGGATAATTTCATGTTTATTTCAATAATAATAAATCATGTTTAAGTTAACTTTCCGTAACATTGCCTTATGACCGTGGGAACCAGTATGTCGAAATTGTTGTAAAATGTTAAGTGACGTTAGTTAAGCTAATTGTGCATTCTTTTTTTTCCAAGTGCACTGCTATATGTCCCTAAGAAAATTATACCGGTATTGTTCATTTGGATATTTAAAGCAACTTTTTTTTTTCACTCTATGTAGTATACATGTATACCATAAATCTTAAGATTTTTTATGAGCTTTTTCTCCAGTGATATTGATTGCTTGAAAAGTAAAATCTTTACATAATGCTGCTTTTGTGATAGTGCCAAATCTTATACATGTATTTTATAAAATCTATTTCAACGTATTTTGATATGCATATTTTAATATCATAACAGTTTTCTTTATATATTTAAACACGTAACTTTTGGGGATTTTTGTGGGGGGGGGGGGGACGCCCCCACGCCCTCTATAATATCGTCAGTGATTCATACGCAGTTCCATTTTCCCGTTCATATTCACCATGCACTCACCAGTGTCATCTCTTTTTATCTTTCTAGAACTTGATATCCTCATTGAAATACATATACATGTATAGGTATTCACTCTTTATAGTTATTACAAATCCCCCCTCCCAATTATTTTAATTTTAAAAAAAGGCTTTAACACGTGTTAACTTTCTTGTATTAATTTTGAAGTGGAAAAAAATCAGCGATTTATTGATCAACGTTTTTTCAACGACCGGATTTTCTTGTTGTAGGGCATTTATACCTTTACATATATAGTCTCTTCTACCAAAAGGAAATAGATTCTTAGAAGTCCTTTTCAAATGCAGGCATGCACATTTTGAATTTCTGAATCAGCAATGTAAATCTCTTCTAAAAGTGAGGAAAAAACATTGCCCCCTCCCAAAGCGGAATTCCCCTTTTCTATTCAGATCGAGATTAAATTCCTTGTTCTAATACATGTATATAGTAATTTTATTAAACACATATAACCAGTACACTACAACCAGAATCAATTTGTTTTCCTATATTATTTATTTAGACTGATAAAACTTCTATGTATACTTTTTGTAATAAATTTTCATTTGAACATTTCATTCAAAAAAAAAATTGCGGATGTTGAAGAAGGACCATTTATATACAAGTCCAACATGTACACGCTGTTGAAATATGCCAGCTTCTTCAAACTTAAACGTGTTTTCTTCTCGATGCTATTTACGGATTGCCTTTATTTTATTTATTTATTTATCTTCCTTTTTTGGCTTACTCGTTCATTCATTCCATTGCCGCGAAAACAGATATATACATCCTATGGACAATCCCAAGTGTGTTCCGAAGAACATCACATGACATTTGTTGTCGATTTTGGACTATTCCATATTGAAAAAGAAGGTAGTGAGGGTATTGAAAATCATATAAACAGAGCCTCAGTCTTTGAGTTGATGAAATAAAACAAATATAACTAAAATAACTTTTATATTTGATGCTTAATTATATTAAGGGTATTTAATTTAGAAAGATAAGGCAATGTATAAGAAAAATGTGACAGCCTGCTCAACACCGCGCAATGTTGGTATAACACATGGGCAGATGGGATTTCGTCTGAAGGACAAAGACTGGTCCAATATGGCCACTGAAGAATAACCAAGGATAGTGAAATTTTTAATAACTGATAAGAAATGGCAGAATTATTGTCAGTTCAAGTACATTTACCGCCAAATTCTAAACTTTTGATCGAAAAATCTAGCAAGAAGTCGTCCCTAGACAGTGTTAATCGTGTTGGACGAGATAGACAGTTTGATCATGGAACTTTTGCACAACTTCCAAAAAGAAGGGCCGCGAATGTGGAGTTTAAGGATCTTGTATACAAGGTCCGCGAGGGAGGAAGACATAAAGGTGAGTTTGAACAGCATTTTTAAAGTAGTTGATGTGCCATGTCATGTGTCAGTGACCTCACATCTGGGTATATCAGCTGTTCACCAATCCAAGTATATTTTGGCCAGGCCTGGGGTCCGCGAGAGGAGGGATTGATCCAGTGTTTACATATTGTTCTGGTACCTTAAAAATTCCAAAACCATTCCTTATATATATTTTTAGTACACCCAGTTCCATAAAACTGGTTAAGTACTCCCCTTTTCAGTCAATAAATTATTTTTCATAGTGAGAATTGAGTCAATTTATTATCAATGATTCAATATCTGTTCTAATCATACGGTCACCTCACCTAAATCATAATCACATACACTGCTAGCGAATTCTGCTGGCAGAGAAGCTTGAAGGCAAAATGTTTTGAAAATATAAACTAGTATGTAACAATTAAACCCATGTAGCTCTTAGCTTTTATATCTGCATTGTCAGAAATGATTTTGCAGCTTCAGCCTGTAATTTATAGTATGCACTGTAAAAATTAAAGGGTCCAATGGGGGACATGCATTATTAAATTATTCAATATTCTTTGTATAAGTTAATACAGGACTAATAGATTTAGTCCACCTATTTAGAAGATGTACCTTCAGATTGTCACTTGGTACAAATTTGTCAGTGACGTGTTCTGTCTTTTTTCCTAACGCAGGACCAAAGGTCATCCTAAAATCCATATCTGGAGAGTTTCGTTCAGGGGAATTAACTGCCATTATGGGACCATCAGGAGCAGGCAAATCTTCTCTAATGAATATATTAGCAGGATATAGGTATGTATCTATGTAGTATTCGGAATTAATCAAAACCTTTTTTTTGGTTTTCGGTGTTCAGTCTTTCTAGTTGTACATACATCCTTTCTAACCATAACTAAATAAATCAACACAACTAAATAGGGCTAGTTGTTCCTTTGCTTTTTTAAACAGTGTATGCCCATAATTGAAAATTTTAACAAAGAATTGATTAAATTGTAGCACAGTTTAAAAATTGAATGCAATAGTCTAATCAATCATTATTACTGACCATCGATCTTGGTCAGTTGGGTCATGAATTTTCTGTTAAGAGTGCAAAATTAAGATAATTTTATGGTATTATGTGAGAAATTTAAAATGATGATAATTTTATTGTTTTGTCAAACATAGAACTCTAAATGTGACTGGAAAGATCCATGTGAAGGGTAAAGACAGAGATTTACGGACGTTTCGCAAGATGTCTTGCTACATTATGCAAGACGATCATCTCCTCCCTCATCTAACTGTGGAGGAGTCCATGATGTGCTCAGCAAATCTAAAACTCACTGAAAAAATGTCCACAAAAGAAAAAGAAGAAAGGGTGAATATAGATTCTTAACAATTTCAGATTCTGGCAAATGTTTTGGTAGCTTTTACTAAGAGAAATGGTAACAATATATTTAAAAATTTCCATCAGTTTTTGTCTGATTTGAGAGTAACACAGTTGTTACTTAAAATTCCAAGAGAAGTTTCATAGCATTTAATTTTATATTTTCATTGTTGAAGAGACATTTGATTTTGTACAGTATTTCTTATGTAGCAAATGGCAATTTCATTTTTTTTTCTTTTTTGACTTAAACTAATTGATCTACAATTACTGTGCCTACAAAAACAATCAATTGAAAATTTTTAAAAATGGTTGTTTTTAGATATTAGATTTATAGCTATATATATATATTGATAAAACTAACAGATTGAAACTGAATTTCTGTGAACTGTGAACTGTTTTGTAACAGAGAAGCATTGACAATCCTGTGTACTTAAACATGGTTTGTTTTAAACTTTGAAGGTGGATGAGATCTTAGAAACTCTGGGACTGTTGGAAACCAAGAAGACTAGAACTAGTAATTTATCTGGGGGCCAGAGGAAGCGACTATCCATTGCTCTGGAGCTGGTGAACAACCCTCCCCTTATGTTCTTTGATGAGCCCACAAGGTAAGCATTTTGTTTATCATCTGTCCAATAACAAACTAAACAGTGACATTATGGTGTTATAGACTAATCAATAATTCTACATTTTGTTGAATTTATTGATAGTAATGTTGGTTTACCCAAGAAAAGACATTTTCTCAAGGTAAAACAATCCTCTTAAAGTTTTGTCTTTTCACATATATATTGATCAATCGAATGATTTAGAAATACAGTGGATTACATAACAATAAGAGGTATTTTTCATGAATCTTTCAACTTAAACCAAGGAGTTAGCGACATCCGTTGACATGCTGAAGTATTAGTGCACTAGATATATTCACTGAACAGGGAAAATAGATATCATTTTAGGCCAAACAAAAAATATGTGTGGTTCCGGTTACACCTCCGAAAACATTAGGGTAGGTAGGTAGGGATTTTTTTTTTTTTTTTTTTTTTTTTTACAAAATGATTTTCTAAATTTTTTTAAATAATACCTATCACTGCTTTGCAAGTGACATTTAGATGTGGCGTGATAAAATACAAGTCAACATTGGTAGGGACACCCTAGTTATGAATATGAAACAAATATTTTTAACTCAAAAATAATAAACCCACTAAAAATCTTATTAATTTCTATTTGTAAAAAAAAAAAGTCGAGGTGAACATCCTGTTTTTAAATCCATGTTTATAAAAGAAATTAATGACTTTTATCCAGAGTAATTCTTATTTTATTTAATAATAAATATTGAACAATAAACTAGAAAACAGACATAGAGTACTGCTAAGAGCTGTCAGAGGAAATATATTTCATATTGTTAAAATTTTAAATTCTTACAATGAAAACTTTTTGCCTCATTGAAGACTTTATACTTCCAAGCTCATTTCTCATATATAATGGTACTATGTAAGTTGACTTTATTCAGGTAAATTCAGCTGTCTTGTTTTTCACTTTTCCTCATCAACTGTTTTTTTTTCTACTTTCGGTTTAAAAGAAACGATCCTGATTTAAACATTGTTAAATTATTTAATAATTTACAAGTTAATCTATCTTACACATTGGGCTATTTCTTGCATAATCAATGCAATCAAATGATGTTTTCTCATGTTATCTTCTCCCTAACTCCCAAAGGCATATTATCTGGCCAGCTGTCTGTCTATTTACCTGGTATTTAATTTTGGCAAGCAAAAACAAAACAAAACAAAAAACATGGTGCTGGAAAAAAGGAATGCTTCCGCGCTATGCTAGCTTGCTTTAGATTTAACACTATTAATTGAACACTTGCACTAAGTGTTGAAACGATGTTTTGCTTGGAGGCCGCCATTGCTGAAACTAAAACTAATACCGGAGCCGATGACGGAAAGCGGGGAAAATTCCGGAAAAAATATGAAAATTGTCGGAAAAAAGTTTAGGGCCGGGGGTATAAAATAGGGATGGTCGGGTAACCGGAACCACACATATTTTTTTATTTGGCCTTAGCTGAAGAACTAATCTGTAATGCTTTATCCATTTACCACTAGGCATTTTTCAACTATTCTCCCTACTATAATAGGAAAATGTTACTACTCATTGGGAATTTAAACTGATCATTGTAAAGGCTACATTGAAATAAGTTTAAATGTCTTTTTACACTATGTGATACAAAATCTCTACAGTGTTACATTGTACGTAGACCTATGTATCATTTACCAGTCCACAGCTCTACATAATACAAGACAATGACATTGTTTGTCAGCCATATTCTTGATTGTTCTTTGATCTATTGAGATATCATCTTTTAATGTCATTGTGATTAAACATTTTAATATGTGTATTTCATCATTATTATATAATGAGTAATTCCATCTTGGCAATTTTTCAGACTTTCTTTACTTTTTCAGTTATTTTTACCATGTTTAAGTCCCATTAGACTTTATTTACACTATGAATACATTATCAATATTATTCATACTTCATAATTTATGTTTTTCAAAGAGTTTGTGTGCTTGTTCAATAACAAATTCAAGATAGGGAAATATGAGTATAATATAGATACATGATATGTAAACACTACTTAATAATAATCATTGACTTCCCCAACAGTGTATGACCTACATTTGTGCTAAACTTTAAGTACATCTACTAAGAACACATACATTACAATCTAAAAGTTGTGACCTATTATACATATTGTCTACGTGGTTGTACTACAATTGATAATGTGTTTTCAGTGGGTTGGACAGTGCCTCTTGTTTCCAGTGTGTCTCCCTCCTGAAGTCTCTAGCTGCGGGGGGACGGACCATCATCTGTACAATTCACCAACCCAGTGCAAAACTCTTTGAAATGTTTGACCATGTAAGAGTTTTAAATATTCAACTATATTAAATGGAGAAACATTAGCAAAATTTTTAAAAATGAATAAAAACAAATATTTTTAATCACAAATAAACAGTGAAGACCAATCTGTGACATTTTGATAAGCCTTATTTCCTTGTTACAGCTGTACATGCTTGCTGAAGGTAACTGCATATACAGAGGAACCATTAAGGACCTTATCCCATACTTTTCCTCACAGTCTCTGATGTGTCCCCAGTATCATAACCCAGCTGATTATGGTAATGTCTTGCTTATTCTGTAATTGTTATATTCATGGATTTAGATTGATTAGGATTTTTATTTAAAGAAGCAGAGATGCATTTAAGAAATATAATTATATGAGAAAATCTGTTCCTATGTACATGGTATGTGAATATTGATCTGTTTTAAGATACTGTGTTTTTCTCATTAAATGTGTATATTGATTTGTTGAAGTATGAAGGATAGATGTATTGTCAAAATAATGATCTATTTCTTACAACTTTGCATATGTCCATTATATCAACAGCTATGGAGGTAGCCTCTGGAGAATATGGTGAAGAAAAAGTCATCAAGTTGATTTCCTCTATACACAATGGAAAATGTGAGGAGATTGCTCAGAGGAATGCTAAGCTTGGGGAGGGAAGCAGGACCCCCTCTCCACCAGCTACACCTAATAACTACTCTCAGGGAAATGGGGTCATTCCCACCACACCTCAGGAATCAGAAAAACAGAGTCTGCTAGGGGAGGAGTGTGAAAGATTTACCAATGGAAAAGTTTTACAATCCAATGGTTCCCTAAAGTCTAAAAAGGACCAGGTAAGTGAAACAGTGCTTGTTGTAGTTTAGGTAAACTATTAAAAAAAATGAGAGAAATGTTGAAGTGATTTTGAGTGAAACCTTAGAAAATTGATTTAAATACAAGATGATTGTCATTGTCATTTAAGAACTCGCTTGGTGATGGCGTTTGTTTAGAAAGTTTCGCTAACACAGTTTAGATGAAATTTTTAAATGGAAATAATTTATTTTTTTCTTCATGCTCTTGCATATTAAAAATACTGATACTACAAAAGAATTTGACCTATTTTGCCTTTCTATTCAAAGTAACTGCTAAAACTGAGAGTGTATGGTTTTGTTGTAAACATTTGCAGGATTCTGATTCTTTGGAGGTTTGTACACACGTCTAACAGCTAGAGCTTGGTGCTGGTGTAGTCATATTAATCCTACTAAACTCTTTACTATTCAAGCAGAGTTCTGGATTGGTTATTGGTATTTATTTCGTGAAATGATGAGTTTGAACCTCCAAGGATATTTTTTTTCAGCTTGAATTATGTGAAACTAGAATTAGAATGAGGGGAAAGGGGGGGTGGGGGGGACTGGTTACCAATATATGCCTAGTTAATCCTGACCCCTTCATCCCCAACAAAATCGTCCAGATAAATGAATTGTTTGGATAAGTGAATCACCTCTTCAAGAAAAAGCTCCTTAAAAGAAAAACTAAATTAAAGAAGATATACCAATGTAATTTACATGATGAAACAAAATGAAGATAATAAATTTTCCGCTGACATTCCTTTTCTTAACACAGCCAAGAACTTTAACTTGCATTCTTTTTGGCTGGTGATTGTATGAAATGACAAGTTCAATCTGCAACTGTTTTATTATGCCTTATTTCAGTATTATTCAAGCTCTGATGACATGATAGTACCCTTCAGGATCGTCACTAAATATGTACCAATTATTATCTGTCCATGCGCATCCATTATTAAAGACCAAAAGTAACTGAACACAATTCCAAGCTCACTTAAAACAGTTGTTATCAGTGCAAATATTGTCAACATTCAACAAAAACATGAGTCATCTTCATAATTACTGTAAGCTTAATTGTTGCTTTTTAAAGTACCTTAAAAAATCTTTTCTTTTCTTTTTGTCCACGGCCAGTAAAGTAAGTAAAAAAGTAATGTCCATTTATAGTACATAAAATAAAAGATGTTTTCTTTAATAATGAATCTTCTAGTTTGTATAAAGCAAGACCCTTTCATGTGGAACACAAATTTCTGGATTAATGAGACAGAATAACATGGGAAAAAATCTGTAGCCTAAAAATATCTCCCGGAAGATACAGAGTCTGGATTACTGGTGTCTGGATAAATGTGGGGTCACTGTACATTAAAGTTGGTTAATTTCCTATTTCATGTTATGCTTAACCCTGATGTCGGTATCCTGTAAAAAATTTTTGAAGCAGGTTCAGTCCTGGTCTGATTTGTGCAAATTATCTACTGTTACATACTGTACTTTGTATTGACGGATGAGTGACAAAGTTGATTTTTTTTTTTTTTTATCAAAATCATCATCCATGCAAACATCAAAATATTTTAGATTTTCAAGTTAATTGGTGCATAAACCCTACATACACCAAACATGCAGAGTTGATGCATCATATGACCAATACATTTTTTGGGTAGAATGATTTGGATATTAAATAATAAATGTACCATTAACAATGACCAAACTTGGATGAATCTTACATTTAGGAAGTTTAAGGAGTATTGTAAGTGACTTTTTATTAGCGAAAACTTTATACATGAGACTATCAAGTCAGGAAAATTAAATTATTGCATATATTTTTATTATTAAAGATTATGTACAAAATAACCATAAAGTGTATGAAAATGTTGTCTCAGGCATAAATGCCAAATAACTTTCTCACAAAGATAAGGTGTCATGAAAATTTGGTGATCCACTACAGTAAATCATTTTTCAGATGCAACATTTATGCCTAATGTGGTAAATTTTAGAGTAAGTTTTTTGAGTACCAGTAGGTACAGTTTCAAGTATGCCTAGTCCATTCTGGATCAAACTTGGAGCACCTGCAATTGCATGCAGTGGGTTTTACTTTTAGTTAATTGTGGTTAGGTTTTGGAAAAGGATCATTGATTGTTTCCTATCATCTGTTTGCATGGATGATGGTTATAGAAAAATCTGTAAGATTTTGCTTAGGCTAATGAATGTGATTCTATAGTTTCTGAATGATTGAACAGGATAACATATTTGGAGCTGCAAGGAAGTGATCTGTATGTCCCAATACTGTTCAAATTCGCATGGATCATGTAAACTGCACAATCATGAACTTAATATTCCTGATAAATAGTTAACAGTCCTTGGAAGTTAACAAAGCTAATACACTTTATTGAAAATCCATATGAATGTTGAATGAATGAATGCACTTCCCTGAAAATTACAAATCCTTTGGTGCACACTTTGTTCTTATGTTTTTGGCATTGAATAATCTACATTTCTTCTTCTTTGAGGATAGGACTTAGTTAAGCTTTCCCATTTTCCTCCACTATAAACATGATAAACCCAAATCAATACATGTATTTTTGCAGGTATTATTTGTATTGTGAGGTATGTGAAATGATCATGTTGGAGTAAAGATCTCGAAAGTTTGAGTGTAAAACATGCATACACAAATAAGATTCTCTTTCAGTTACATTAAGCTGGACAGAGCCATTACTTTATTTGCTGAACACAGTTTTGTTTTTTGTTTTTTTTAATTGATGTTTGAAAAAATAGAATAGAATTTGGGACAAGAAATAAATAATGCCATTAATGTGATGCTCTAAATTTTTCTAATTCTACAGAGCATTGTATGTTTAAAAGATTTAAATGTAAAGGCTTTATGTAATAATGTTAGATATGTAAAATAGAGGACAAGATTTCTTTTACTCCCTGCTTAATCCTTTTGCTCCAGGGAGGAGCATGGGCACTAACAATACCCCTTTACCTTGTCCTATCGTGCACTAGTTCTTCAACTAAGAATAAATATTTTAAATATCAGGCCATATGGCTGTATGGTTAGAGGGTTGGAAGTGCCACTGAGCTGTATTCTTTATTTCCTTTTTTCAGTTGAGGGGCTGTTATTGTTATTTTTGTCCTTCCTGAATGTTAATAAAGGCTTTGTATCAATCTGCTGGAAAAACAGGCCACACTTATGTTAATACCTATTGTGTATTGATTTCAGTCGCAGTATGAATTCAGTGTTAGACGCATGTCCCTTGTTTTGTCATTGCTATCATTGTTAAGTTGTTACAGCTGATGTGCAGCTTCTTGTTTAGTATCTTAAGTTGTTGATGTAAAGCTCATGACAAAAAGAATCTCAATGTAGTACGTCATTGTTACCAAAGCTGGAATGGGCCACTTATTTATCATTCTTAAATCTCTACAAGCTGATTATTACTGACAGGAAATAAAACCCTTGAAGACGGGAAATAGCACATCAAAGTTTAACTTTTGCTTGTGAATGATTAGGTCAAACACTTGTTTGTGGGTATCATTTTATCATTTGGTCCGAAGTACATTTTATTCAACAGTGGAGTGGATCTCTATATCTCCTGGTGATATATATTTTATTGAGGTTAAGAATATTTAATACTTTTAAGATACATTGAATGAATATGGTAAAGTATTTGTATTGTTGTTTATATTGTACATATTAGAAATAAAAATTTAAAGAGTTTAAAGTGTGTACTGTTCTCTGGAATAAAAAGTGATCTACAGTATTAAATGTCTTTTTAGGATGTCCAGGATCAGGAGTGTCACACATTTGCCACCAGCTGTTTTACACAGTTCAGGATCCTGTTTGTCAGAACTCTGCTGTCCATACTCAGGGACACGGTCAGTTACTAAATATAGCATCATCAGCTCAATGTTGTACTCAGTAACTAAATATAGAACATCAAGACAGAATAACTAAATATAGCGGTATACTAACTACAGCATCACAAAAGACACTATTATATTCTTATCATGCTGAGGCATTTTCAGCAATACATGCATTTGCTCACCAAAATTCCTCTTCCCTCCAAAAAAAAAAAACATTAATCTTTAGAGGAATAAAAACTTGGGAACACTTGAGGTTTTGCACAAAAGCAAAAATGTTGTTTGCACTTGTTCTCATATTCCCAAAGGCTGCAATATGAAGCTTCTATTTTTCTACATTAACATTGTTTGGACTGTTACAGATATTCCTCATGTATAAATGTGATCAGAATACCAAAAATTGAAACAAAATTGTTTTTTAAAAAATTTGTTTTAATTTAGCTTTGTTCTGGATCCCTGTGTAATTTACAGAGAATTTGACGGAATTTGACACAGATAAGTCTGATCTCTCCCCTTACTGTAAGGATTCTGATAGCTGTAATGAAGTATTATTTTTGTTACAGACTTTGACCCGGCTACGTTTGATTTCTCACCTTACTGTGGGGATCCTGATTGGCTTGCTGTACCTAGGGATCGGGAATGAAGCCAGTAAATGGCTGAACAATGCCAGCTTCTTATTCTTCTGCATGCTTTTCCTAATGTTCACCGCTCTCATGCCCACAGTCATGACTTGTGAGTAAAAATAACAAAAATTTTCCATCTTTATGAAATCATTCAGTGAAAAAACTCAGAAAATGAACAGGTTTCTCTAAATGAATGACATACAGTTGAACTTCAGTATCTCGAACACAGATATCTCGAATACCATGGATATGTCGAAGTCATTTTGAAGTCCCAACTACTTATTCCTTAAGTATTTTACCCTGGATATCTTGAATCCTCAGTTATATCGAGGTATTTTCTCGGTCCCTTCAAGTTTGAGATAACGAGGTTTGACTGTAATTAATGGAAGAGCTGTCTGCATAGCTCAGTAGAATTATTTTTAGAATGTATCTGCTTCTTATACAACCTTTCCAGTAATTCTTGTTTTTTTTTCCATACTCAAGTTCCAATAGAAATGGCTGTGTTTGTGAGGGAACACTTGAACTACTGGTACAGTGTAAAGGCTTACTACTTGGCAAAGACCATGGCAGACATGCCATTCCAGGTTTGTTAACTTGTTAAGAATGATAATAAAATTCTTACTAAAACTTAACGTAATAATTTTGGAATGTTTTAATGAAGTGAAAGTTAGTGCTAATCTCACTCATGTTACATAGAAGTAGAAAAGGCACCAAGCTCTCTTTATTCTGGTGACCCATAGCAAGCAATGTACTCTTTATAATAGTATATTACACTGGGTCACCACATTTAAGTGAGCATGATGCATATAAAAGGTTACAAACTGAAACAGGTTTGTGTGAATGAATAAGTGTATAATGTTCTTTTGTTTTTATATAGATAATTTTCCCACTGGTGTATGGCAGTATAGTGTACTGGATGACATCACAGCCGAATGATTTCTCGAGGTTTGTGATGTTCCTTACCCTGGCAACACAGACTTCACTGGTGGCTCAGTCCTTGGGGCTCCTCATCGGGGCAGCAACATCACTACAGGTTAGGCAGTTCCCTTATGTTAAAAAATCTAATGTTAGCATGTTGGTTTACATATTATTAACTTAATTAGCTCATACATGTACATTCATGCTTTTCAAAAAGAAGCAATGAACAATTTTCCAGTGGATCTGACAATAAAAGATAATAACATAATTTGTAGTTTACTCTTTAAAGAGTTTTTTTATTTTAAGAAAGAAAAGCTAGCAACTTATAACACAGAAGTCACTAGTATTAATAGTAGTATTATCTGTACAAGTCATGTATTTGAAGTATTTGTGATTGATGTATATAAAGCACTGAATCTGCTATTGTAGGTGTCTGTGTTTCTGGGACCAGTGACGGCTATTCCTATCCTGCTATTCAGTGGCTTCTTTGTCAATTTTGACACAATACCTGTGTATCTACAGTGGCTTTCTTATATATCTTATGTCAGGTAAGACAACTGTTTATGTTTGGTTTTCAGCGAAGATACTTGTCAAATAAAAGTCTTTTTGTAGAATAACCCAGATATAACCTCTAACATGTACTGTGTAGATCATTGACAGAGCAATTCAATGCAGAAATAATAATAAATTCATAATTTGGTTTCTTTGCCAAAGCAGTCATTCTGAGGTCTGCCCCCCCCCCCCCCCCCCCCCTCCTTCCTTCTGTTAAAGTTATCTCCCATGTAAATATTATCAAGCTTGAAAACTAGGGTAATTGCTCTGTATCTGTATTTACATGTACTTTTCTCCAGTATCAGTAATTTTGCATTTTCAGGTACTCATTTGAGGGAGTTCTACAAGCTATATATGGTTTTGGCAGAGACACCTTAGAATGTGATAAACAGCCATGTTACTTCAGTAAACCAGAGGAAATTCTGGAACAAATGGATGTACAAAATGCCAAATTCTACATCGACTTCATTGTCCTGTGTGCATTCTTTATTATTCTCAGAGTTGGTTGTTATTTTGTCCTGAGATGGAGAGTCAAAGCAGAGCGATGATTATTTAAAAATATTTTCAGAGGAATTGCTGTAAAAATACATCAGTGTTTAACTTTTTATATGCACTTGAATTTGAAATGTCATTGTACTCATTTCATTTGATGGAAAGGTACATTTTTGCTTCTTAGGTGAAGTATGTGACAGTTATTGAGTGAACATTCATATTGTTATCAGGTTACATACTGTACAGAAAAATATTCATTCTTAGCTCTTAACTTTTTTAGCATTTTTGTTTGAAATGCACTTATTTAAATTTCTTATTTATGCTCTAAATGATTAAATTTTAAATTTCAGGTGCACTACTGTGCTTGAATAATCCACACTATATGTTACGCATTATTTAATTGTCTGAATAATGACAAATGAAATGCACACAAGAAATCATTTCACACCTATCTTTGTTATCTTAGAGGTTATTTATTATTTATCTACCTATTTTTTTCTGAAATTGTTTGGATTAAGTGGCATGAAAATTTTTAAGGAAATCAACTGTGGAATGTAAATACTTTATTTAAATAAAATTGTTAGTCTACCTTTTTGCCATAAAAATTTGTTGATGATGAAAATTTAAAGTTTAAAATTTAAAGATAAATTAAATTTTAAAGACAAATCAACTTTACTTAACATTCTCAAGACTGAAGAAAAAAGATTGTCAGAAAGATTTTATTTTGGCAAATTAAACAAAGTTACAGCTATTCTATATTACAGTTAATAGTCTTTAATTATAAAGCTGACATTAAAATTTTCCATTGTCTTTAATCCCTAGTGTATTGCATGTAACCACTTTATAAATGCACAAATTATTATACTATATAAAATTCATGTATTTTTGTATGAAAATGTTCACTTCCATTCTAGACTTGTATGCAGCACTGCTGATATTGTGTTTGATATCTGCTTCATTCGTCAATCAAGGGCATTGCAGAATGTCTCCTAATTTTCACTATGTGGGGAATCATACCTTATTTTTGTTACAATACTAGTCATGTGGTAAAATGTCAATTTTAATGTCTCTAAAACTTCACAGAAAATCAAAGCAGACTGGCATGGAGATGCCTTGTATGTATATTTATCACAAAGGATTTTGAAAAGTTGTTAACATAAAAAATGCCCTGATTATTTAAATGTAATGTTTTATTGCTGTGTGTTTAGATTGTGTTGAATGTTTTCTGTGAATTCTTTATTTACTAACCAATGGACTTTTACTGGCTGATATTCTGTAAGTTGCAGTTATTCAAGATTTTAGACATTTCCATCGGTATATGTAGCTATCATAATATAAATACAAATTAAGTTTCATTTCCATTTTCTCAAAACAAAATCTCACAAATAAAGCTTCATATAAATTACCCATTTGGAGCATTGGGTTGTAAGTTTATGCTTCAGAAAGGTTTGACAGAAATTTGACCAAATAGCAAGGTTTGACAGAAATTTGACCAAATATTCATGAAAATCAGCCACACTGGCATCATTTTTTTTTTTTTTTTTTTTTTTACAAATTATAGTAGACTTTATGATTGGACTTTATTGTGCACTCTCCTTGTATTTATAAACATGTTTATTTATATACATGTAATTATGATTCTGTAGTCAGCTGGCTGGACTACTATTTCAGTTTCATTCATGAGATGAATCAACTCCCATTTTTCTCCACACATGTTGTACATGACATTGTTCAGTATTATCACCATATTCCAACCCAGATATAAATCATACTGTATATTGTTGTATTCACAATGTTTGTCTTGGCATCCTCCATAATTTGAAGAGTGTTTTTGTTCATCAGTCTTAGGGCAAACTGCATGTATTGGATTTTTTTTTTGTTTTGTTTTAGAAGGGTTGAGACATAATTTGAATTTTATGTAAATCTCATGATTAAGTTCTCAGGTCTCTTACTTTTTTCCATCAAATATGTTAAATATGTAAAAGTTTCTTGAATTATAATATTCAGATGAGATTTTAAACACTTCAGAACAACTTGAATACATACATGTAACTATATTAGATAAAAATTGGAGAAATATGTTTATACTTGAAGTCTTGCAATGAATCATGTATCAGAGTAGATGGAGCAGACATTCTGTTGGATTGATGTACAACTTCTAAAATTAAATTTATATATATTAGGTGATATTTCTGGGAAGGTGTATCAATTTACATACATGTACATCACTTGAGTTTGTATAATGAAAGTATTTTCAGAGATGCCCAGGAACTTGTGATAAAGGCCTGTGTCCACTCTTTTTCTCATGTTGTCTGTGATGAGGTTATGAGATACTTTTACTGTAGTGCAATGTTAAGATGACTCACTTCATCTGTTTTGTCTGATTTACTAATGAAATCAATATTCAAACTTTGTTGTTGATATTTTTGTTGATTTTTGAATTTTATGGTCATACTTTCGAAAGTGCTTTTGAATTTAGAAACTTTATTTTAACTAGTAATGTGTTTTGTCTTTCCTCTAAGAAATAAAGCAATCAGAGATTCAATTTTGTATTTTAATTTTTTATTTTTTGGTTCGTTTGTTTTTTAATTTTTTTTTTTTTGGTTACATAATTGTAACAACTTAGAATGCTTAAAACTGGAAAAGACTGAGTTTTTAGAAACGTATCCAATTTTACATTTACATATAAATATTTACATTTCCAATGTCTTTGTCCGAGGTAAAACTACAAATAGTAAAAATACTTTATTTCTACATAAATCTACTGCTTCATCGATAGGCATGGTTAAAAAGAATCACGTGTGGGGCGGGAAAAATAGAGACAGAAACGGGGCTTGTAGCGTGTGAATTTGCCGAATCAAGAGCATGTAAATGTAAGGAATAACTGTCAGATTTTTTGGTTTCATGACGATGATCAATCGATTGGCTTGCCTGATAATTTTATGCATAAACGCCTTCAGCGTTTATGCAAATTATCACACAAGCCAATCGATTGATCACAATCATGAAACCAAAAAATTAGTTATTCCTTAAATAAAAGGCTTATGGACCAAGATGGTTATTCAAGTCTCAATCTCTTCCAAGACAAATGAGTATGTATCCTTCATGTATATCAATCCCCTTGGAGTTCACAAATTTAAAATGCATGTAAATGATTTGCATTTTCATTTACAGTATATTGAACTTCACAAATCATCAATACATTTCTGTTTAAATCTGTTCCCAGTACAGTCCCTGGGGAACAATTTGAATCTTCATTACTCTGGGATGCTTGCAACTTGGTGACTAACTGTGGTTCTGCCTTTAGCTCACCTCAGCTTAAAGCCTGTCACTGAGCTTTTATGATAAGATTTTGTATGGCATCTGTCCATTGTGCTGTTTGTAAATTTTTAAAATCTTCGATTTCTTTTCCAGAATTATTGGGCCAAATTAAACCAAACTTGCCACAATGCATCCTTGGTTAAAGGGGATTCAAATTGATCAAATAAAGAGCCATGTCCACTTCAAAGGGGAAATAATTTAGAAATGGTGAAAATTTGATAGCATCATCTAACAAGAGGCCCAGGGGCCACATTGCTCACCTGAGCACTGTGGCTAAGAAAAAAGCAAAAATCTGTTTAGTATTGAAAAGCTTTTTCCTATATACTCCTATGTTAAACTTTGATCGTCCATTGTGGCTCTACCCTATCCCTGGGGGTCATGATTTGAACAAACTTGAATCTACACCACCTGAGGATACTTTCACATATGACCAATCATGGCTTTGCTGTTCTTGAGAAGAAAAATTTTAAGATTTTTCCTAAATACTCCTATGTTAAACTTTGATCGTCCATTGTGGCCCCACCCTACCCCCGGGGATCATGATTTGAACTAACTTGATTCTACACCACCTGAGGATGCTTTCACTTAAATATGACCAATCGTGGCTTTGCTGTTCTTGAGAAGAAGAATTCTTACGAGTTTTCCTATATACTCCTATGTTAAACTTTGATCGTCCATTGTGGCCCCACCCTACCCCTGGGGGTCATGATTTGAACAAACTTGAATAAACTACCTGACAATGATTCTACATGAGTTTCATCTTTCCTGGCCCTTTTGGTTCTTGAGAAGAAGATTTTTCAACGATGCCATTAATTTTTCGCTATTTTGTAATTATCTCCCCTTGGAGGAGGGAATGGCCCTTCATTTGAACAAACTTGAATCCCCTTCACCCAAGGATACTCTGTGCCAAGTTTGGTTGAAATTGGCCCAGTAGCTCTGGAGAAGAAGATGAAAATGTGAAAAGTTTACAACGACAATGCCAACAACGACAGACAACGGACAAATTTTGATCAGAAAAGCTCACTTGAGCCTTCTGCTCAGTTGAGCTAAAAATCTCAAAGTCCCCTGGGCCAAAAAATGTTAATTTTACATGAAAGTTTCTGAAATAGTGTAGATTCAGTCTTAAGAAATCTTGGCCCAGGAGGTAGGTTAGGGCATAGTAGGTGATCAAAGTTTGCATAGGAATATAAAGGAAAATTTTTCATCAAGAACAGCAGGGATATATGGTATTGTATGTGCAGGCCATATTTTAGCTGCTTTGGCGCAGACAACGATGCGCTAATTCACGAATACTGCTAAGAAATCATTTATAAATTCAATATACGGCACGGACATGTATAGCATTAATTTATGATTTTGCCAACAACTCCATACCCAGTGATTGCGCTAAATTTTGAATACGCCAATTTATGTACATGTACAGTAAGTCCTATGGCTCCTTGGGGTAGGGTGGGACCACTTAAGGGGATCAAAGTTTTACATAAAAATCTTTACAAAATCCTCAAGAACAGCAAGACTAGGATTACTGCATAGGCACTTGACGTTTTAAACCTTTGTCGTCATTGATAAAAATATCCCCATACTACATGTACAGTGTATTATTATAGTATGGGGGAATTTTAATCAATAAAGAGAAAGGTTTAAAATGTCAAGTGCCTGTGGATTACTGATATTTATATGCAAGCATTCTCAGGTAGTGCAGATTCAAGTTAGCTGAAAATGTGACCCCCAGGTGTAGCGCAAGGCAATGGTAGGGAATCACAGTTTTACATTGAATATAAGGGCTATGCTTATTGATAATAATATGCAGCCTCGGTTAGTGGAGATTAAAAAAACTAGAAATACAGTCAAACATCATCTCGAACTAAATGAGACCGAGAAAAAGCTTCAAGATATCAGAGAATTCGAGATATCAGGGGCAAAATACTTAGAGAACAAGAGGCCCATGAGCCAAAATGCTTACCCGAGTCAAAAGGCCCTACTGTTCTTTATCAGCAGATTTCTTCTATTATGGCTTTGCTGTTCTTGAACAAATTAAAGATTAAGATTTGTTTCTATATATTCCTATGTAAAACTTTGATCCCCCATTGTCGCCAAACCCTACCTCTGGGGGTCATGATTTGACCAAACTTGAAGCTACACAATCTGAGGATGCTTCTATATCAATATGACTAATTATGGCTTTGTTAATTCTTGAGAAGAAGATTGAAGATTTTTTCCTATATATTCCTAAGTAAAACTTTGATCCCTCATTGTGGCATATGTATATGTAAAAAAAACTTGCATGCAACCCCTGCATGATTGGAAGTTCTGTTCTAAATTAAGACCTTAAAAGCAGTGGTGTACTTCACTTATAAGTCACTTATAAGTGACTCATATTTGATAAAGTATGAAGGGCTAATACTTCACTTATAAGTCACTTATAAGTAATTATACTTGCATAAAGCAAAAGTGGCTAATACTTGGCTTATAAGTCACTTATAAGTCAAGCACTTTGCATATAAAATCCTGATGAGTCACTTATCAGTCACTTATAAGTTAAATGTATCAGTGAAGTATAAGTCCAGAATAAACAACTTATAAGTAAAAGAATAAATTACTTATAAGTCACTTATCAGAAAGTGAGCTTTTCTGATCACATTTTGTCCAACTGTCTGTCCATTTGTAAACTTTTCAAATTTTAATTTTACTTCTTCTCCAGAACCACTGGGCCAATTTCAACCAAACTTGCCATAAATTTTCCTTTGGTGGAGGGGATTCAAGTTTGTTCAAATGAAAGGCCACACCCTTTTTTAAGGGGAGATAATTAAGAATAAGTGAAAATTGGGTGGTATATCTTTTAAAAATCTTCTCTAAGAACCACTGGGCCAAAAAAGTTGAAACTTATATGAAACCTTCTTTACATAGTGTAGATTCAAATTTGTTCAAATCATGACTCCCAGGGCTAGGTGGGACCAAAATAATTTTTTTTAAAAAACATTGATTGTACACACATGTACTCCAAAGTTGATCTAAAAAGATGCTGTAGTTTCTGATTGACAATACCTATGTAGTTCTTGGAGATCGTCTTCTAACAATCTGTTGGGATTCCCATGGGTACTAATTGCACCCTGTTATTACATGTAGCAGACCTATTTTTGTATTCATATGAAGCAGAATTTACTAAAAAACTTCTACATGACAAGAAGAAGTCTCTTGCTGTGGCCTTCAATATAACATTTAGATATAGTGAAGACGTTTTATCAATTAACAATATTCATCTTCTTTTCTATGTTGATTTGATATATCCCTTTGAACTTGAAATAAAACACACCAGAAAACCTGACACAACTGTTTCATATTATACTGGGAAAAGATGTTAATGGTAACCTAACAAGAAAACTTTATGATAAATGTGATGACTTCAATTTTTCTATCGTCAACTTCCCTTATTTATGTAGAATATACCAGTATCACCTGCATATGGAGTTTATGTCTCCTAGTTGATTCGATACGCAAAAACGAACCAGTAAAATTTTGATTGCCAAAAAACATTCACCACAACGAATCAAAATCATTTTAAAGTATCAATATGCAAGCATCCTCAGATAGCGTAGATTCAAATTTGTACAAATCATGACCCTTGGGGCTAGGGTTGCACCACGTCAAAGTTTTACATGGGAATATACTGACAGTGGATTTTTTTTTCAAAAGTAGCACAGCAACATTAAATCATACTGATAAGCAGTATGATGGGCTACAATAGGGGAGAGAGTTTTACAAGGGAATTTGTAGGAACAAACTTTTAAGTTTACAATAATAAGTGAGCTACACTTAATCCTACCAAGATGCAAACAAGTTTTGTGAATTCAGTTTTATTCTCATGGACCCTGGGGTTGGGATTGCGCTAAACTTGGAGATCAATATTACACAATGCAATTGTACAGGGAAAAATATTATAAAAATCTTCTTTCAAACAGCAGATCCCCGCATGTTAGTCATTTTGATATTGAAACTACAAATGATGTGAGGATTCACATGTTCACTACACGTTAGATTAAACCCCTTCAGGTTAGGATGGAGCCAAAGTATGAGGTCAAAATTTTCTGAGAATAAGAAGGAAAAAATCTTTTTAAAACCTGATGATGAGGGACAGCAGGCTAAGGTGACTCAGGTGAGCATGATTGCCCAAGGGCATGTTTTTTTTTTAAATTTTAAAAGATTTTCCTATTTCATCCCAAATAAAACTCTCACTTTCCTATTGTGGCCCCATGCTATGCCTAGAACAAATATTAATTTTTAACTGTGGCCCATCTCAGCACTTGGGGTCATGATTTGAACATATTTGAATCTACTTGCATTGTGAACAGGGGATTACCCTATGTTCTATCTATAGTAACTTTAGTCTCTTACTTACGCCCTATCCATACCCAAAGGACTCTGCAAGATTTGTACAGCTTGAATCTACACTACACAAAGATGATAATGTAACAATTAGTACATGTAATTTGACTAACCATCTAAGTCAAACTGTTTAAAAATTTGCATTTTATATTTCTATGTATAAAACTTTGATCTATAGAAGAATCCTCATAATACTTCCCAATATTTTCTTCGTCATTGCCATAGAAAGGTACCCAACCCTTTCCATTTAAAATCATCATTCCTTTTTCCTGCTTTAAATAGCTGAAATTGGCACAGTGGTTCAGTAGTAAATATAAAGTTGCTTCATTAATACACATATAAAAACTCCTGACATGGGAGATTATACCGGTACATTTACATGGAAAATATTTCACCCCATGTTAATGTGTCTAATTCCTAAAAAAGTTCACTAAAAAAGTTCACTGGTTTTAATTAAAGATTTTTTTTTCTCAAAGTTCTGTTGGAAGTAAAACCACAGTAGTCAATCTACAAGTCACCACCACTACTAAACACACAAAATGGTACAGGATCCATTCAGGAAAAGCAAAAAAAAAAAAGAAGAAGAAGAGGCCCATGGGCTACAATGCCCACTTGAGTAATCTGGCCCTTCTTGTTTTTCATCAGCAGATTCTTTCTATATATTCCTTTGTTAAACTATGATCACCCATTGTAGCCCCACCTTACCCATGGGGGTCATCATTAGAACAAACTTGAATCAACATTATGGGTAGATGCTTCCATATAAATATGACTGATCATCTAGGCTTTGCTGTTCTTGAGAAAAAGATTTTTCCTATGTATTCCTTTGATTGCCCATTTTGGCCCAGCCTAACCCACCCCCTCCCCAAGTGTCATGATTTGAATAAACTAAAATAGACATGTGAGAAAAAGGTTTTTAAAGATTTTTTTCCAGTGTATTCCTATGTAAAACTTTGATCGCTATTGTAGCCCCACCCTACCCCTAGGGTCATTTGAAAAAACTTGAATCTACAATACATGAGGATGCATCCATACAAATATGACTGATCAGGGCTTTGCTGTTCTTGAGAAGAAGAATTTTGAAGATTTTCCCCATGTATTCCTATGTAAATCTTTGAGCGAGAAGCGTCACAAGAGAGGGAGAGTCTCTCTCTCTCTTCATGCCTCACGTACACTTTGGCGGAGACCCAGCAGTCTCATAGTGGCCCCTTCCTACCACCAGGGGTTATGATTTGAACAAAGTTCAATCTACACTAGGTCATGAAGCTTACATATAAGTTTCTTTTTTCTGGCCAAGTGGTTCTTGAGAAGGGAGATTTTTTAATGACCCTACCCAATTTTTACTTTTTCTTAATTATCTAACCTTGGAAGAGGGCGTGGCCCTTCATTGGATATTTTGTGCCAAGTGTGGTTGATATTGGTCCAGTAATTCTGGAGAAGAAGATGAAATTGTAAAGAGTTTACAACACCGACAATGACAGACGATGAACAAATTTTGATTAGAAAAGCTCACTTGAGCCTTTGGATCATTTGAGCTAAAAACCAGTTTTATAATTGATGAGCAGAATAAAGGAGATCCTGATATAAATCTCCTGACCACTTTATGGACTGTACATTACAATGATGTTTTAAGATACTAACTACAAGCATTCAAAATGATTAACATGTTTAATACAAAGTAGCAATTTTTCTATATACACATATTGCTATTCACAACTGAAGTAAAAGGCAATTTGGATGCTAACTAACAAGTTCCACCTTACACAAGTATAACAATATAGATGGTTTATTATGATCATATAGAAATAGCCAGGATAACTTCAGTCCAGTAACAAATCAAACATCTTCATTGGGGAAAAACAACAAAAACAAAAATGAAAACAAAATATGATCAACCTTGCAAAAGTATTGTTCAAACAACAGATACAACCTAGCTGTATCAACTATTGGTAATGTTCACCAGGAACAATTGTCAGTCTTTCCGACATCTCCTTTCATACAATGCGTAGAGAAAGCTTAATATTTAAAGCACAGAAAAACACTATTGTTAATATATCTGTCTAAGCTTAGCTTTGCTTTTTCAATGCCATTCACACAATGAAGACTCTATCCATCTCAAAGACACTTGAACATGTTGAATAGATTATCATTTCATGATTTGTCATTTATGTTGGGTTAACCCCTCAACAGCAAAGTTAGGTAAACCCTAGATGATGGAGAAACTGACTAATTCAAGCATACATGTAACTTCACTATAATTATATACTGTCACAACAGACTTACTGGTAAATGTACTGATATTATGAAACACTCCTGTAGATTGAATATGTAAGCAGTGACAGTATGTGGCACCTAGTACAAATAGCTCCATTCTTTAGTTTAGAAATGTAATGTTATAAAATTCAACTCTTACAGTGTAGCTTTACCTGATTGACATTTATGTGAGTTAGGGCTAGGTAAAGGTGATTTATGCAAAAAATAAAAATGCATAAGAAGTATATCTATTATTCAGAGAGAGAGTTTAAATTCATTTTCTTATACATACTTAGTACCCATGACAAGTTATAGAGAGTACGCAGTATGATGTCATTTTTATTCACTACTCAAATAACTAAGAAAACACCAACAAAACAGCTTCGGAGCACAGGCATATCGTATTTAATTTTACATAAATAATGTATAATTTTAATAAGAATAGTCTAAAGATTAATAAATTTTGCTGCATAAATCCTTTTCTCATTTGATCGGAATTTGAGGAAATTTACAGTGAACTGTGCACTTTAACCCAACTCAAAACTTTACAAAAAATTATTAAACAATTGAACTTTCAATGTTTGTTCAGCAATACCTTCATTCCTTTGAATATTCTGCTTCTAATTATACCTCGTTTCTGTAAAATTAAACAGGGTATGCCCTTGTGCCAAACTTTTTTTGTTGATGTTATTTTTAACCTTGTGTAGTAAATAACAATGACGTCACAATAGAACCTCAAAATGTGCACTAGCCATATTGTGTCCTGGGTACCAAGTATACAAAAGACAATAAGTTTTAACTTTCTCTGCATAAGAGGTATAGCCATTACGCATTTAAATTAGTTAATCTGCATAAAGACACATATACCTAGCCTAAACTCACATGTGTACCTATTTGTCCAGTCACTACAGAGATATTAACAATACTTGTAAAATCCTCTTAGTCAGTGTAAAACTTTTGTTGCACATAACAAAGTAATCTTTTTCCTCTTTCCAGGTTGAGTTTATGCCCTATATTGTCTTTGTTTTCTCTGTATAAGTATTTAATCTGTCTCTGTTTTGACTCGTTTTGATGGAGGTTGATCATCAGACTTCTCTCGTTTACCCTTAGATAACCACTTCATCATTAGGTTACTGCTGGGGGTGCTCTTAGGTTTCCTGCAATGTGAGAGGTGAGGTATAAGAATATGATAAGATATTCCACTAGTTAACATATACACATATAATATATATATATATAACATATTAGTATTAACATATATTGGGAATTATAAACTATAGATCCATCACCAATTTTTCTAGACACATTATTTTCGCGAGATAGGTATTTGGTATTCATAAGCAAGACTATATTTTCACAAATGCTGGTTATTGCTGTATATATATCCTATGTAAAATTGCATATTTTCGTTAGGTCAAATTTTTGTGGTTTGAAGAAAAACATGGGTTCATGGGGATTTGATTTCGTGGATTAAGAATTGTTATGTAGTAATATATGTGAAAAATTACATTTCGAGGTGGACATGAATTCGTGGGTCTCTTCACACCTCCCTAGTAGTAATAGTAATATCATATTTCATGGACTTGCTGTTCTTGATAAGAAAGAAGATTCTCCCCCCACCCCCCCCCCACCCCACCCCCAACTAGCCCTGGAGGCCATGATTTCAATAAAATTGAATCTGCACTATCTATTAGAATCACTTATCATGGTCCTGCTGTTCTTGATAGGAAGATTTAATTTTTTTTGTTTTTAATATTCCCATGTATAACTTTGATCACTTATTGTGGCTCTACCCTATCACCAGGGGCTATCAACTGAATAGGTTTGAATCAACAACACGTCAGAAAGCTTCAACCTAAGTTTCACATTCTGGCACAGTGTTCTTGAGAAGAGGACTTTAAAATGACCCTACCAAATTCATTATTTCTTAATTATCTCCCCTTGAGAAAGGGTGTGGTCATTCATTTGAACAAACTTTACCCAGGGATGCTTTGTGGCAAGTTTGGTTGAATTTGGCTTTATTATTCTGGAAAAGAATTTGAAAATGTGAAAAGTTTACAGACGACAGATGACACATGAAAGATGGATGCCAGTGACACATGAAAGATGGATGCCAGACACTCTTCAATCAGAAAAGTTCACTTGAGCCTTTGGCTCCCAAAGTATATTGGGATCAGCAGTTTTAATTACCTAATATGACCTCTCTTTGATGAGGTTATTACTTGCATTTTTCATTTTTAGAATAAACTTTCACAAAACATAATTATAGTGCTGCTTAATTTAGATTGACTTTTCCAAATTGATTCACTATAAAATACATTATTTCTCTATATCACGATACACATTATAAAATAAACATACCTCAGTTAACCATGATTAACTCTTAGTAAAATCAATATACATCAACCTTTATTATTGATGTGATGTTGCAATTTAATTACATTGTCTATTACACTGCATTTCATCATAGCAAAATCTGCAATCAAGCACAATCTACTACTTTATCAAATAAACAACTGACTTTGCCTTTAAAAAAACATATGCTGAACATAGTATGTCCACAACATAAATAATCAGAATTTTTTTTTATCTTTTCATTCTGAAAAATGCAGTGCTCTTCCAAAAAAAAAGAATCATATGACTGCAATCATGTGACTGCGATTAAATGAAAGAAAAAGTGAGCAAGCTCACATACACCACGCTCCCCCAAAACTCGACAATGCAACATGTACTGAATAGCACAGTGCATTTTAAATACACAGTATAATTCAAAAAGGGGCATTACTTGCAAAAAATCATTACATCAAAACTTCTTGCATATAAGGACATTCAAATCTTTGTATGTTACAAATTTAATTGGGCTGAAGTTTCTAGATAAATAATGGAATCAAAATTTCTTGGTAATATACAAAGCTATACATTACGTCTGAAATACCTACAAAGTTTCAGGAAATTCAGTGCAGGAGTTATGCTGACAAACTGTTATTGAAATTCCTCAGTGATTTCGATTTGTTAATGAGTATAAGTCCATGTCCAACACATGACAACTTACACATTTAAATAATTGATGGAAACAAAATTATGATGTAGTCATATGAATTTGTTTATATACTGTATTTATGAAATTATTTAAGGCAAAGCACCAATTTGAGGGGGGGGGGGGGAGAACTATCCAAGATTCAAGATTTTGTGTGTGTGTTAAATCATCAATATTTTGATCTCAAAATCAATAGGGGTCTTTTAAGGTCATAAAATATTTCACATAAAATGTCATTACAAAGGCTGATTCCAGTGTGGATTTCCTTATTACCTAGCTGGAAAGTTTCTTCAATAATAGGCAAAACTCTTAGGGCAAAAATAACGGAATTGGAATTTCCTGGTAATATGCACATCTACACATTGTGTCCTAAATATCTGCAAAAGTTGATGAAATTCTGTGTGGGGGTTTAAAAGGAGTTGCGCTGACAAACTGTTCATCTCTATATTTAAGATATGGCCAAAAATCGAAGTTGAAAAGTGCCGAAATTCCCAGAAAAAATAAAGGAATCGGAATTTCCTGGTCGTATGCACATCTACACATTGTGTCCTAAATATCTGCAAAGTTTGACGAAATTCTGTGCAGCGGTTTAGGAGGAGTTGCGCTGACAAACTGTTCATCTCCATATTCAAGATATGGCCAAAAATCTAAGTTGAAAAGTGCCGAAATTCCCAGAAAAAATAAAGGAATCCGAATTTCCTGGTAGTATGCACATCTACACATTGTGTCCTAAATATCTGCAAAGTTTGACGAAATTCTGTGCAGCGGTTTAGGAGGAGTTGCGCTGACAAACTGTTCATCTCCATATTCAAGATATGGCCAAAAATCTAAGTTGAAAAGTGCCGAAATTCCCAGAAAAAATAAAGGAATCGGAATTTCCTGGTAGTATGCACATCTACACATTGTGTCCTAAATATCTGCAAAGTTTGACAAAATTCTGTGCAGCGGTTTAGGAGGAGTTGCGCTGACAAAAAAACAGGACTGACGGACTGACTGACTGACGGACGGGTCAAAAACATTATACCCCCCGCAACTAGTTGCGTGGGGTATAAAAATGGTGTACAGCTAGTTGTTGCTATACCTAGTGGTAACCACTCAGTTTTCAACTGCTGGACTCATGTTTTATACAAACTGGTGTCTCTAAACACTTGCATGAGATCTATGGGTTTTGTACAGTCTGTATTTGCTAAACACTTACACTGAATCTATGGGATGTTTATAGTCTGGATTCTCTAACACTTAGTGGGATCTATGAATTTTGTAGCCTGGATTCTATAAGCACTTACTTGGGATCTATGATTTTTCTAGTCTAGATTCTAGAAAAACTTAAGTGGGATCAATGGGTTTTGTACAGTCTGAACTATCTAAACACTTAGTGGGATCTATGGGTTTTGTACAGTTTGTATTGTCTAAACACTTACAGGATCTATGGGTTTTGTACAGTCTGGATTCTCTAAACACTTACATGGGATCTATAGGTTTTGTACAATCTGGATTTTCTAAACACTTACGTGGGATCTATAGGTTTTGCACAGTCTGGATTCACTAAACACTTACCTGGGATCTATGGGTTTAGTACAGTCTGGATTTTCTAAACACTTACGTGGGATCTATAGGTTTTGCACAGTCTGGACTCTCTAAACACTTACGTGGGATCTATCGGTTTTGCACAGTCTGGACTCTCTAAACACTTACATGGGATCTATCGGTTTTGTACAGTCTGGATTCTCTAAACACTTACGTGGGATCTATCGGTTTTGTACAGTCTGGACTCTTGTTTCTGGCATTGTTCACAATATCAGACACAGGGTGCATCTGGATCTCCTCAGTGGCCCGGATATGCTTAATGGCCTAAAACAGATTTAAAGACTTAATTATCTTAGATGGATAATTTTAACCCCCCATTTAAGGACTTTGCAAACTGCAAATATATTTAAACAGTTTTCTAGCTTTGTGCCAACTTATGACTCCAGCTGTGTTTATGAAGTTTGGATAGAAGATGAAACTTTCTAGAAATTTATAAATAATAAATTATAAGCAATAATAGGACACAGATAAAATGGGAAAAGTTTACAAATGTCACAAGAAAGCAGACAAAAAAAGAAAGAAAGATAAGAATAGTAACGTGTGTGGCCTTAAGAATAACAATTACATAATTGTTAATATACATGCATAAAATAACTTTAAAATGAAACTAGAACTGTCCAAAAGGGACAAATACCCCCCGCTGGGTTTTTCAGAGAAGGTACCAAATCACTAATGTTTTCTAGATATGAGAGGTGTTCACAATTTGCTTAAACATTTAGAGTGAAAATTTGATTACTCATTATATTATTTTTAATGAATGAAACTAAGGTGCAGCCTAATAAAACATCAATACTAATAATTACAGTGTTTTTTATTACACTGAAAAAATAGTTTGCAACTATCTGTCATCTTTGTGAGACATGACACTCTGCAAATTGATTGTTGAAAAAAAAAATTATCATTATTAATTATACAAAATCAAATTGATCTTAATACCTTTATATCAAACTCATTTTAAAAATAAAAGGCTGGTTCCAGTAACTATGTATTTTGACAGACATAAATTACAAATTAAGAGACTTAGACAACAGAGATCTTTATTTCTTTCTGCCCAATTCCCAGGAGATATGGATAAGACCTGCTTGATCAGAGATGCCCTAACAGCTTCCCACACTGAACTCATTAATTAATCTTTAACTGGATGCATGTCCACTCATTACTCCCAAGGGACAAATGGATTTACACTATCTGCTGTGTAATGTAAAATCTGTTTTTAATACTTTGTGGGTTTTTTTTTTAGTTCTAATGAGTTGTTTTAAGCTGTAGTTCACAGTTTTGTACAGATGTTCTAGATTCTATGTCTCAAACCTTAGACATGAACCCGAAATGACTAAGTCAATAAAAATGAAGAAAAACACCTGTAAAATGCAGAAAAATTATCAAATAATGTTGAAAATACCAGGTCCACATCTTCATATGGTAAATAATAAGTGTACAAATTTTCATACAAATCTATGCAATAGTCTCTGGGAACAGATCCGGACAAAACCAAATAATAAAAATGAAAAAAAACACCTGTAAAATGCAAAAAAATTATCCAATCATGATGAAATACCAGGTGCACACCTTCATATGGCGAATAATAAGTGTACAAATTTTCAGACAAATCCTTGCAACAGTTTCCAAGAAATGGTCCGGACAAAATCTCGTCTACAGACAGACGGACAGACAGACAGACGGACAAGCTGATTCCAATATACCCCCCTAAACTTCGTTTGCGGGGGGGTATAATTACCTTTTCTAGTGGAATGTTTTCATAGTCCAGCCATTCTTGTATTTCCTTGTCATTAAGAAGGAAAGCCTTAATGAAAAAAACAAGAGGCCCATGGGCCACATCGCTCACCTGAGTAACTTTGGCCATGCTGTTCTTTACCAGATTTCCCCCTTGTAATACCTACTGTGGCCCCGCCCTACCCCAGGGATCATGATTTGAACAATTTAAATTCTACACTACCTCAGGATGCTTCCAAATAAGTTTCAGCTTTATTGGTCCA